GTTATCTCTTAACTCCAAATATTGATTTATAGGCTTAGCAGCTGACAAAGTCAATCAAATGCGTATAAAATTGATTTCAAATGTCAAAGTCTTGGACCAACAATACTTCCCCCCTACACAACTCTGTACGATCTTTAGTTTCTTTGTTTTTCGGATGTCACGTTGTTGTCATATAAGTGGATTAAATAATTATCATATAATTGCCGCTCTAATAATACGAGTAAACACATCTAATCAACGAATATTTATTCTTTTAATTTATTTATATTGATTTTCCAATATATATATTTACATATTTGCTGTACGACGGGTATAGTGGGGTATTTACTTGGAATTATCGCATTTTCGAAGACGCAGTTTGGAAGTTAAGCCTGTGTAGTTTTGGTTTTTTCCAGTTTTTGGTCGTTCTTTTCACCATTTGGAACATGAAACCCTTATATAATGGAGATGGGAAGTTGGTGGTTGACTAGGAGGAGTGGGTGGTAACAGTGTGGGGGTTGTTAATAGGGTTGGGCATTCACTAATCGCGTGTTGGCTTTGGCACCTCTCCTCCATTTTCAATCTCCGCCCCTTTGTAATTTTTGTTTTGTGTTTTCCCCGTCTTTTCCAATTTGCTTTTTTCCCAGTTTTCCACTGCTGGCGCCTCTTTTTGTCTTTGGCTTTTAACCATTTCGAAGGCTTTGTCTTTTTTGCCATTTTGTGCTTCTGTGATAAATGTATCCTTCTGTGATAAATGTATCAATGTTTCTTTAAATCGATTTCCTAAGACAGTTGCAACTAAAATTTTCTGATACCCATAACTTTAATAGGCCGAAGTTTATCGACCCTTAAAGTATGTCAATTCTCTATTCCATTTGTGCCTATTTAAAACATTGAAACATTGTTTTAAATTTTTTTTATTGAAAACATATTTTAATAACCGATAGTTCTAGTTTTACTACTAATATTCCGAGTATTCCCAATATTCCTATCTCGGCCTCTGCAATGGTATGAGAAAATGATTATGATCGTCTGTTAAAATATAAAAATAGACTAGAAATAAAATGTTCTAACGATCTTTATAATATTTTACTTTGCCCCTCTCTTTACTCAATTTATTTTAACCAGTTTGATTTGGTTTATCGTTATTGCAATCGCTTTAATCGGTTTGCAGCAGCTGTTATCGAAGTCATATGCCTTTGGTTGTTGATCGACGCTGGGGTGATGTGATGTACATTCTGTCATGGGTTAATTACCTTGGTCAGCTCTAATTATTGATTGTCGACTCGGTCATTAGCAGCTGGCGAAGGAAGCGACGCGATAGCGACAACAATGCATGCTTCTTTGATATTTTTTTAAATATATTTTTTTGTATTATGTTACCTCCTGCGTTGCGCGTGTTCTTGTGTATCACCCCACAACCTCCCACTTTTTTCTAGTTCTTTGTTGACTTTTGGTATACTCGAGTCTTTGGCAAATAGATGCGCATATTTCCTACGGCTCTTTCCTCTTTTACACCCTTACACCCGCCTTATTTAAATGCTTTTCTTCTTATTATTTTTCCAAACGAAATGCAAATATTGTGCTGTTTGTTCTTTTCTTATTCCCATTGTTTCTTTTGTTCTATTAAATGCTATTCTATGCGCTCGTAATTGTACTTTCACTTTCATAAGGTGGATGAGGCTACCAACAGATGGCGCCGCCGTGCAAGCAACAGGCGGTGGTGCAACAGTGGAATTGGAACGTATTCGATATATTTTTGGGTCTCCCAGTTTTTTTTAAGTTTACTCTGCGGTTTTCTCTAGTTTGTTTGCTTTTTTCATTTCTTTTTCGATGCCGAACGCGGCCTCTCACTTTATTTTTAGTCTCGATTCAGTTCGATAGCCTAGACCCCAAAAAGGGGCACGGAACGAGTGGGAAAACATATTTTGCGTTGAAGCTTTTTCCCACATTCAAAATCAATAATTCACTGCCGGTAAAAATAGCCTGTAAAAACATGTCTTGGGGCAATTACCATTGTTAATACTACCAACCACGGCAAATGTCAGAGCGCATTATCGACATGCAAGTTCAAGACCAAGTAAACAAGAACCACAACCCCTAGATTCACAGGCAGGCCCCTTACAAGACCTTCAGACCCGCCTCTCCTTTGCACTGGAATCCCCACCACTTAAGCCCGGCCCCAACTCATTTGCTATTCAAATTGAAGTTGACTCGTTACTGGAACCACCAGCACGTGGAAGTGCAAGCCGGAGACCTGGCGCCAAATGAGAATTTCATTCAATAAATAATAGCAATTCGAATGGGTAATCAGTAAGAAAGCCTAGGGATACGAACTAGTAATAATAAGAACTAGTTGTTAGAAAGCATTTTCGATATTTTAAAGATTATGATACAATTTATAGGAATTTTATACGAAAGTAAGAATTCCTTTTAAAAGATTATATCATAAATGTCACGATCATGATAAATGCAACTGCCTATAGCGAAAACCAGTTTTCTTATGTAACTTACGATTATCATAATATAACCAGGTGTCCACTAGTAATGCATTTCAATTCATTTTAGCTTTTAAATTATAATACATGAAATTATAATATAGAACAAACAACCTTCGCTTTAACTCCAAAAAAAACTCCTCCAAGGGTCTAAGCTCAATGTCAAGTCTATAAAAATAAAATAATATGACGCAGAGGGTTGCTTGGGGTCTTTGGCTGAGGTAAAATGTCAGCTGGGGCGAAAGTCAAAGTCGTGAATGGGTTAACCAAAAGAAAGTTTGGAAATGTTGTTGGGCGGAAAAACCCGGTTGGGACTAGAGTGGTATGATGGTATGGTTTTAACGAGCTCAGGACTTAGATGTATTTAGAAATGTATTACCACCGTTATCATTTGTATTACCCTTGGGTATCTTTGATTCAATGAGGTGTATTATTTTTAATGAAAGCTTTACTAAAGGATACAGATGTTGTCTTGAGCGGACCAGGTCTGTTGAAAGGTCCCAGGAAAGGAACTGAGGAATATATTGATTGAAAGTGATTGATGTGATCACCCTGGCCGAACTGCTTCACCCTGTTGCACAGAGCTTTGGCTGTAGTTTTCTTTGTTAGTTCACCCCCTAACTTGCTGGGTTTCGTTTTTCTTTTGCTTTATTATTATTTTCCCGTTTTCTATTTGTTTTTTCGCCATTGCATGACCTAACCAACTAAGCCAACAAACTGACCTAAGCACCCTCCGTAATTCCCCCCGTCCCGCCCCTTCCACCAGCCCCCGTCGTTGGGCGCTTGTCATTGTCTGCAAAATCGGTTTCAACCTGAAACCGTATGCCGTATGCCGTAAACCGTATACGTGGGGATTGGACATGCAATTATAGTGCTGTTGTTTTTATGGGGCTTGGTCGGTCTATTGCGCACTGTCTGCTGACCAATGTTGCCTTTTCTGGTAATGTTTATCTTCTATACGTTTACCGTTGTTCCTTAGGTGGTCCTTTTCTTGGCTAACCGTTCCATTTTATTTCAATTTGACTTGCGGACACTCCTCTAATTTGCGGTAATGCGTCGTTGTCCTCTGTCCTCGAAACACTTTCTCCTGAAAGCCCTCCGAGCTCCCTTTATTACCCCATTATCCCGTTTCGATTCCATTAGTTGGGGTATAGTTGGGAAGGTACCACTTGGTAAATACTACTGACATTAAGTTAGTGACGCAGATTATTTTGCCGTGGCAATTTTCATCAATTTTCCATTTATTTTTGTATAAACTTGCATTTTAAGTGGATCCAATAGCCACTGTCGCTGTTTCTAAAGAAACTTCTGAATACAAAAATATAAAGATAAATTGTCAATATATATATTTATGTGGGATCATATGCATGTAGGCAATCTTATGGAGACTTGTCTATTTTTTCTTTAGTGGGTGATTGTGATTATAATGTTGTTTCATCACGATTGTCAATTTAACAATGTCACTTCCCTATTTTAGGACAATCTGTTCTAACTGTGGCCCAATTAATATTTTTGTTCTTGTTTGATTTAACACATCCGCCCTTTAGCACTTTTGATAAAAGTGTGCAATTGTAAATTAATGGGTCCCGGCAATAAAAACAATACCCATATGCATAAATAAATAAAAGTGGCTGTGTTGTTGTTTTATTATTGTTTCTTTTTTTGGTTTTTAGTGAAGTATTTTTAATGCTGATAAAAAGCCATTTCAAAGTAGAGATAAGATTAATGCTTTACGGCAAGAGAAATACAAGAAAAAGGAGACTTCAGGAGCTTATCAGTTTCGACTAGCGCCATCTCTTTTGCACTCGAGAATTGCAGCTGTGTTTCATTCCGTTTAGTCACTGACTCTGCAAATGTTCCAATTTCACTGAGAAAAGTTTGCTCTCCATCTCGCTCTGGTTCTTTGCCCCCTCTCTTTCTTTTGTTCTCTAGCCCTCTTTTTCTTTTAGATATCTCCCTCTCTTTCATTAACTGCGTGCTTGCGTAGTGTTCCAATGCCACACGTTCCGCTGCCCTGCACACATGTTAGTGTGTGTGCGTGCGTCAACGATAATAATTTGGAATTTGAGTGCCCGTTTTCTCTCTGTTTCTGTTTCGCTCTTGTGTTTCTGTTTCTCAGTTTCGTTTGAGTTTCGGTCTCGTTTCTCAGTTTCTCGAGTTCTCAGTTCATTCGCGACCTCAAAAGCGGCCGCACATGTTGCACGCTAAAAAAAACAGAGCAGAAAACAGAAATAAATAACCAAAATAGACACTTCAATTTTGAAAATCTCACAGATCTCTCTCACTGCTTCTTTTTTTGTTTCGTGTGAGTGTGTTTAAATTTAAATGGTTTTTGTTTGGCTTTTATTTATATTTTTTTACGGTGTCCAAAAAAACAAACCGCAATGCTAGGCTAAATTTAGCCCAAAGAGCCAAAATTTAAAAAGTTTGTTTTCGAAAATGCTGCAAATATAGCAAAACTTAGTGTTACCAAATCAAAAGCAACCACTTATTTGTTTTTTTGTTTGATTTAAATGCAATTAGGCAATGTGACTGTGAAGCGCAAAGACACAAATTAACTAAAAAAAAAAGTGATTTAAAACACTTCAACCCCAAAAACGGTGCCCCTTGAGACACTTAATTATATTCAAAGTTAAAAAAAAAATACTCTACCCCTAGAGTATTTAACAGACTATTAAAAACCTGATGGCAACAACAACAACAACCCAGGCAGCAGGAGCTGCACCAGCTCATAATTTATTGCCCGCCAGCAATAATAATATAAATAATACCCTTAATAACAATAATAACAACAGTAACAACAACAATAATAATAACAACGTGATAAGCCAGCCGATTAAAATACCGCTGAGCGAGCGCTTCTCATCGCAAACATCGACGGGTTCGGCGGACAGTGGGGTAATTGTTTCCAGTGCATCACAGCAGCAACTGCAGCAGTTGCAATTGCCGCCACCCCGCAGCAGCAGTGGCTCATTGAGCTTGCCGCAGGCGCCACCTGGCGGCAAGTGGCGTCAGAAGCAGCAGCGCCAGCAATTACTGCTCAGCCAGGATAGCGGCATCGAAAATGGTGTAGCCACCCGCCAGCCCAAGGTCAAGGACACTCAGGGTGCGGGAAAGGGCAAGCCGAGCCACAATGCCATCAACTCGAAGGAGGCCGGAGCTCAGTCGAACAGCAGCAGCGAAAGTCTGGGCAGTAATTGCTCCGAGACCGAGGATCAGCAGAGGATAAGGGCCTCGTCCGCTCTGGAACTCAGCAGCGTGGATAATCCCACTGTCCTGGGTGTGGGCAATGTGGGCAATAACATCCTGCGCAGCCGCACTAAGTACAAGAGTACCAATAGTACCGGCACCCTAGGATTCGATGTGGAGGATCGCATCGAGGAGGTGGATAACTGTGATGACGTGGACATCGAGGAGGAGGACGACGGCGTGAATGTGGACGACGATGTCGAGGAGGCCGACAACCAGTCGGACAGCCAGTCGGGCATTATAATAAACCTCAAGAGCAAGACCACCGAGCAAGAGGAGGCGGCGGCAGCGGCGGCGGCAAAGGAAGATGAGGTCAAACCCAAAGCCCGATTGCTGCCACCCGATCAGGCGGAGTTAACGGTGGCAGCGGCCGTGGCCCGTCGCCGCGATGCCAAAAGTCTGGCCACCGATGGCCACATATATTTCCCCCTGCTCAAGATCAGCGAGGATCCGCACATTGATTCCAAGCTGATCAACCGCAAGGATGGCCTCCAGGATACCATGTATTATCTGGACGAGTTCGGCAGTCCCAAGTTGCGGGAGAAGTTCGCCCGCAAGCAAAAGCAGCTGCTTGCCAAGCAGCAGAAGCAGATGATTAAGCGGGAGAGGAGGAGCGAGGAGCAGCGCAAGAAGCGCAACACCACCGTGGCATCCAATTTGGCGGCTAGCGGCGCGGTGGTGGATGAGACCAAAGAGGACGATGAACAACAACAACCACACTGTGATACTAGCTCTAGGAGCAAACATAACTCGGTACCCAATCCCCCCAGCCATGTTCATCATAATCATCATCTCGTCGTGGATGTGGAGGAGGATGTGGATTCCACCAACAACGTGGACAATGGTGTGGTCAAGATGCGACGCCACAGCCACGACAACCACTACGACAGAATCCCCCAGAGCAATGCAGCAACCATCACCACCCGCCCTAAAAACGATCACCAGTCGCAGGACATCGAGGACATCGAGCAGGGGGCGGAACCCGAACTGGGAGGAGAAGCGGATGCGGATGCGGACAGCGATGAGAGCGGCGAGAACGTTAAGACTGCCAAATTGGCCAGAACTCAGTCCTGCGTCAGTTGGACCAAAGTGGTGCAAAAGTTCAAAAATATATTAGGTAAAATATAAATATAAATATTCGAACTGCTTTCAAGGTGCAAAAGAAAGTTGCAACTCGAAGAATTTTAAACTTTCACTTTTCTACATTCAGAAAAGTCGTAATAATATAAATATTTTCGGTAATTACTTTACCTATGTCATAGATAAAAAATAATAATAGAATTCAAATTTAATCAATTCGTATGATTCATTATAATGTTATTTCAAGCCATGGCTAAATATACACATTTATTTATATAATAGTTTTTCGTGTTTATGCATTGAAGATAAATCAGTTATCTATACTTGAATTCTAGATACCCGCCTAAGACTTTTGCCTTAACATTTAAAAAAAGATTAAAACTGATTTCTAAAATTTTCCGTTTTCTTTCTTCTCTTTGTAGGTAAGTGTTGATTGAATTGGAACACAAATTCCTCAAAACTCCTTCGGGCAATCGTATCGGGTGAGATTGTTCTATGTACACACACATATACACACAGATTTATAGATAAATATATGGTTGTGGAAAATTTTCGGAGATATAATACTGGAAAATGATAAGGTTTTGGCTGTGGGGAAGAAAAGTGACAATTCTTTATTACACATCACAACAAATTAAAAGGGAGATCCCTCTTTAACTAAACTTCCTGGAAAATTTTTAATATATTTCTGATTTAAATTTCCTGTATAAAAGATAGGTCGATGAACGAATGAATTTTTGTGATAGCTTTGTCAAGCTTATTCTTTCATTGCTGAGATAAACAGAGAAAAATATACACAAGCGGAAACGTTGGGGAAAATACACATACATATTTGTGATCTTATTCTCCCTTTTAATGCCATATAAAAAGTGATCTTGGCTTTATTGTGAAAAGTAGTCGTCAGCCGATAAGGAAAAGCGGAATTTTCTCGTCCGTGTTCTACAACAGGCCATATTTCTTTGTTGTTGCACTTGTCGTTGATAAGAAAAATACAGTGGGAAGGGGAAGGGGGGCGGAAGAAAGATACTGGGGGACAAAAGAAAGAGACGGCAGGAGCAGGGCAACAGCACTGATTTACGCCAGCTGATGTTGATTATTTCACCTACTAAATTACACATTATACTTTATGACTGGCAAGATTTGCATCAAATATATATGATTTTAATCTAAGGTTTTCGAGGCATTACTTGATAGTTCACACAAAGTGAAGGACAAATTTTGGGAAAATATTATGAAAATTAAACCAAAAAAATCCCTGGAAGTTATTATATATAATATTTTGACTTGAATGATCAACAAAAGAAGTCCATTGATCAATGAGATGTAGTATTTTTTACTACATTATTATCTTTAATATAATATTTAGACAAGATTCGCAATGATCACCAAAACAAATCCAGTGATCATTGAGGTGAAGTATTATTCTACCCACCGAAAATAAAATGTTCTATCATAATCCAATTACTTCTGTCATTCGATAGTTTTGTTTTCCTAGAGTCGGACTCTATTTCTAGCCCTTTGTTCTAAGTTACTATTACAATTGGATAACTGCAATGCAAATAGTCTGATTTAGGTATTACGAATGTTATATAGTGTTAACTGGTTGTCAGTTGCATCATTTCGGAATCTTGGAACGGGAGCTTAGCGAAGCGTTAACGTTGCGGTGCGAAAAGTAACAATCCCTTTATTACGATCATACTTTATGGAAGTCACTGTGTCACAGCGTGCTTGTTACCTCAGTAACATCTCATCTACATCCCCATCCTCCCATCCTCCATCTCCTCTCATCTCATCTCACATTATCCCCAGCTTAAGTTGCTGTCTCAGTTTCCATCCGGCCAGTCGTATAAGTGATTTGCAGCTTTCGCAGATGCTGACTGATAAGGACCGGGCTGGCAGAGTTTTTAGCAAATGATTTGGGTACACGGGGAGAAAATAATATAGACCAATTATTTTACAGTTGAAGGAAAAGCCATTCCCTATAATCAGTAAACGGTTATTAACCAAATATTTGTCTTGTTAACTTAGTATCCCAAATAACGTAACATTTTTCTAGTAAAGGAGTTTTGGAACAAACTTAGATATATACCTATCCCCATTCCATATCCCCAGTATCCCCGTTTTGCTAAGCTATACCTATTTTTTCTCTGTGCAGAGCTGAAGTTAAAGCTAAAGCTGATGCTGCCTGCATGATCAGAGATCATCAGTAAAAAGATCAAGAAGCACGCGGCTATTGCTTACAGCTCTGATTATATATAGCCATCTGCATATATAAATATATATATTAACTGTCCGCTTGGGAGGGGGGGGATGTCGGGAGGAATTGGGAATTCGGGAGCAGAGATTACTCGGTGTTAGTTGTTGTTGTTTTTGTTTTTTTAACGCTCGACAATCACGCGCTCGTTTCATAAAACGGATGACAGAGCAAAAAACTTTTCCAAAAATATCAAAGCCCAACAACATGCATATATTGAGTGAGGAGCTTGTGAATTTTGTTTTTTTTTTTGTACAAGTATACCAGCATAGTATAGGTATAAGTATATATTTATTGGCAAATTTACTAAATTTGTTGACCAAATGGAGGCGTGTCTCTCGTCTTGTTGATGTTTTTTTGTCGATTGTGGTTTTGCATTTGGATTTGCCCTCTCACCCGCGTTTCTTTTTACCCTGCCCTGCCCCACGATTTTTCTTAAATATACATATGTATTTCTGTCCATTGATTTGGAATATTTAAAGGCAAAATGATATGTGTTTTCTATACTTCGCTGGGGGGACTGCTAAAAGGCATGTGACAGCTGTTTGTCACCCAAACTTATGTATACTTCACATCCTCAATTGTAGCATATTTCGTTTTAATTTATGCCAATATAAAAATGACATAGATTATAGATTGAAGAGAAAATCACGAAAAAGGAGGAGGGTGGTATCCATACAACCTGTTGTTGCATCTACACACTGCCTCTCTTTAGCTGTTTATTGAATAATCAATTTGTGTATAAATTATAAACATTTCGGTTATTTTTGGGTGGACAAAAATACGTATCTTCCCAGAAGGAAAGACAGGTTTAGTCAATATTCTGATTAGAAAATTTTTTTATATAATTTGTTTATATTGTTTATAGCCTTTTGACAACAGATAAGTGTAAATGTTTTCATTACTTACGGTAATAGAAGTGTTGGAATCGTTTTCAGCCTTTGCTCAGTTGTATAGCTCTGCTGATTTGCCTCTGCTTTTATTTTATTTTTTATCAACTTGAATTTAATACTTGTTTGATCAGCTGCAGAAGAAAGAGCATTTTCTCCGAGGAAGACTTTTAGTAGTTCTCTTTGTCATGCACTTCTCTTTTTATTGATTTCTCTTAGGCTTCTACTTGTTTAATTTATTTGTGCTTTTGTTTTGTAGTGCTGTATTTTATGTTCTTGGCTCTGTTTTTTTTTTTTTCCATTTTCTTGGCACTTTGAGGGCTTTTTGACGAGCGAGTGAAAAAGATACAGACAGAGAAAAAAAGAACTATTTTTATGGGTGGCATCTAAAAGTATGCAATGAAAAGTATTACCTATGCGGTGAAAAAAAAGTGGTTTTTCTTTTTCGATGATAATGTTGCTGGTATGATGATGTCTATAATGATGCCAAATGCTGCACATTGCGGGGCAATCTCGTGATCTCCGCCCGCGTGGTGTCGACATCTGGCCATCCCTTTTCCTCTGCCTCGGTTATCGATCTTCTCTACCTTTCCCGCTTACCGTGATCGACAGGTTGCTTTCTCGGCCAAAAGAATAAAGTCAATTTAATGAAATAAAAAATAAATGTAAGCGACCCTAAAGAAACGTAAGCACTGTAAAAAAATGGCATTGATGGTGTATATATTTTGATTGCCAGCCAAGGCAAGGTGCAAGATTTTGTTTATTCTATGGCAAATTAAATTAGAACAGCCAAGATTTTCAAAGATATATTTCTATCTTATAGGTTACGGGCTAGGAATGAGTTATTTTTTTATTGTTCTTAATTCACTCTACAATTGCCAAGGGACTTTTTATTAGATACTTTTTACGTAGGGAAAAGGACTGCGTAATTTTAGCCAAAATAGTTTTCCTAATTTCCTATGGAACGATGGGGAATAGGAGTTTGTGGTGTATATCCAATGATTGTTTTCTTTTATTGCTCCATTCGTCTGTGGTTGTTTCCTTCCGCTCCAAGTGCTCCAAGCTTTTGCCGCTTTTTTGCCCCCTTTCAACCATCCCCTCCCTCACTTTGCTCTGCGTCACACCATTTTGCATGCCACATCGCCCACCCACAAACCACCCACGCCCCCTTTTTGCGGCTAAGTGGTGCCAACTGCTTGTATATCGATTAGTTTCCGTCGACGTTGGCGGCACAACAAATTGCATTTCCATTTAGACGTCAGCCGTCCTCCTCTTTTTCCCCTTTTTGGTATAGTTTTTCAATGTTTGGCTAAAGGGAAGGTAGGTTTGTGTGCTTTGCCTATTGATAAATTGATTGATTTGATGTAGGCGCGCAAGTCTCAAAATTGTCGGCAGTCCTGTAAAAATTCAATTGATTAATGTGAGAATGGTGTCAGTGCGGGAAACTAAAATAAGAATGATGTAAAATTGATGAATCGATCAAATCGATAAATGAAAATGGAATTGCGACGCGGATAAAAGGCGACAAACAGGAGAAGCTAAGCGTATGCTTAATTAACTTACACTCCACTGATAAATAATAACTCTACTGACAAGTTTTCATAGTTGTGTATTTTGGTGGTCAAAAGTGAGCTCTTAAAAGGTATTCTAATTAAAGGTATATCAATTTCACTTGAAAATAACGAACAAAGAATATTGATAATTCATTTAGTGCCACTGAAATTACGAAATTTTAAATAGGCAATGATCGAAATCACTTTTAATATCTTGCCTCTCATTATTTATGTGTGTGAAATGTGCTTAAATGAATAAAATGCATTTCTGAAATGATCCTTATCTGCATTTTAAGGCAATGAAAAACAATGTCAATGCCAGAAGCGGGTTATTTCTTCTTGGCCTCTTGTGATTTCATTTTCGTTGAATTTGGGTTACTAATTGATTAATTAAAGCAAAATAAATTTGATTTGCACTTGTTGCGTATATCCTTTGATTGCTCTTCTGCGCCCTATTCTTTAATGCGATTCTTCTGCCCCACCTTCTTCTTCTTCTCCGCCGCATTGAACTGTCAGTCGGCTGTCGGCGAAAGGAGGCGGGGGGCCTTAAGGGGCGTGGCTGTGGCATGCTTCACCACGCTTGGCTGCCACTGTCTTTCTTCTGTCTTCGGGTCTTCAGTGCCCCCCTCCGTCCTCACCTTGTCGCGATTTTCCTGCAATTAAAATTTTCCCCAAACCGCATCAAATTGCTGCTGATATTTTTGATGATGATTTTGATTTTGATTTTTAGGCATTTATTTTTTAAAGCGCGTTTTAAGATCGAAGAATTTGTGGATCGTACGGTGTGTGTTGTTGTGGATCACATGTGGAACCGCCGACTGCTGTTCGTGTGGCACTCGTGTGCGATCTCTGTGTATCTTAACTGCCGCTCGTGTTGTCCTCTGCTTTTTTCCATTTTTTTTGTCGCCAATTGTTCAACGGAAGCTCGAGCGATCGGATCGTGGGATTGAAAGCGGACCGGAACGTATCGATCGATCGGAGCAGTGCCTCTCGTTCTCCTACAAAAAAAAAAAAAAAATCGAGCCGAAAATTCGAAGATCGCGTACTATTTCGGTTCTTCTCAATTTTTTATTTTCTGTGATATTTTATTTTGTTGCTGTTTCGGTGGTGCCGCGTGTTTGCATTTTTTTGCTATTTGAAGATCGATCGATCGATTGATCTGCACACAAAGCGAACGAAACGTCAAGTGACCGAAAATAAAACTAGGCCAAAGCCTGCCACAGTACACCGGGAGAAAAAGTATTTTAAGTTTGTATGGTTAAAAGTGGATTTTAGAAGTTTGAAACCTTTTTGTTTGAAACCACCGAACCCACAAAAATCAAAACAAATGGCAGATTAAAAATGAAATAGAAATACAAATTTAATATATAATTTTAAAAGAATGCTTAAAGATTGAACTTGCGTAAGAGTTCATAATAATGCAAAAAAAACTTGTAAAATTAATCTTAACTAAATGATATGTTATAAAATTTTTCGTTTATTCTCTATGTGTTTACCTCATATTAATGGTAAACTAAACATATGAAAGAAACCTTTTTAAATATTCATTGGAAAATAATTTCCATAGCTCGAACAGCTTTTATCTGCCTCATAAAAAGTGGTGGCACTAAAATTAGTTCAATTCTTGATAATTTGTATAGCCCATTTATGTTGATATGCCACTTTTTTAATTTGTATGAAGGAAATTGGTTTCAAAAATAGGTTTAAAACTTGTTAAATGCCATTTTTCGTGACAAATTTAAAGTTTTTTAATGTCGGCCTTAAATTTTTGTTGTTGTGTAGAGCACCGCACCGTCTACACTCCACCCTCAGCACCACCCACTGCAGTGGATCAGTGGTTCAGTGGATCGGTGGATCGGTGGTGCTTAGTTCTCCCCGCTCAAGGTGGATAAGTCCCAGGGGGTGCCCGTGGCAGTGCCGCGTGGTGTCCGTAAAGTGGTTCGAGTGATTCGCAAGAAGAAGCGGGCACCCGGCAGTGGTTCGGTAAATGAGGCCAGTGAATCGGATGGTGCCGGTTCTGGCACCACCACCACCACCAGCAGGCAGAATTCCATAGACGCCACCAAACCGCCACCGCCCGCGAAGGCCATCAGGAATAAAAGGGGATCCTTTGGGGGTGGTGCGGGACCACCTATTCCGCTGGCGACTAAAAAAAAGAGCAAACGTCGCTCCTCCAGCGAGGAGGAGGGTTCGAGTAACGAGAGCTCCACCGAATCTGAACCGGAGTCCGGATCGGGCAGCTCCTCCAGTGCTGGCAGTGAGTCGGAATCGGATAGCGAAACCACCAGCAGTGGATCGTCGACCACCGAATCCTCCAATGGCGACCGGAAGGCGAAGACCAATGGCAAGCACCACAAACCCCTTTCGGCGGCGGCCAAGGCGGCCCAGTCCGCCTGCTCCTCATCCTTGGTGGTGGCTGCCGCTCTGAAGAAGACGAAGCCGCCGAACCGGAGCGGCAGTGGGGCCAGCATTGCCAGTGCCGGTGGAGGCGGAGGCGGAGGAGGAGGCGCTGGCAAGCAGTACAAGGATCCAAGTACAGAGATAGGAACTATTAGAAGAAACACCCCCCATATCCCAGATTCCAAACTGTGTGTGCCCCCAGTGTAGAGATAGGAACGATAACAATCTAATCCTGTTGTGAAAATATTCTGGCTAACCGCAAGAGTACACTGCAAAACAATGTTCAAACACAATCCTTCAAACCTCCTACATTGTATAATCACAAATATCCAACACAAGATCAGTACAGAGATACACGAATGGAAATAACAACAACCCCACAACAAATTAAGAACCCCCAACGTTGTGTGACCATCAAAGTCCACTGTGATCCGCGAGGCAGTAGCAGCTGCCCTAAGATCATCAACATGCACATGGCATCGTCATCTTTGGCGCCAATGCCAAAATTAATTAGCAAAAAAAAGGAAAGGGTCAGTCGGAAATAATAGGGAAAAATCAAAATCATCTTCAGGCAGCTTTTTATTCCTTATGATCTAAATATCAAACATCCTTTATTCTATAAATATAATATATTTCGCTAAGGATTAAAAATATAACTTGACATGTTGGGTATATAATTGAAAGGTGTGCAATCTGATTATTTATATTTTCATTTCTAAACCGTTTTTATTTTATTTTATTTAACTTGGTTTTTTTCTTTTTTTTTGGAAATTATAAAACTAAATTTAGATTACTCTTATATATGGAATATATACAAGGGTTTATTAAATAAAATAAAAATAATTATAATTTTCGAAAATACTGATGTAACGTTGAGCTCTCTCAAAATCTTCTTTCTGTGAACTATTCCCCTTCTTATACTCCTGAACCCGAATTCTCCTCCATACTTGCCATTTAAGCCAAAACTCTTTAGCTTGTTGCTTCAACTTTTTTTTGTTCAGCTTCTGTGATTTTTTCCTCCCACTCCTCTCTCCGTTGTTTTCGTTTCGAGCTGATCACTGATCGGTGATCTTGTGATCCAGTGATCTAGTGATCTAGTGATCTCTTGACTATATCTCGTGTGCAGGCATGAAGCAACTGATCGGCAAGCTGAACGACTTGTGGCCCGAGCACAGTGTTGCACTGTCCATTCCAAAGGAGGTCGATAGGAGCAAGGAGAAACTGGAGGGCGCCTGGGAGACCACAGGTGTATAAAACGTCTATTTACTATATATATATATGTGTGTGTGCCTAGGATAAGTTGGGGTGTATACTATAAGGGACTCCCTCTACACTGCAAATTACATGTTTAACTAACGCAACACCCTTTGTCTTTGTACGAAAACAGGTCGCGATGGTTCCAAAATTACAACAGTTGTTGCAACACCCGGCCAAGGCACCGATCGTGTACAAGAGGTCTCCTATACAGACACAAAGGTCATCGGCAATGGCAGCTTCGGCGTCGTGTTTCAGGCAAAGCTCTGCGATACCGGCGAACTGGTGGCAATCAAAAAAGTTTTACAAGACAGACGATTTAAGGTGGGTCCCTATTTCACTGGCTTCTGAAATAATATATAATTGATTACATAAATAATAATGGCATATTCCTTTACAGAATCGCGAATTGCAAATAATGCGCAAACTGGAGCATTGTAATATTGTAAAGCTTTTGTACTTTTTCTATTCGAGCGGTGAAAAGGTAAGTTGCACTTAGTATAGTTGGATGAGTCCCAGGGCGTAGGATCGATTTGCACCCCATTTTAGGGGGAGATGAACTGCTGAAGTTGCCAGCATCGGTAATTACTTAGTACGGAACAGACTGCTAGAAAATATTTTATAATGTAAGCCAAATATAAAATATTTTTGCTAATTAATTGTGGTTTAAAGTGCCACTGCCTATAGTCAAGCGAATTAGGCTTAGTTTTTATTGAAATAACTTATAGTTTTAAAAATGAACCACTTAATATTATTTAGTAAGTTTAGGAATCTTAACTAAAGTTTGCATTTCAAGACTTTTGTTTGTCTTTCAATAAGAATATTTTACAATTGCCCCTTCCGTGCCGTACTAAGTTTTTATTTTAGGGTTAAACTGATCTGAAAGGTTCTCGACAGGTTCCCTTATGTATTTAAAAAAAATCCGAATTGAATTGAATTCTTTTCACTTGCATATCGAAACTGAAACCGAACCTGAAATCAAAACTGAATCCGAAACTGAAACTGGTCGCTAGATGGCCGAGTTCCCCATCGATTTGGGCATATTTGCGAGTGTGCTCAAGCCCCAGGTATCACAGATCTATAAGTCTCCAGTTCTCTAGCTCAGATCATTCAGCGACTTGCTCTCACTCGATGTCGAACTTTCTCTATCTCTCATAAATCCGAAACCGAAACCCTATGCTATGTATCAGAGAAAAATACAGTGAAACGTACAGAAGAGCACACCGCATGGTATAACCTCCTGTGAATCGAATCCTGCTGCTATGCTAGTTTGCTAGTTAGAGTTACATGTCGCCGACTGTACAGCCCCAAACAAAAACGCATGTTGACAGCTCGCAACTTTATCGGTCAACTCGCCTTAAATCCTATACTCCTCCTATACACATCCATACATGGATCATATACGCTCAACATACAATTATATCACAAATTAATAATATGTTTTTGTTTCGATTTCGCAGCGTGATGAAGTATTTTTGAATTTAGTCCTCGAATATATACCAGAAACCGTATACAAAGTGGCTCGCCAATATGCCAAAACCAAGCAAACGATACCAATCAACTTTATTCGAGTAAGTTTAGTGTGAATGTACAAGTGTGGTCAAAATAAAAGCGTCAATGAAGTCTTAATACCAACAAATGTGATATTTGCCTTTTAGAAATTGATGGTAATGGTATGCGCTTATATTTTGACCGCGGCTTCCCTATTTTGGATAGTTCCGTACTAATTTTCTTATCCTCTCTTAGCTCTACATGTACCAACTGTTCAGAAGTTTGGCCTACATCCACTCGCTGGGCATTTGCCATCGTGATATCAAGCCGCAGAACCTTCTGCTCGATCCGGAGACCGCTGTGCTGAAGCTCTGTGACTTTGGCAGCGCCAAACAGCTGCTGCACGGCGAGCCGAATGTATCGTACATCTGCTCTCGGTATTACCGCGCCCCCGAGCTCATCTTTGGCGCCATCAATTATACAACAAAGATCGGTGAGCACACTATGTCCTTTATCAAATAGAACCAATAATTACATTTCGAAACACAACCCCTTTTCTTTAGATGTGTGGAGTGCCGGTTGCGTGTTGGCCGAGCTGCTGTTGGGGCAGCCCATCTTCCCTGGCGATTCCGGTGTCGATCAACTCGTCGAGGTCATCAAGGTCCTGGGCACACCGACAAGAGAACAGATACGCGAAATGAATCCAAACTATACGGAATTTAAGTTCCCACAAATTAAGAGTCATCCATGGCAGAAAGTAAGTGGCCAGTTCCCAGGAAATGGATTGCATCGTTTACGATTTCCCTCGCGCTTTTCGCTCATGTGGCCTCCACTCTTCACTCTTTTCCAGGGAAATTCCATTTCCCCCAAACCACTCTTTGTTAATTTTCCATAAGTTTCTAACCGAAAATTGTGTGTACATAACTACTCGTTGCAGTCACTACTCGAACGCACCCAATTTCCAAACGCCCTAAATCAGAAACAACGATTGAGAGTAAGCCAAGAAACGAATCGAAAACCATCAAACAACAAATTTAAAAGCAAAAAGACAAAATTATTTATTTGAAAATGTGCTCGACATAGGTCATAATGCCAAAATGCACTACATATGCTATTATAACACATGCAGCAGCTGTAATCATTTTGAAACAGATTGATTAACAGGACTATTTAAAAAAGCGACTAAGGGTTTCAGCGTTTAAAGCAGTCAAACTAAAAAAAAAATGCCAGTCAAATAGGGTTTATATAATATCTGTAGGTTTTTAAAGCAGGTGTAAAACAAATTCGTGATTGTAAATGGGGATTAATTGCAGGGTTTTTCATTTTCAAGACTAACTATCAATCACCTTATCAAGCTCAATTGATCATGGAACTAAGTAATATATATTCAGAGCCCTCTTGAGATGCAGATGCTGTTTCATGGCTTTCAGCTTCATGCTTAGCTTTTCGCCAGTTATTCCAGCTGTACAGAAGTTATATATTGGTTCAATTGATTGATTTATTGGATTTGAATTTAATTGATTGTTTTGGTTTCTTGCCCCGCCTACTGCCAACGTTTGTTTTGACCCCTAAATTGTATATAAATCACGGTTTGGTTGCGATTTTCATATAGTTGGAGTCTCCAACACATAAATTATGTGAAAACCGAAACAGATCCATTGAAACAGTAACCCAACGCTTTCTCTGTGTCCTCACTTGTGTACCGTCCATTACCGATGATGATTACTTACTGCCCCGCCCCAGTTGTCCAGTTGCTCGATTGAGTCCCGCCCAGTTGTTGAGTGCCGCAAGATGTGTGCTTAAAACTACCTCCACTAACTGGATACTCCTCCCACCCGCAGGTTTTCCGTATACGCACTCCTACAGAAGCTATCAACTTGGTGTCCCTGCTGCTCGAGTACACGCCCAGCGCCCGGATCACACCGCTCAAGGCCTGTGCACATCCGTTCTTTGATGAGCTGCGCATGGAGGGAAACCACACCTTGCCCAACGGTCGGGAGATGCCGCCGTTGTTCAACTTCACAGAGCATGGTAAGTGGTTTGTTTTCCTAACGTCGACCTGGCCACCCCCTAATCGTATATCCATTCGCAGAACTCTCGATACAGCCTAGCCTGGTGCCACAGTTGCTGCCCAAGCATCTGCAGAACGCATCCGGGCCCGGTGGCAATCGATCCTCGGCCGGCGGAGTGGCCTCCGCTGCGGCCAGCGGCTCCACCAGCGTCTCGTCAACGGGCAGCGGCGCCTCGGCGGAAGGATCCGCCCAGCCACAGTCGCAGGGCACAGCCGTGGCTGCGGCAGCTGCGGGATCGGGAGGAGCAGCAGCAGGAGCCGGCGGGGCGAGTGCCGGAGGACACGGATCGGGCAACAACAGCAGCAGCGGCGGCGGAGCATCGGGAGCGCCGTCTGCCGTGGCAGCTGGTGCCAATGCGCAGCAGGGCAATGCCGCCGCCGCCGCTGGAGGCGGTGGGGGCGGAGCGGCGGCCGCTGCTGCCACAGCAGCTGGCGCAATGGCCGCGACCAGTGCCGGCGGCGCCAACGTGACAGGTGAGTAAGCGGCTGGCCAGCGGCTTCCTGTCCCCTGTCCACTGCTCCCCTTCCTCCTTCCTCACATCTAGTCCACCACCCTTGCCCAGAAATTGTATCAGTATCGTATCGTAATATATATGCAGATCGTAATTTCACAACATGAATGCATATGATTGTACATCAACTCCGCCTTATTGGCGATTGGTTAAACTTTTAATAAACTGTATAATGTATTTCAATTTCAAGATGTTAACTGTTCTGTTACCGATAAAAACTTTCACAAAAAAAATTAAAATAAATTGTGTCAACGGGTTGACAATATTAGAATATTGAAAGTAGTATTAATAAAAGTAATTCATTTGTATTATGATATTACACATTATATTAAATATGTATTAATTGTTATACAAGTAAATCGATTCATCCAAGTTTCCATAGTAATTTTGAACATATTAGGTATACAGCTTTTAATTACGATACGATATTCTAATATACAATCCTAGATTACTGCTCCCATCACCTCATCCAAACCCTCAGCTGGCGTCAATCTCATGCTGAGACCACCGCGCAAATTTCCGTTGTCAGGCAAGACCTATCTGCGCAATCCGGCCAAAATATGAATCCGAACGCCTCGCCGCCATCCATTTAGTCATACATCTACCAAGCACCTCCTCCAATCCAAGCCAACCCAGGGAAAGAGGGAGATAGCCACCCATTAGCAGTAGACATTTTGAGATGAAAGTGGAAAGTGTCGTAGTCAAGAATTAAGAGTCAACAATCAAGGAAACGAACTAAAGGTTCCAAATCAAATCACACAAGCTCGAAAAATGGACAGTTTTCAAGAACAAATTCTTGTTGTAGTTATTTTTAATTTCGACATATTTGCAAGTTATATCAGTTAAATCTAAATAAGTTAAATCTCAAGCTATAATAAAAGGAGGTAAAAGTTACTAATAATATCAGTTGGTCATTAAATCAAAAAAGGCTTGTTATAATAATCAGAAATCAGAACTTTTACGCTTTCCAAGGGTTGGTCACTTCATGCACAGCGAATTCCCCTCAAGAAATGGTGCCTACAATTGTTTATCTTATTGAGGATGATGAAATGGGTCGATGATTCCCCGCCCACAGCTTTTTATGTCTGTTTGTGGCGTCTGGCGGTCGTTATCGAATACTTGATAAGACGCTTGATTTTATTCTTTTTCATTCAGCCAACTTTTGTTTTCATTTTGTTATCATTAGCCAAGCTAAGAGAAACACTTTTAATTTTAATTTTTGTGTTCTTTTCTTTTTATTTTTTACTTACAGATTCATAGGGGCAGTAGAAACATACATTACATACAGCAACAAGCATATATAATAATTATACACAAGTACGGAGAATGCAAAACCAGCAGCAACAAAAATTAAAACAACAAAGAACCCTATATACACAATAATTAATACATTTAATTAATGCAACTGATACAAAAACAGCAACAAAAACGAAAGTAGAACAGCAAAAAAAAGCTGAAAGAAAAAGCAAGTAAAAGTAAAACAAATTATAACAAACGCAAAATTTTACTAAGGTAAAAATTAAATTTATTTTAAATCTAAAATAAAACTAATAAGCATAATAATAATAAATAATAATGGTAAATAAAAAACACAATAATTATAATAGTAAAACGCTGATCGATTGTCATTTTGCCACCAACGTGCGTGGCGACATATTTTTTAATTAATATTATTATTATAAATATTACTTTCTTTCTCCCCTCTCACACTCCCTTCGTTAAATATTATTTCCATTACTTTTTGACGCCTATATGTATATTGAACAGAGTCATTGCATATTTTTTTTTATACCACCTTGTTTTTAGTATGTTTAACTGATAAGCCAGAGAAAAAAGAATATATAAATAATCCAATGAAATAACGAGTTTTGTGTTTTTAAAGTTAAGATTTAAACAAGAGCAGACATTTTAATGAAATTAATTAGATTAACTAAATCAAAAACATAGGAACACCCTAAAGCATGCACGACCTTAACAAAAGAGAACAAAATCAGAAGGAGGTGAAAATAAAGTTGAAGAGGAGAAGACGAAAGAACTAAAAAGCCCCGAGCATAATGTTATTGTTATGTTAAACCTAAATTTAATGGACACATGATTAAAGCAAAAAAAAAAAGAAAAAAAAAACAAGCAACAAACAAAAAGCGAAACTGTTTAAACTATACTTACATAATATATAATCTTTATGAATACAAAGTACATTTTTTTTTGCAACACCCATTATGTATAAATACATATTAAATAAATAAATTATTTTTATTTTTATTAAATAATAATTATTATTATTTTGTAATAAATAAAAGGTAATAATTGATTGAGAACAAGAAAGAAATACAAACCGAGCGTGGAAATTAAGAACCCCTTTCATCGTACATATTTTTTTTTATTTTTTTGCGTTAAAATGTATCTAAATGTATGTATTATTATTTAGCCAGTAGTCGATAGAGAGAGTTGTGTATCGGATGTAGAAAACATAAAGCTAAAGCAGGGATGGTAGCTGGCATCTGAGAACCTACGGCTTAGTTGCAATATGTAGATAAGGTCCAATTATCGGGTTTCTGTAGCTGTAGAGCTGCATAATTATTTGCATACATAGTCAGTGTCGCCTTGCCTCGCCCCCAAAATCTTCTCCCCTCACTCCCCATCTTTCCATCCAGCACTGCTATGAAATATTATTATTATCGTCAGATTGGCAGAACTGTAAAAAAATAAACGAAAAGAACAAAAAAATGAATAAGCGAGATAAGAGAAAATAAGAAAAAAGAAAAAAATGAGCAAACACTTATATTTATTTCTATAGTTTATTATAATCGACCTTAAACTAATTATTATGCTAATTATAAACGATTAATGGATACACACGATCGCAGAATAAAATACATTTTTCCTAGTAATTTAGGCACACACACACAACAAGAAAACACATACGAAAAAACCTTTAAAAAAATAAATAAAAAGTAAAAAAGAAAAAATAAAAAGAAACAGCAAATTATAATCATTTACCTTATTTTTTAATTTGCTAATTACATAATCCACACACACACACACACACTACATACAGACACGTACAATACGCATACTCTGACAAATGTATATGTAATGCTGTAATAATCATGATAATATATAGATTCGTTGATGATAATGAGCAAAGAAGCCGTAATAATAATGATAATAAATAAATACAACAAAATCCAACAAATAAAAAGAGAAACAAATACAATATTTAAACGAAAGTAAAACCTTTTCTTATTGCCTTTCCTTTGTACCACCATACACTGTATCATTTTGTTCAGTGTGATCTTATCGTTTTAACATTTTCGTTGGGCTTTTGGCGGCATTCTCATTTTCCTTCCATAGGTCCTCGAAGTCAATGGGGTTAGGATGAGTGAAATCGTTGCAAGTTTCAGATGAAGATCAACTTAACTTAAAAAAACCGATATATGTTGGTGCTGCAATTAAGCTAAAATAAAATCTATCACCACTCATATTGAACATTGACCATTTTTAATATTTTTGAATTAACATATTAAAATGTTTTCTTAATTGGCACATTTTGTTTATTTTTAATACTATTATTTCAAACGTTTTTTTTCAAAATATTTATTAGTGTTTTTTGAACAATCGTAGACCTTAGCTGTCTGTGAACTTCATTCTCTTAGGAGTTATGAAACAGGCTCTCGTATTCTTTCATAGGGCTGGTCCTGTCAAGGGATAATCTCCCGTAATACGTAATACAGCTACCAAATACGAAAAGCAATCCACATTTGTATCTCTCCTTTTTTTGGTCGACGTTTTGTAGGTTCGCAGTCGAACAGCGCCCTGAACAGCAGCGGAAGTGGCGGAAGTGCCAGCGGAAATGGAGAGCCAGCAGGATCGGGATCTGGATCGGGATCGGGAGGCGGCACTGGCGGCGACAACGACGCTGGCGACAGTGGAGCAGCAGGATCTGGAGGTGGTGCAGCAGAAACCGAGGCCGCGGCGTCGGGTTAGCGCGGTGGAGGCGTTCTGTTTATCTAATCTTATTCCAGGACATTCGCTCTGGCCGGGGATTAAGTTTTCCATTTTCAACCAAGGAGCAAGAGCGACACGGCAAGATCACCAAACCACACACACAGTTACACTCAAAAAAAAAGAGGAGAAAGAAGTCACTGCAAAAGCTAAGAAAAATGATAGACAAAAGAAATTCACGTTACAACACACCCACCCAAACTCTAAAAACAAACACACTAACAGCCCCACACTTCCCCAACCACCCCACACACACACCCACCCCACACACACACATGTATGTATGTATCTAGCTATATTATGCATTGGGCGCAAGCAAATATTTAGCATAAAACTCGAAAGAAAACAAAAAACTTTAAACTATGCATAAATAATAATTAAAATAATAATCTGTATTATTGAACAAAGAAATACCCTGGAAGAATGTTGAGAAATAATCGGAAAAACCCTCGCCCCTGCGCCCTGCCCTCCAATATAGTAAATAAAATTTAACAAATAACTCGCGAAACGTAATAAAACTTAAGTAAAAAAATCACAAGAAAAATGAGAGAATACTTAGTGAAATAAATCAAAATTTTTTGCCCCGTTTAACGTTTATATATATGCGGTTATACAAATATAACGATCACAGCAGTTAGCAATCCATAGTAAAAAGTAAAAGGCGGCAATGTGAGGAGAACTAGAAAAAAGAAGGATACCACATTTACTAAACTCGCGCAAGTGCATCTATATAAATACGATATAGATATTATATTATATACGAGATATTAACAAGTCATTCGTAATCCTAGTAGCAACCCAACCCATGAACCGGAGCCCCAAAACCCAACCTTCAATCCTTCCCGTAAGTCCCACTCGTAAACCAGGTAAAAGAAACGTTCCACGTATAGCAACATTTCCATGGCCTGTTCTTAAGTAACGTCTAGCATTAACTACGATTATCTAAGAAAGCGATCGTCAAAATGCAATATACACTAAAAACACTATATATAAATACAAAGAACATAACAAATTGATGAAAAAGTAAATGGATGTATGAATGAGGAAAACGCTTTTAGCGCGCGACGCCACCCATAAACTTAAATTAACAATGCAAATAAAGAGGTAATAAGATGGTAAAGCCAGGATCTTGATATATGTAAAAGTAATCGACAAAACCCATTTAGCTGCAATTGAAAATTTAAACTAATTTAATACAAATTGAAGTAAAATACGATGAAACCGATGATGGTTTTAGAATGTAAGGCCTTAGATCAACCGGAAACTCCTGCGCGACTATAGTACTACCCCTCGGTTCGATTTATTCCACTATCCCTATCCCTTTTAAAGCCACCCAGTGAAACTGTTTAGATCTCGTTTTGAAATCTGCGATTATTTCCCAGAACTTAAAGCCCTATAAAAAGCTAAGTAAACAAAAGAAAAACCAAAAACCAAAAGAAATAAGGAAAGGCAAGTCTATTTGTATGTATTTCCATAGAACTCCTTAAATATTATATGAGAACATATATTTTTTTTTCTAACTAAATGATACATTTATACAATTAATGAACGTTGAGTTTTGTTGCATCAAAACTAATTAAATTTAACTATATATACTTATATGTACACACCCACACACGGACACACACGTACATTCAGACATACTCACACGCACATACGCCTATTATTTAAAAACAAATTGAAAAAAGCAAAGATTTTCAAACTAAATTCCCAAACCTTTTTAGTAAATAATCTAAGTAAACATGGGACAGGATATATATAAATCAGACAAACACACAGAGTTTAATTTGTAATTTGAAATTTAAAGAGAGAAAAATAAAAACCCAAAACAATATATATACACACATATATTGAATAGAACAACATACTTATATATGATGAACAATTTCAGCGTTTCGCTTAAATTATGAGGCAACAACCACAAGAAAATCCAAAACAAACTTAAACTTAATTAACAAATAAACACAAACATAAACTAATTGCAAAAATAAAAAATGGGAAAACCAAAATTGAAAGAGGAAATGATAATGACATGAAACACGAGAAAAATGCGTAAAGAAAACATTAATTTAAAAACAATAAAAATTACAGACAAAATTATATAAATAGAAATGTGTATTTTTAATGTGGTTTGGGGTAATGGTTTTATTTCTATTTTATTTATTTTATTTTATTTCCATTTTTGGATTTTTTGATCGAAACTCTTGAAAATAATGGCGCCACCTGCCGGATGGCAAGGACACTCCGTCCATCCTGCGCGTGGAGCTGGACTGCGAAAAATCGCACAGCAAAATGGATGATTTCTCAACCCAAACACCAGGCGAACATAAATCAGCAGTAGGTATCCAACGTTTGGTTTTTCGTTTATCCTAGAGATGTACGCGTGCCTATTTATTTCGGAGCGCCAACAACAAACACATGGGGCTTTCGTGTTTTCTCGTGCTTTTCGTGCCAAACTCGTGAGATGCACAAAGAAACAACGTGGTTGCCCATCTCTAGACTGCGCTTGGCTTAGAACTAACGGTTTTATTCCACAGTTTTTTCATAATGGCCGAATAGATGGCAGCCATCATGAAAAAAACAGCTGATCGCACCACATTTGCTTAGGGCGCTGCCTACTTGCTGTGCATTTCTGTTCGCTTAGTACTTCAAAATGGTAAGTTGCCCATTTTGCATAGGAAAAATTTGGTTTGGCCGGTCCATTTCGACGGGCAAATTTCGATTTATCGGTTTGCCACACCAGGCAAACATAGACATTAGGAGGTATCGAAATTTCAGTTTTCTGCGTTAAGCAGGGCGTAGTCAGAATTTTTGAAAAAAGGGTTTGAAATCGCCATTTGGGGACGTTTGGCCCCCAAACCCCTGCTCTCGCTGACTACGCCCCTGTGTGCTGGAACACAAGTAATGGTTCATTTTAGTAAAATGGAATGGTTGTCCAATCAGAATCGGTTGTGTGGCGGCCATCATGTAAAGAACAGCTGATCGCACATCACTTGTTTAGAAGGCTGGCTACTTGCTATGCATTTATGTTCGCCTGGTACTTCAGAATGGGAAGTTGCCCAGTTTGAATGGGAAAAATTTGGTTTGGCCGCTCCAATTTGACGAGCAACTTTAGATTTATCGGTTTGCAACCCTAGACGAGCATAAAAATTAGTGGATACCAAATATCAGTTTTCTGCGTTAACCAGCAAAGTTACAATAAAAAACCCTTAAAAAATGTGTTTTAAATATATGTGTTTGATGGCCAAAATCCAGAAAAAACAGCTTGTTTTTTCAGTTTTTTAATCAAAACCCTTGGAAATAATGGCCAGATCTTGGAATGTCATACCTCGTTGAATTCGCTACAAAATTTCCAATCGAATGGTATTCTCAGCTCAAAATTTGTATTTTGGGCCATATTTGGGAAAAAATCAAGTGTTACCCCTTACCAAAAATGCGAAAATAGGTCAAAAAATGAAATTTACTAAAACCTCCTGGAATCGATTGTGTAGGTTGTCAGCAACACAAAACAGTCATTCTTTTCACTGTGCGTCTTATTTTGGCAAAGCTACAACAAAAAAACCCTCCGAAAATGTGTTTTAAATATATGTTTTTAATGGCCAAAATCCATAAAAAAGTTCAGTTTTTTAATCAAAACCTTTGGAAATGTCTCGTTAAATTCGTTACAAAATTTCCAATCGATTGGTATCCTCAATCGCCGTAAGTCTTCCACATCTCACTTAACCTTTAAAACGTAATCTCACCTCTTGTATTTGCACTATTAACTTTTAAATTTATTGGTAAAAAAAAAAATTGGTATATATATGAGTATAGTAAACTAGCCGACAGTTGCTCCCCTTGCTTCGGCACCCATTCCTCCGGAGATGCCATCTTCCGGAGACTACGTCCGGCGGTGTTTGCCCAGACTGAGATCGGTAACTCCGCCCTCCGGCTTGAGGCGCCGCTTGCTACTCCGACTCCCAGCCGCCTTAAGGCCGGATACGGTCCCTGAAATGCGCGATTCCACCATGGCCTGCGGTGCAATCTGCAGAGGCAGTGCCGACTCCAGGAGGTGCTCACTTTTGATGACTGCTCCCGGGGCAATCATGAGCAGGTCATTGCCTCCATTCCCATTCCCATTCCCATTTCGCTGCTGCTGTCCATCAGTTCGCTCGCACTTGATGTGCCGCACTGTCGGCATATCCGGATTCTCCAGCTCCCCATCCGCCGCATGACCATTCATTACCCGATTGTCGTTGTTGTTCGGCTCCAGCTGACCCCCAGTTGGATGCGCCGGCACCTGCCGCTGCTGCCACTCGAGGATGCCCGTCAACAGCTTGATATACTTGATGGCCGAGCGCAGGATCTCGTTCTTAGAGAGCTTCTTGTCCGGCGGATGAGTGGGCACCAGCTTGCGCAGTTCCGCAAAAGCGCCGGACACGTTCTGCTGGCGCCATCGCTCCCTGGTGTTGGTGAACACCTTGCGTACTCCGCCGGTGGCTCCTCCTCCTCCGGCCCCGCCACTGGCATTCCCTCCGGAAGAGGAGGCGTTTCCGCCCCCGCCGCCTCCGCCGGCAGAACTTCCGGAGCTGGGTGGCGCGGTCAGCAATCCGTTGCGGGAGTGACTCCGCGGGGAACTGGACAGCGAACGACTGCCTGAAAGCGGGACAATTTAATATATACGCTTAATTAGTGAAATAATTTTATTTCGTTATTCTACAACTTTGTATAATTATGTTAAACTCAATATTATTAAATAAACGACTACAAAATTATATTTTCTCCACTTTAAATTTACATTATTCAACAGATAACCAAATCATATTTTTTCCCTTAAATAAAATACGATTTTTTTTAAACATGTTTAAGCCTTGGACATTAAAAAAGAAAGAATATTTAGACATCGTAAATGGATGTGAAAACTGGAAAATTACACTTTCTTAGATGGATAGATTTTCAAAGATTTTAAGCCTTTATGTTTGTGTTGGTTATACAACAAAGTATCGTCCGTAAATCCATATATTGTTTGGCTTAAAACAAGACTTAGCCTAGCTTTTAAGCCAAGAATCCTATGCCCTTAAAACCGAGATGTAAGTAGGTGATTCTTACCATCCGCCTGGTTGCCATTGAGCACGATGTAGTCCCGCAGATCCTCCTCGTCCTCCTCGGTGTCGTTGAGGGAGAAGTCGGAGAGCTCCGCGTCGCCGTCTCCGTCGGAAACGGACTCCGTCTTGGGCTGCAGATGGGGCGTGGCATGGCGGAGAAGGGCGGGCGGCTGTCTGCCGATGTCCCGGACAACTCCGTTGCCATTTACGTGTCCGGAACGTGGGGATCCGTTGGTTTGGCTGTGTCCGGAGGAACCGCTCGAGGCCGTGCTCCGTTCGTCTGCGTTGTCCGCCCCATTGGAGCTACTCGGTAGCCATGCCATCTCTCCGGAATAGGATGGATACGAGGATGCGTCTGTTCTGTTGCCTTCAGAGTGCCGCAGCCAAGTGAGCAACTGATTGAGTGCCGGGCTCGACTCCGTGACTGTGACTGGAAACCAACCCCCCTTAGGATGAGGGCGGAGCCAAGGACGCGACGCGGCGAACCACCCCCAAACGAGGCATACACACAAAAGGGGCGGACTCGACCTTGGCGATGGGAGGGGCTGCCGCGTTGCATACGTTGCTGTGGGGCGAGATACGAGGCATACAGGGTTACCAGTGCTTATTTTTTAAATTAAACTACAATATAGAAATTACTCCATTTGTGCTCTAATAGGATTTGTGCTCTCAAGGTTGAGGGATAATAAATGATGTATAAAAGAACCCATAATCCTGAGTTATTATTATTAAAAGTAGTTTCAATAAGTTCCCAATTAATTTTCTTTTAAGGAAACTATCGATTTAAATACTCGTTGTAAACAAAAAGAAATATGGCTGAGAGAATTATAAAAAAAACAGGATGATTTTAATATCTCAAGATCATGCTTCTTTTATAAAAGGATGATTTTAATATCCCAAGATCATACTTTTTTTTATATGTAACTCTCTCAGCTATATTTCACTCAGTATTTAATAGTATTAAGTCCCTATTATTATATTTCCAGTTCACTACCCCTTTGTTCTGTACAATGCACTCCATTTTCCTTTCCGATAAACTCACCTGCGGACAACCACCTTACTGGTGGCTAATGGTGGCGGGTCCGCCCACACTTAGGCGCTTCTGCTTCTTGAGGAGCGTCTTCGGCGGAGACGGCGGCTGCGAGGAGTGTGCCACATCGCCCACCTGCTCCTGATCCCGCTCCTTCAGCTCCGAGTCGGAGGAACGCACAGCCTTGGGCGCACCACCCACACTGCCCACTATACCCACTCCAGGCACGTGCACGGGGGCCAGGCTCTGGCGCATCGCGGGCGAGGGGTTCACGAAGATCATCTTGTCGCACACCTCCTCGCTGACCCCGGAGTGACCCTCGCGCACCACCCGGGGTCGGAAGACGTACGAGGTGGCCGACATCCGGGGGTCCACATACTGCACCTGCACCTCCACGGGAAAGTCGCTGCCCAGCACCTCGCTGATCTCGAAGGGAGCGCTGTCGGCCACGTGGAGGCGCAGTGGCAGGCGTGGCGACATCTTGAAGGTGACGCGCCGGACGAAACGGGACAGGTCGCCGCCATCCCGGCCGGGTCGCAGGTAGACACTCCACGTGGGCTCCAGCATGTGGGGCAGGTCCGGGTCGCAGAGCTCCATCCGGCAGCCGAGCACGATGTCCCGGCTGATCACACAGCGCCCGGAGAGATTCGGCACCGGGCCGCGGTTGCAACTCACCCGCTGGCAGTCGTCCACCACGTTCTGGTGGCGCAGGAGGTTCGTGTAGCTCATTCCAGTTCCGTATCACTAATCCTGCTCAAAGCGAATTTCAAATCTTTTTTAACCAAAAATTTTATACAACAAGATCACTTGGAGCATTACAAAAATTTGTCAAGATCTATTATGATAAGTGGCATCCAAATGAATGGTGACAGGGATAGCAGCCGCCTACTCGTCAGGGTTTCAAAATTCTGAGACATCTAAGAATGTATATAGTAATTTTTAAAGATTGCGGGGTAAGGATTTTATTTTTATAAAAATTAGACGATCGAAACTTTTATCGGAAAATCAACATAGCTTCATTGTTTTTAAGCATCGAAATTAAAATATAGTATATATAGTATATAAATGACTAAAGAAAATAATAATAAAAAAATTCATTACTGTTAATAAAAAAACCTTATTTTTAATAATAATGATTTCTTAAAACGTTTTAGTGTAGACCTTGTAGAAAAGATTCCACCCACACGATCTTCCATCGAGATATGTATATATAAATATAAATTAATATTATTATTTCCAAGCTAAAAATTATATACTCTTGAACAAGAAATGTGAACTATTGAATATTATATTATACTTATGCTATCAATATTATATTTACAACCTTGTTAACCTTTAAATAAAAATATAGTTTTTAATAAAAAAAAAAAAAAAAAGTAGATCTTGAAAAGGCTTAAAGCCTTGCAGATTTGTAAGTTCACTTTGGACTTCCGTTGTCAAGTGCAAATAACCATTAAATGTTTGGAACCTTTTCCTACTTTTTGTCCCTACGTGAAGATGCTAATCTTAGCCTGGGATTAAGGTCCAGTAAAAGTTTGCCCCGAAGCGTTGAAATTTCAACGCCACCGTCATTTACCGAGATTTTAGCACGCCTTAAAATCAAATTATCTCATTATTATCCAATAAAGAGTGATTCTGAAGGGGAGGTGAGGTCGCAGGGGTCAGGGGTCAGGAGTACCCAATGCGCAGGCGCTAAGAGGCGGAGCTAAACGAAGCGGAATAGGGGTTGTTCTGACCTGGGCATTTATTTAGCTGGATATTTGTTGGGCACTGGAAAATTTACCAATAACTTGGATACGAGGTGTCCACTTCGAGGCAGCAACTCAGAAGTCGCAGGGCCAGGGATTGACCAGGTAACGCCGCTCCTGGACGATGCTCCTGCGAGCTCGATTCAGTTCCATCCGGAGGTGTTCCCTGGCCATGGAACTCGGTACTAATATCTGCTGTTCATCTTCTTGTTCTGGGGGCGCTGCTACTTCATCTCCTTGGTATTCCGCGTGCTCCCCGAGATCTGGCTGAGTCCCATGGTCATCCTGCATCTCCTCTAAAACTGGCAGTCTGAGCAGCTGCATCATTTTCCGGGAGGGATTCACAAAGATAATGGTGTGGGCGGTGTCCTGCATGGCGCAGGGCAACTCTCTGCCGAGGGAATCCTCTCCTGGCAGCCCGACGGGATGATGGAAGATCGTGCACGTGTGATCCGCATCCCGGAAGAGCAGAGTCAACGTGACCATCGAGGCGCGGCAGCAGTAGGAACTGGTTTGGAATGGCGGCCTGTCCACGATTTCGATGCAGTTGACGCAATCGCCGCTGAAGCGGAACACCACCTTCTGCACATAGTCGGCCAGTGGCTCCGCCGCCTCCTCCTCCGTCCGGACGTCCACCCGAAACTGGTGCGTCCAGCGATTGGCCAGCGGGCGGACCAGCCGGCGGCACACGCTGCCGACGAGGATGCGGCGCTCGTGCTGCTCCAGCCGCCGCTCGTAGTCGGTGGCCAGCAGGTAGCGGCTGTAGGCCACGTCCAGGTGCTCCTCCGTCATGGTTCCTCCTCTCGCCATCCGCCCGGCTAGTGGCTCTCGAATGAGGCCTCCATTTTGATGGAGACTGGGAAGGATGCGGAAAAGCCTGCTCTTTTAGGTCGCATATCAAAAACACAAAAGAATGCCATTTTCTGTAGGTACTTACATTGATTTCTGATAATAATAAGCAAATGTTTATAGTGATTTTTTTAAATTATATATATTTATATGTTATATTATATATATATTTCTTTGGTTAACTCCATAACACTTGTTATCTTAACCATTATCTAATTTAAAGCAGAAAACAAGTTGTGAATTATACTGATTAATGACGTTTCTTGAAAATGTTAAAAACTTTAAAAATAGCAATGCAAATTTTAGGATAGCAACTTTCCTATTCGACCAAGTTAATAAAGCTAAAACTATCTATTATCGTTAATTCGGTTGGTTATTGTGGGAAACTGATATCATTTGAGGGTGAGGGAGGATTACAGCACTAGCTCAACCCAAACCCACCTGATCTGGTCCACTGTCCTGCAATTGCAATTCATATTCATGGACAGGTCGTCGCCACTTGGGCATTAGAGGGTTGTCCTTGGGAACGCAGCTCTAATCCCGCTCACAGTCCGACCGACACTCACACAGAACCACCCCCCGAAATCCGATTAGCGGCAATCAAATTGTATCACATCATATCAAAACAGCCCGGGAGGGAAAGTGTGAGGAAAAGTCAACAGTCGCCAGCATCAAAATCAAATTAGCAGCAGTTTGGTGGCTAATTCGAATGCTCTTTATCATTTTCTGGCAGGCGTCTGCGACTTTTCAGCACGTGTGTGGCCAGGATAGATAAGAGAGAGGACCGGCAAACTCCGGCAAACTTCGGCAAACACCCACACGTGGCCCACAATGGAGGTTGGTGTGGAGTGGGCCTGGTCAAATGGATTTTCACACCCACTCGACGCCGGCAAAGCCGCCAATTAATAAAATTCAATTATTCCAAGCCACCGCAGACCGATGGGAAGAGGTGATAAAAAATAACGACATATTTCGACCCTCGCATCGGATTTGAGGGGGTTAAAATCGTCTTAGATCCTCTTAAAAATATACATACATTCTCTTAAATCATTTCCTATGTATTGCTCATATTTAGATTTTATAGTCTACTGAAACGTATGGCATTCATCAATAAAAGCAAATTGGCAAAGACAATTCATGAACTTACAATTTTTACAATTAAAAAATTCAACCCATTAAAGAAAAATCTAGAGTTACCTGAAATACAGAACATAAACATATTGCCCCTACTACATAATGTTATACTATTATTTTTTACGCGGGTATGAACAGTTTTGCAACTGTTTAGCTATTTATATCTCCGCGTATTACGGGCTTCGACAGCACAACAAAGACCCCCTCCCCCACTTATGGTTCAACAACCCCTGGAGAGGTGGAATCCCAATCCCCCGCTGTTAAGGTCTTGTGCCGCCACCTGTGGGCCAGAACCGGTACTCGCTGCCTTCGAATCCCAATATCCGATGGCAATCGATAGCCAGCTGAGCGAAGAAGGAAAAGCCAGGGAAAATCAGCTGTCGTTGGCATTTCCATGTACGTGCCACAGAACACATCTGCCCAGGTAGAGCTTCCAGGGGCGAACAGAGACTGGAGGGTGGAGCGCTGGGGGCCAAAAGCTTGGCGCCACTTTCATTTGTGTCTGTGCGAAGGCAAAGGCAAAGGGCTGCTGGCGATAGATGGCAGATAGTGGGATAGTGAGTAATGCCGTGGCGAAATGTCAGTGCCTGTGTGCAAAAGTCATCGTGGGTCTGTCACCCGAATGCAAAAAGCGAGCGAGAAAGCCGTAGGCAGTAAAAAGCCGCCACTCACGTGGCGAAATGCGTGACTTGACCCGCAAATCCGCTGCCCAGCCACTCCCCCGAAAAACACCCCTCGGAAAACGTGGTGCCACACACCTTAAATTCACCCCCGGCGGCCACCCACATCCCCCCAAAAAGACAGGGGAATCCACAGCTTTCCTTAACCTCAAGTTGGTGCATGGGGTTTGTTTATGGTTCTCGATTTGGAGAGTTTCCAGATATACAAATGGATCAGTAGAAAGTAACAAAATAAAACTACGTTTTTTTTTTTAAAGCTATCGTGGAGTAACGAGGGGGTACATACGTCCGTAATCTATGTAAATTAGTAATCTGTTTAGTCTGACGAAGCGATCACAGAAATAAACAAATACTTTAGTGATTTTTTTGTAAATTAAAAATATTATCTCTTTGTGGTAGCATTAATAATGTAATTAGTAAAGGGACATCCGTCGCTTGAATTGTATTAGACAGAACAGGTCAGGCTTTAAATATAATGTATTTAATTAACATTATAATTAAAGCCTTACCTGTTCTGTAGCATACAGTTCAAGCGACGGACGTTATTATGTTTAAATTTTCTTTTTTTCTTTTAAAGAAAGTCTTTCTCTGGTTGTTTGGGCTGAATTCAAAAGCTCCGCACAAGGGTTAATACTCGGGCCGAGCCCGACTGTTCTCGAGTCGATAGCGAACTGCGGAGAGCGGAGAGCTGCGAGAGAGTGTGAGAGAATTCTCGGAATGCGAGACTGCATTTGGAGGCATGTAGACTGGAGCTTGGGGGCTAGCCCATTAGTATTCGTGCGAATTTCCAGCCAGAAGGTCGACCAACGCGTTCGTCCAGCAAACGAGGGAATCGCAGTGATTTAAAAAAGAAGCGAAACAACGGCCATTGAGCCACGCAAGATACTTTTTATTTGTTTGGTGACAGTGAGAGTGGCGGTGCTGAATGAAATTCGGCCGCAAAAGTGAAGAATATAGCCAACACTTGATATACTAGCAGTACTTTGAGAGTGCAGCGGAGAGCGAGAGTGTAAGTGCCATTGTCACGTTGTTGCAATAAAAAAAATACCAATGAACAGCAACAGGCGGGAGAGCAAACCATTATCATATTGCAAAAAACAAAACAACTCGGGCCCAACTTATGTAAAGAACTCGATTCGTAACGTCTAAATGGCGTACATACATAGTGTTTATTAATAAGTGCCGACTGCACAGTGCACGTTGCACAAAGGGGCGAAAACAATCATCAATTGCAGCGTAAACAAAAGCTCTGAACACATACCTGACCCTACTGAACGCGACTCGAGTGTCTGCGGCTCTGGGTTAAAAATAAAAATAAAGTTAGACGGCTGGACGAGCCAAATGTTACGCATACGCGGCGTGGTCCAGTGCATAAACTTTGGCAATCTGTGGCGACTTATGCGACTGCAACATTTTGCAATGGGAAACCGTATAAATAATTTGACTTACACTGCATGTTGCGTTTATTGGCTTGAAACTGGGTCAATTTACCTTACTTGGTAATGGGAAAAATAGCAACCATCCCTTGGCTTGTTCTATTAAATGTTGGTTAATAACGTGTAAGACATTTTTTCGACATTATAAGATAATCACCAACATGAAATTAATGCTTAATTTTGATACACCTTTTACTCATACAAAACTCATAAAAAGTACGCATTCGACACTATTTATTCATGATCATCCGATTTGGAAAGCCCCAGACATATTATACAAGCTAAAAAGAAAACTATTAATAACTCAGCACCTGGTTAGGCATTGTATTTGCACAATACAGAACACAGAACCCATAACCAAAATCCCCGCCCCTCAGTTACAAGGCTGTTATCCACGGATTGCGCATCCTGCTTGGCATTATCTAACATCCTCGCGAATGACGCACGACCTACTGTAATTTCGCTATTCAATCCTCCCACAAGGACTCGACCAGGTGGTCCTCTTTGAGTTTCCAGCCCGAGTAAATGTTCACTGACGTATCCGATGGAAACTGGGTCAATCGGTTAACTACTAAATCTATTTAGAAGAGCGTTTAATTGGTTAATAGTTTTGGGTTAAAAGAATTTCTTAAAATGCATGGGGCGTGCACAACTTTTAAAGGTTTTAATGGGATTTTGAATTTTACGCTTATAACTGAAAACAAAACATGGCTTAATAAAAAATTAGTCTTTTATAATTAAATAGTCAGTTTAATTGACCAACTAAATGAAATATATTGTTCATTCTTTACATATCCATTACATATATGAACTTTTTCTGCTAATTGTCTTTTCTTTAAATAGTAATAATGAATAACTTTCATACATTTCTATGTCAGATTGTTTGCTTAAAAAAGTATCTGAAAAAAACAAATTTAACAAAGGCCAACAATGGAAGCTCATAGTAGTTCTAAAATGTATAAAGTATTTAAAGAATTTTGCTGAAATACGGAGGTTAAACATGGTCTTATGCAATCGTGAAATTCCACTCCGCGTCTATTTTTGTTGGTATGACATAACCGATGTCTCCTTATTTGTGAAACATGAGATTTAGCAAACAATCAGTATTTTAGCTATTGGGCTTGTAGTGCTACTCCAATTCTTAATAAGTCAGCGTGTTTATTCGGAAAACAGCACACTGTGCAGGAAAGCGGATATTGCAAACTAATGCGACTCCCGGGGCTTATCTTGTATAAGGTATATTGTATATTTTGCACCTATTTATCTGGGCTTGGGAGTGGGTGGGGCTTCGTTTGTGTTTTCCCAAATTCAGCTGTGTGCATTGCGATTGCAAAACGGCATCCGTTGGCGACAACAAAAAAAAACAACAAAAACCAGCACTCAACGCCTGCAGCTGCACGTGAATGCAACATCCCTCCCTCGCACGCCATGTGCTCTTAATTATTGCGTGAAGCTTCGGTGGAGGGAACTTGCCCAGTACTTTTACTTGACTTTTCCCAAGCCAAGCTTATATTAAAGTATTTCATTATTGTTAATATTATTTGAAAACATAATACAGGTATGCAGAACTGTCCAATTTCTCAAAGTCCTTTAAAATATACTTACTTGTTTAGAATTTGCTGGAATATCATAGAGTAATCTCCTTGATAAATCATTTATTTCCTTAAATTCCGAAAGGCCGTTCAAGCAACGTGAATAAATTTACGGAGAGAACCTCTACCGAACAACGTGAATGAATAGAATCGAATATACTATACATACATAAATATTTACCTGACGGCCGGCGACGAATTGAAACCGATTGATTGAAAGGAAACTGGCAATCCCACGACATCCAGATGTTGGTGAAAGGCAACACAGCGCCGCAACAGATTTAGTGATGTATTCCGTCATATGACCGAAGTGAAACTATTTCACAACACCAAACGAATCACAATCGATCCACGTTTATGCAACAACAGTGCTTTGAATGAAAGTACAAGTCGATTCTGCAATACAGTTGGATAATTCATTAAAACTTTTTAAATGTGACTAGGACTTTTAAATTGCTAATTCTTTCTTGCCAAATGAAGTGGAAATTTACTTTTTGGAACAAGAAAACTAATTCAAATGATTGTTTTATAAACTAAAAAATGTGAATAGCTTGCAATTGTTTTTAGTTTATTTAAATAAAAAACAGAAATTATATAACAAACAAATTAATACAATAATGAATGTATAATAGAAACATGTTTTTTGAAAAATATTTTGGGCTAGTTACATAGCTTTAAAAATAAAAATAATCTATGGTAATATTTAACAGTTTTCAAGTTTCCCAAAACTTATTTAAATGAAACGGCTGTGTAAGAATCATTTTAATTAGTACCAATTGCTATGTGCATTTTAACCGAGGCTATTTGCAATTGATTAGTTATTTATTTTCACCCTTGTTTTTTTTCAGAAATCTCTCAAAATATTTAATTATACATCCACACAAATTGCCAAACTGGAGAACCTAAACACAATGGAGGGTGGCGAGTCCACGGAGTCCACACACAACACCAAGGTGTCCGACTCGGCATATTCGAACAGCTGCAGCAACAGTCAGTCGCAGCGCAGGTAAATCATGAAATAACCTACAGATACACCCCCAAAACATAGTTATTGGATAGGAAAACTTTGCCTCAGCTGAACACAAACTATATATGAAACAGCATGTAAGACCCCTTTATTTCTGATTTGTTTAAGTTGCTCAGTTAGGTAACAGTGCACCTATCTTTGTAGCCATTTTGTTATTTCAAAAAAAAAAAAAAAAAAAAAAACCCCAAAAAGTAGGCAACAGTCTTCGTGATAACTAAGTATCTAAACTTAAGTATATATGTATAATAACAACTGTTGAGAGCAGCACACCTTATACCTCGAATCCCTTGTTTTGCCTCACCCCTTTCCAGTGGCAGTTCCAAGTCCCGGCTGAGCGGCAGCCACTCCTCCGGCAGCAGCGGCTATGGCGGCAAGCCGTCGACGCAGGCCAGCAGCAGCGACATGATCATCAAGCGGAACAAGGACAAGTCGCGCAAGAAGAAGAAGAACAAGGGGACGGGGCAGACGCAGGTGCAGTCCCTGATCTCGGCAGCGGCGTCCTTGGAGGGGGCGGAGGAGAAGCCGCGGCCCAGTGGCAGTGGCTGCGGGGATCAGCAGATCCTGCAGGATCAGCAGCACGGCGAGGATCGCAACGAGCCGGAGGCCACGGAGCAGCTGCAGCGGGAGGAGGAGGAGGAGGATCAGTCCGAGTCCGAGTCGGAGGCGGATCGCGGTGAGGGCGTGACCAAGTCGGACACGACACAGAGCTTTCCCATCCCGCCGCCCCTCACCGTGACCATAGTCCCGCCCTCGATGGGCGGCGGCGTGGGCGGATGCGGGGGCGTGGGCCACGCCTCCGGCCTGGACAGCGGCCTGGGAAGGTTCGAGAAGACCTGGGAGTCGGGTGCGGGCAAGCTGGAGTCCATGGCGGGCGTGGGGGCTGGCGGCGGTGGTCAGCGGGGGAGCGGGCCAAGGAGGACAGCTTCTGCTGCGTGATCTCCATGCACGACGGCATCGTCCTGTACACCACGCCCAGCATCACCGATGTCCTGGGCTTTCCACGCGACATGTGGCTGGGCAGGTCCTTCATAGACTTTGTGCACATCAAGGATCGGGCCACGTTCGCCAGCCAGATAACCACTGGGATTCCCATCGCCGAGTCGCGGGGCAGTATGCCCAAAGACGCGAAGAGCACATTCTGCGTGATGCTGCGTCGCTATCGGGGATTGAAGTCGGGTGGATTCGGGGTGATCGGCCGCCCGGTGAGCTACGAACCCTTCCGCCTGGGACTCACCTTCAGGGAGGCCCCCGAGGAGGCGCGGCCCGATAACTACATGGTCTCCAACGGCACCAACATGCTGCTCGTCATCTGCGCCACTCCGATCAAGAGCAGCTACAAGGGTGAGTCTCAACCGTTGGTTAATCAGTTGTCCAAAAAGGGTTTCCAGCTTCAGTGAGGCTGGCCCCATTGCCACCACCAGATGCTCCATGCTTAACCACCAGCTTTCACCCCCCCGCAGTTCCCGACGAGATCCTCTCCCAGAAGAGCCCCAAGTTCGCCATCAAGCACACGGCCACCGGGATCATATCGCATGTGGACAGCGCGGCGGTGAGTGCGTTGGGCTACCTGCCTCAGGACCTCATCGGACGCAGCATCATGGACTTCTACCACCACGAGGACCTCACCGTCATGAAGGACACCTACGAGACGGTGATGAAGAAGGGCCAGACGGCCGGCGCCTCCTTCTGCAGCAAGCCGTACCGCTTCCTCATCCAGAACGGCTGCTACGTCCTCCTGGAGACAGAGTGGACCAGCTTCGTCAATCCGTGGTCCCGCAAACTGGAGTTCGTCGTCGGACATCATAGAGTCTTTCAGGGTAAGTGTGACATACAAGTCCCAACTCCAGCCGAGGTAAACCGAAAAACTGTGCTATTTAAATTCTATTTTTTTTTTTTTTTTTTTTTTTTAATATTTATTTGGAAACATAGAACCCGTACAATCTTTCAGTACCTTAACAATGTAGTTTTATATATGAATTTTAACCAAACCTCATGCCTTCATAAATTCATGTTACACTTGTATCTTATTTTCAAAGTAAAGATACCGATTTTTCCCCACTCTAGGAAATCTTTAAGCACTGGATTAACCTTTAAATATTCCGCTCTAGGACCCAAACAGTGCAACGTTTTCGAGGCGGCGCCCACGTGCAAGATCAAGATATCGGAGGAGGCACAAAGCCGGAATACGCGGATCAAGGAGGATATCGTGAAGCTCCTGGCGGAAACGGTGTCCCGGCCGTCGGATACCGTCAAGCAGGAGGTCTCCCGCCGCTGCCAGGCACTCGCCAGCTTCATGGAGACCCTCATGGACGAGGTGTCCCGGGCGGATCTCAAGCTGGAGCTGCCGCACGAGAACGAGCTGACCGTCTCCGAGCGGGATAGCGTGATGCTCGGCGAGATCTCGCCGCACCACGACTACTATGACAGCAAGAGCTCCACGGAGACGCCGCCCAGCTACAACCAGTTGAACTACAACGAGAATCTGCTGCGGTTTTTCAACAGCAAACCGGTCACGGCGCCGGCGGAGCTCGATCCGCCCAAGACGGAGCCGCCGGAGCCGCGGGACACCTGTGTCAGTGGGACCAGTGGACCCATGAGTCCCGTGCACGAGGGCAGTGGAGGCAGTGGCTCCTCCGGCAACTTCACCACCGCCAGTAATATACACATGAGCAGTGTGACCAATACGAGCATTGCGGGCACTGGTGGAACCGGAACTGTGACGGGAACAGGGACGGGAACGGGGACTGGGACTGGAACTGGAACTGGGACCGGAACTGGGACGGGAACGGGTACAGGAACAGATACGGGAACGGGTACAGGAACTGGTACGGGAACAGGTACGGGAACCGGTACAGGAACGGGTACAGGTACAGGTACAGGTACAGGAACAAGAATTGGCACCGGAACAGAGACCGAAACGACGGTCACCGGCACGGGTAATGAAACCAATTCGGGCACAACCAGCTCCTCCAAAGGCGGAGGTGCCGCCACACCACCCGTTACCCTCACCGAATCCCTGCTGAACAAGCACAACGACGAGATGGAGAAGTTCATGCTGAAGAAGCACCGCGAATCGCGTGGACGCACTGGGGAGAAGAGCAAGAAGTCCGCCAACGACACTCTGAAGATGCTGGAGTACAGTGGCCCGGGGCACGGCATCAAAAGGGGCGGCTCCCACTCGTGGGAGGGCGAGGCCAACAAGCCCAAGCAGCAGCTGACCCTGGGAGCAGATGCGGTCAAGGCGGCGGCAGGAAGTGGAGGAGGTGGAGGAGCAGCGGGCTCTGGCGGCACGGGTTCTGGCGGGGCCGGTGTGGCTGGCGGAGGAGGAACAGGAGCCGGGGGAGCTGTAACGCCGGAGGGCAGGAACACGACTACCTCGGGAGCGGGAATCCCCGGCGGAGGAGCAGGGGGAGCGGTGGCAGGAGCCACCTCCTCGGTGGGGAGCTCCACGCCCGGACCCTCGTCCTATCCCTCCTGCACGCAGAACATCAATCTCTGGCCGCCCTTCTCGGTGGGCATCACCCCGCCCGTCCACTCCACGCACACGGCGATGGCCCCCAGCAGCTTCTCCTCCGCCGGCCTCTTCCCGACCTTCTACTACATCCCCGCCTCCCTGACGCCCACCAGTCCCACCCGTTCGCCACGGATCCACAAGCATCCGCACAAGAGCGGCGTGGAGCTGCCCACCACCTCGCAGCAGGCGGCAGCAGCGGCCGCCCAGGCCATGCCGCTCCAGTACATGGCCGGCGTGATGTACCCGCATCCCTCTCTCTTCTACACACATCCTGCAGCGGCGGCCGCCACGGCCATGATGTACCAGCCGATGCCCTTCCCCGGCATGGCCAACGCCCTCCAGATGCCGGAGCAGCCGATGGGTTCCCAGTCGGCCTACAACAAGACGGTGTACACGGTGAGTCAGGGGACGGGAATTGGGTCACCGAATGTACCCAACCTAACCAACTCTCAATTTTCCCACAGGCCGCGCCAGCGTCCATGACGAAGAAGGTGCCGGGGGCCTTCCACTCGGTCACCACTCCCGCCCCGGTGGAGCGGCCCTCCTCGCAGACCACCTCCGTGAAGGCGGAGCCGGGATCCAATGTGGCGGTGTCCGATTCCTGCAAGAAGGAGGTGCCCGGCTCCTCGCCCATTCCCTCCGTGATGAACGACTACAACTCCGACCCGCCCGGCAGCAGCAATCCCCCCAACAACAAGGTAGTTGCGGATACAAAACTGAGAAACAGGGAACTATTTTTAATGACACACCCTGTTCGTCCACAGAAATACACGGACAGCAATGGGAACAGCGATGACATGGACGGCTCCAGCTTCTCCTCGTTCTACTCCTCCTTCATCAAGACCACGGACGGATCGGAGAGTCCGCCGGACACCGAAAAGGACCCCAGGCACCGCAAGCTGAAGGTATTTACTCAGGCCCAAACGATACCCAGTCCCTAAGGATGTTAGAGGCATTTAGTGTTTCAGTTCCTCCTGACATTGTAATGAGTAAAGTCATACTTTGCATTTTACAGAGCATCAGCGCCTCGGAGAGCAAGATCATGGAGCACCCGGAGGAGGATCAGACGCAGCACGGGGATGGGTAGGACCCATAGCCACCTGCAGTTGCTGCTGACAGACGTGCTCGAACGGGGGCACCATGTCGATCCATAGGACCAACCAAGCAGCAGACATCGCAGAGCAGGGATCCCAGAAACGAGTGAGCAGCATTTGTTGTCCATCTGGACTGCCCTTACTAACCCAGACTTTTCATTCAAGTTCTCTGAGGTTACGAACATCTTCCTGGGATATCTATTATCTGCATCTGATCGAACTGGTGAAGCTTTCACAATAAAACTAATCGAGGAGGTCTCGAACGATCCCTAAAAAATAAAAACAAGCAGAGGAAAATGTAGATCTCAAACCAAGAAAAGCGCGAAGTGGAAATCGACTTCATATTTGTATCAAACATTTTAAATGTTCTGTTAACAATCCATCTCAGCTTTAAACATTTCATTTAAGTTGTAAGAAACTTTTTAACTTATTTGTCATTCAGTGTAATAAATTCTAAAAAACCAAACATTGCTTTTTCAATCAACCATTTCGGTAAAGCACTTGAGTACTCTAATTTTCTGATTTTTACTCAAGTCAATATGGATTTATTAAAATAGGGATTACTTATTAAATATACATTTAGAATTAAAACTAAAAAACGAAATCACCAAGCGTAATCCTTTTCTAGAAATAAAAAACAAGTTTAACCTATTTTGATTGCAAACTTAAAGCCCAGAACTTGATCGCTCATAAAGGAGATGCCTTTAAATAGAAGAAATCTTTTTTTTAAATGCTCTAATTATTTTGAGATACATATGTATTAGTTTCATGACTGAAACAGTATTCAACAAAGTATTAAGTATAATATTCTTGCGTAAACAGTGCTTCACTTGGCACAGTGTTTATTCCGTCTCGAAGAACTCGTCATAGGGTATATTATTCCACAGATTTTGCAGGATGGATTTGAAGGCCTTGGAGCAGGCCTCGTTGATTTTCGGTTGGACATCCGCAGCCAGGGCGTTCCACTCCTGGTTAAGGACCTTCAAGGTGCTCTCCCGCAACTCCACGTTGTCGTTGAACAGGTTCGACAAGTCGAAGTGGCCACTGTGAATGAGAATTCAAAATTACCAGTGGCTCAACAAAATTTCCGATTCTCACCTCTTGATCTTGGTCACCGTCTGGTAGTCGGTGATGTTAAGGTATGTATGGCCATCAGCCCGCTTCACCGGCTCCGCCATAATCCTCGACTTGGTCTGGACCTCGTCCAACCGAATGGTTATATCGCCCTTGCCAACGATTGGCAGGATGAGCAGTTTGCCGTCCACATCGTACTTGGCCCGCAACATCAGTTCGGGTGCATCCATGACCATGGTTAGCTTGAGCGGCTTGGTAAGGTCCTTGGTGAAGCCCTTCACGCTCTTCACCACCGCGGAGTTGGCCAGGTTGTGCAGCTTGGCTTTGTGTATGACCAGCTTGAACTGCAGCGACTTCGAGTGGCCTCCGCTCTCCACGCGCATGGTGTCCAGCTCGATGGGTTCCAGACTGGCCACCTGCCGCTCCGGAATGCCTCGTTTGAAGGCTCTGAAAAAGGTCTGCGCCTGTGCCACGAGGCAGACCTCGTCCTGCACCTTGCAGCGCTTCAGGGGCGACGCTGTAAATAAATATGTAACAGTTTCACACGATATTTTTAACAAATAACAAATTCCAATATTATGTACTAATAAATGAATGCTCAAAATTAAACCACAAACATGGAGTTTAAGTCTTAAATCAGATTCCAGTAAAAAGAAGGTTATTTTGGAAGTGCAGTTGGTTCTCCAACGGTATTGTTTCATGCCTGAATTTTATTGCAGAGTTTAAGACAATAAATTCTCGCTTTTACAGGTATACCATTTTGGATTGCAGAGCATAGAAATACTGGTCTTTTGCAGATATAGAAATACGGGTTTCTTGCAAACCCATTTGTTGAAAATTTGAAAGAAAATTTAAAATGTGACGAGACTAGACCCAGAATAAAAAAAAATTTTAATTTTATTTTCAAGGAATTAAGCCACAAGCCTTTAGAGATATGCCATCTAAGTAAGGGCTATGAAGTAATACTTTTGGTCACTTTTCTGCAATGCAATTTTTCAAAAATTATAAACAAGCCATTTTTCGAAAATTTGGAAAGGGGTGAAAATTACGAAAAATCGACCCCAAAAAAAAAGTAAAGTAAAAACACAGATTTTTAGAGAAATAAACCACAATCATTTTGAGGTATGCCAATTTGAAATCGGAAGTCTGTAAGAAAAGTTATGAGCTTGGAAGTTAGGTTTTTTGGCACTTTTCTGCAACCCCATTTTTTCAAAATTTGGAAAGGGGTTACATCGTTGAAAATGACGAAAAATCGAACCAAAAAAAAAAGTAAAAACACAGATTTTCAGAGAATTAAACCACAACATTTTGAGCTATGTCACATTGAAATCGGAAGTCTGTAAGAAAAGTTATGAGCTTGGAAGTCCAGTTTTATGGCAAAACCCATTTTTCGAAAATTTGACATCGTTGAAAATGACGAAAATCCGATCCAAAAAAAAAAAAAAAAGTAAAAACACAGATCTTTAGAGAATTAAACCACTATCATTTCGAGGTATGCCAATTTGAAATCGGATGTCTGTAAGAAAAGTTATGGGCTTAGGAGTGCAGGTTTTAGTTCACTTTTCTGCAGACCCATTTTTCAAAAATTTAGACATCATCGACAATGAGGAAAAATCGACCCAAAAAAAAAAAGTAAAGTAAAAACACAGATTTTTAGAGAATTAAACCATAATTAATTTAAGGTATGCCACTTTGAAATCGGGTGTCTGTAGGAAAAGTTATAAGCTTAGAAGTGCAGGTTTATGCCACTTTTCTACAAAGCCATTTTTCGAAAATTTGGAAAGGGGTAACATCATTAAAAATGACGAAAGATCGATTAAAAAAAAAAAGTAAAGTAAAAACACAGACTTTTAGAGAATTCAACCACAATCAATTTGAGGTATGCCACTTTGAAATCGGATGTCCGTAAGAAAAGTTATGGGCTTAGAAGTGCAGTTTTTTGGATACTTTTCTGCAAAGCCATTTTTCGAAAATTTGGAAAGGGGTTAATACGAATGATCGACCCAATAATTCAAAGCAAGTTGCAACTCCTATAAGGACTTAGTTTAAGTTTTAGGTACTCACGGAATCCATTAGAGGCCTCGACACTGTAAGGAACCAGGCACATGAGACCCATCCACACTAGAAATATCCTGGCACTGGTGAACTGCATTTTGTTCGTACTCCGTAACCCGATTCTGTATTCTGATTTAGCCGAGTGACAACTGACAAGCTTCAACCCAAGCCAGGCCTTTTTATGCATCCTCTAAAAGCCGAGTGCAATCTCAAGTGTGATTCTGGGCACAGCTCAAATTAATTACACCTAAGCCCGATCGTACCGGCATGAAACTTAGTTTTTATATGGAATCGAAAAACTTGATCGAGATGGGAAATCCGTGACTTTGATCGGGAATCTAGTCGAATGAATTATTGTTTGAATAGATAATAGTTCATAATTCCCAAAAATATTACGTGAACAAATTACAAGTTTATTTTAAATTAAGAAAGTGTGCAAATTATATTCATTTTTATTTATTTATATTCTATAATTCGACTAAAATATTGTATATCAATTTTGTTTATAACAATTAAGTTACAGGTCGATCTAAAAATATAAGTTTCCTTTATTTTTTCATGTGAAATTTGTGTTCTTTACATATTCCTTAATACATAATTCATTATTTGTAATTTAATTAAATTATTGAAGTAAGTAACTTGCCGGTATTTATGTGACAAGAGTTTAAGCATTCGACTCTTAAATCAAATCCAATTGAATTTCTGTGAAAACTGAATGATTCTCAACTTGGATGCAATAGAGAACGGGTTTCTCTTCTCTCTCAGAATCTCCGTCAGAGGTTCTATCATTTCAGTTGAATTGAGAAATGTACCCAAAAGGCAAATATACATAAATGTGGTAGACCCTGATATTTGCGTAACTCTGATGTACCGAAGAAACTCCCGCAAAAATATATATACACAAATTATAAATATCTTAAATAATATTAGTTAAATTAGTTAAATAAAAATATTCAGAATGTTATTCAATACAGAACACAGTTATCATATCATCAAAAATAACTGTAAAATAAGCCTGTTCCAATTTGAATTAATGAACACAACAAATTGAGTGTCTTAGTTCCGTAGAATGGGAATACATGCCCATTCAGAGCAACTCACCTCTCTCAACCGATTTGGATATGGAATCGGAGCAGCAGGTGGATCGCTGGATTCCTGCTTCACCCATCAGGTGACCATCGGATCCGTCACTGGGTAATTGTGTGTGCTCAGCCAATTGGCAGTGCGTGTCAGGTTCTAGGTCAGCGTCGACCAGTGTGGAATTAAACTTTGATCTCCTGTCATGTCGGTGCGATGACGACGATATACATTCCCCTGATCCGCGGGGGATATTATCTATTGTGACAGTGACTTCGGCTTACAGTGCATCACCTGTAGAGTGGGAAGAAAATTTCTGATCCTTCCCTATAAGAACAACAGCAAAGCTTCGCTTTGACAAACATTATGTATCGAATTTCCGTAACATATTTTAATTAAAAAATAAAGCAAACAATTATTATTTGGAACTCTCAGAACCAATTAATAAGGTTTAACTTAACAAACAGTGTTCTTTCTAAATTTATTTTAATATATTGCTTTAAGTTCAACCAAAAAATACATAACAATTTGTTTGCCAGTCATTCTCCAATTCAACGCTTCAGTTCATATCATTTTCAAGGGATATAATTACTGGAGTTGGACTGTGTTGTCCGTTAGGTAGTTAGTTATCGCCTTGCCCAGCCAGACGCGGCTTATTAGCGGGCAATTAGATAATGAACACGGCTTGGAGTCATTTAAAAAGGTAAACAACTTTATTTACATTCAACGAACATGAACCAGGGGCGGGCGGAAAGGTGAGCGACTTGGGGCACGTGGCGTATGACTATGAATCCGAACCTGAGTTCAACTCAGAACTCAGAGCCTCATGCTTTGGTGGCGTCCGTATCGCTGCCCAGGTTCTTCAGTGACTGCTCGAACTCCACGCTGTCCACTTGCCGCTTGCCCAGATCGTGCGGCGGCGGCCCAATCAGCTCCACCACTTGATCGTAGTCCAGGGTCTCCTTCTCCAGCAGCGCTTCAGCCAGCTAAAATATATACATAAAGATGAATTAGCGTGAAAAGCGACCAATAAATAAATATAAGGAAATATGACTATCTAAAATAACCCGTTTCATTAGGACTTGATAAATTGTAATCAACAATGTTTCATCATTATTTATATGCAGAAGCTCTACACAACACCTACGACCATTTCCTATAACAATAAAATAATAAAGTTATACGAGTCCATAAGGCATTTGTAAACGTAATGTAACCTTAACTTTAAATGTCTAACCTGACCAAACGTAACATGTCTTTCTAATGATTTGTAACCCTTTTTTCTAGTATACTCCAAAAACTTCCTTCAAAACATCCATGTAAGGAATCAGTGCCAACAAACCTTCTCCAGCTTATCGCGATGCGTAGTGAGTATTCCCTCGGTGGTTTGGTATGCGCTGGCCACCACGTGGCGCGCCTCGTTGTCGATCAGACTCTCCATTGCCCGTGAAAAGGGCTTCTTGCCACCGCTGCCCATCGCACCGCCGCCCTCTGTCTCATCGGCATCCCGGACGTAGATGGGTCCCAGGTTCTCGTTCATGCCAAACTTTTTGATCTGTGAGTACGCGATCTTCGTGACCTTCTCCAGGTCGTTCTGGGCGCCCGTCGTAATCCGATTGAAGACCAGATTCTCGGCCGCCCGACCACCCAGCGCCATGCACATCTTGTCGAACAGCTCCTCCTTGCTGTACAAGTGCTGTTCGCTTGGAGTGTATTGGGCGAATCCCAGCGCCAGACTGGTGCGCGGCACAATAGTCACCTTCAGCAGGATGTCCGAGTTGGGCAGCATCCAGCCCACCAGGGCGTGTCCGGACTCGTGGTAGGCGATCACCTTGCGCTCGGCCAGCGACAAGGCATGCGAACGCTTCTCGGTGCCGCCTGAAAATGGTGAGCGTTCACTATTTGAAGCCGAAGCGGTCTGACGATCAACTTACCCACTAGTCGCTCCACGGCGTACTCCAGGTTCTTGCTGCTGACCTCTTTTTGTGTATTGCGAGCCGCATGCAAGGCAGCCTCATTGCAGACGTTCGCTATGTCCGCACCCGAGAAACCCGGCGTCAGGCGGGCCAAGCGCTGCGAGAAGGTCGCGGGCGGCGACTCCAGTTTCACCGAAGACAAGTGCTTCTCGAAGATCTCCTTGCGCTCCACCAGCGTGGGCAGATCGATCAGGATGTGGCGGTCGAAGCGACCGGGTCGCAGCAGGGCCTTAAAGTGAAACAGGGATCTGTAGCATGGTAATATCCAATGATTTCTTTGACCTGTACCTTGTCCAAAATATCGGCCCGATTTGTGCTGGCCAGCATTAGCACGCCTTCCTTGGTGGCCATGCCATCCATCTCGACCAGCAACTGGTTGAGCGTCTGCTCCGACTCGCCAGAGCTCCCCTGTCCCATGCTCTCTGTGCCAGAACGCTGCCGACCGATGGCGTCTATCTCGTCGATGTAGATGATGCACGGCGCCCGCTTCTTGCCCTCCTTGAAGAGATCGCGCACGCGTGCCGCACCCAAGCCGCCGATCATCTCGATAAACTCAGAGCCGTTCATGCTGAGGAACGGCACCTGGGCCTCGGTGGCCACTGCTTTGGCCAGCAGCGTCTTGCCACATCCCGGCGGACCCAGCAGCAGGGCTCCCCGAGGCACCTTGGCGCCTAGGCGCTGGTACTTCTCCGGGGACTTGAGGTAGTCGACAAACTCCTTCACCTCCTGCTTGGCCTCGCTGAGACCGGCCACGTCACGGAAGAGCACGCCGCGACCGCCGTCGAAAGGATCCACTAATGTGAACTTGGCGCGGCCCATTTGATTCTGGAAGAGATTAAGAAGATGTAAGCCACGAGTCTCAGGGCTAAGAACCACTACCCACAAACGAATCCATGCTGAGCGGACTCTTCATGCTCTTCATTCGGGTGGCGATGGACATGAGCAGGGCGCAGACGAGCAGCAGCATAAGGATGCGGCCGGTGGTGTCCGTCTGGCGGTCGTAGGTCACCGGCACACCATCCTTGATGCCCAGCCGCTTCTCCACCTCCCGCAGCTTCTCCTCGAACTTGTTGGCATCGGCCACCGCCATGTGAAAGATGGTGGAGGACACCTTTCGGCCCTTAATGACGGCTCCCTCGTGAAGGATGATGGTGACCATCTCCATGTCGGGCCGTATGATCAGCTCCTTGACCTCGCCCACGGCTAGCATATGGTGCACGAACTCGTTCCAGGACACGTAGCGCGTGGAGCCCTGGTTAAAGGAGAGGATTAGATGGTTGACTACCTTTTATGGGTTCATAATTCAGGCTTACCTCTGGCCTCTCGGAACGCGGTGTAATCAGCAAGGAGAAGAAGGCCACAAACATATAGATGGTGAAGAGCCAAAGCACAGCCTTGGTCAGCACCGAACGCATCTTCTCGTCGTTCTCATTGTTGTTCTTGTTCGGATCCTCGCCGGGTTCGCCAGAGGAACTGCTGGCGCTCGGATTGGCATTGGGATTGCCGGATACTTCCTCTCCTGAGCCCTTGCTGCTCTTCTCGCTGCCCTCCGCCGAGGCAGCTGGCTTTTCTTCAGTCTTGGCTCCATCCTTCCCGGGCTCTGCCGCCTTGTCCTGCGTGGACGTGGGAGGAGGCTTTCCGGCGGTGCTCAGGCTGCGCAGGTGCATCAGTCGCACTTCCTTGGGCGTTAGTTGCAGGGAGCGGGCTATGACGCCCACAATCGCCTTGTACTCCGCTTGCAACTGCACCACCTGGAGAAGGAAGTCTCTGGAGGATTGGAGTGATGGCATTTGGTAATTAACGCACCTGTCGACGGCTGAGTTGGAGGAGCGACAGCTCCCGGGAACTCATTTGGGGCCGCCCCGTGGCACTGCGGATCTGGGCCAACTGGTGGCTGCCGCGCTGCAGCACATTCCGCACATGCCGCAGGCCCTTCAACATTATTTCCAAGTCCCCGGAACGACTACGTAACTCCTCCGAATGCCAATACGTAACTCTATTTCGTTGACAGGGCCAAATAATGTCGATAGCTCCTGTGAATACTGATTTACGGCTAAACGCTTCCCAAATTGTTGGCCACGCTTAGGGCCAGCCCCAAAAATGAATGATTTAACTAAAATAAAAACACACGAAATTTAGTTTGCCGCAAATAGTGTGCACGCAGCTTTCATCTGCCCAAAATACCAAAGCGCCTAGCAAAAGCGGATGGATAAATAATCTTTCGAAATCTGGACACACTCAATTGAGGATATGCCTGCGATCTTTTGGCCGTTAAAATATATAAAAATGGCGGAAAACATATTTCGCTTTAGAAACACAATAAAAAACTGCTACTCTTTTTATTAAAGTTAAAAAAAAATATTTATTTATATATATATTTATATATATATATCTTGGCCGGTTCAATAAGTAAAACAATTCAAAGTGCCTATTCGATTTTTGTAAATAAAAAATAATAATAATAGTGCTATACAAATATTACTTCGTACTACATAATAATAATGTCACTGAATTGAGTAGCTAAATTTGTTAGATGTTGCTCTGTTCTGTTCGTTGAATGGCAATTGATCGCACCGCGCTCAATAGTTGTTGTTTACGGGTCCGTCGAAGGGACCCATGCTCTCACCAAAGTCCTGCATCTCCTCCTCCATGGCGTCATCCAGCTCGTCGCCGATCTCGCCCTTCGACTCCGGACACTTTCGACAGCGGCTCTCGTTAACGCCGTAGTTGATGCACGTGGAGCCCACGCACTCGCAGCAGCCGTCGTGGAACCATCTGGAGGTATGGGGATAAAAGAATTAGTCAATTATCCTTTGGGAAAATATGCCAATTCCAAGATACTGATAGATATATAACAGATAGATATATACCATTGTTATAAAAAATCAACGATAGCTCGTGCCTTATCTTTGGAAATACACGTGAGGTAACTACATACTACACAAATTCTATAAAATATTCCCTTTCGAATTTAGTAAAATCTAATAAATACGATTTCACAGGTTTCTAAAATTTAGAATCATGCACATGTTGAATAAATACAGATAAATGTCCATACAGTAATTACCGATTGGCTACGGTTGGTTCCAAATGCTAATCACAACCATCGATTCCCTGGACCTTTTTCTTTTCCTCACCTCGTACTGCTGGCGCCTGTTGTTTGGCAGCTGGTGCGGCACTTGTTCCACGACACGCACTGATCCAGATATATAACCGTGCAGTTCACGGTCACTATATTATCTCGCTCCTGAATCGCCTCGTCCAGGTTTTTATCGTTGGTTCCTTAATAAAAAAAAGAGAACATTATGAGGATGGAAAACTCAAGTTGCTGTGTTTACCACTCACTCAAGAAGTAATGACCGTCCTTTTCCAGCTTGGGACCCTTCAAGTACTTGTCGAAATCCACTTGAAACGTAAACACGTTCCAATTGTAGCCGAAGCTGTCGCCCTCATCCGGAGTGGCCACTGCGTTGAATAGCTCCGGCACACCATCGAAGTCCTCCACGTGGGACTTCTTGGACAGCGAGTTGCGCGTGTCATTGGGTTTCGGGCAGAGTTCTGCGAAAATTATGGATTGATTTATATTAAGAAGATAGTCTAAACAAACTCTTAAATAATCTTCACTGCTTATTTCTGGAACTCAAACTACATACATATTTTCGAAAGGAAATTATACTTTTCATGATTCACATTTCATTCGTTTATGACTGCTTCTAATATTTACGACTAGTTTGTGCCTTTTCTTTTTTATTATTGTAACCACATTATTTGTGCATCTGATAATTAAAGTGATTTATTTTTATTCCTCGAAAAAAGACAAGCTTTTCCTATTCCGATCTCGTGTGCACATTTGTTTTCATCGTCATGCTCGATTTGTTTATAAACAACATCATGTGGGCCAAACGTAAATTGCATATAACGAAAATCCGATCGGGATGATTCGAGTCAATTACACCATCAATAAACAGTTTTTTCTTTGCTAATAACTAAAATGGATATTAAAGACAATGTGTTAAATTGGAAGAATGTTAATATTATGTACTTTTTAGCTTTAGTGCACAAAAAAACTACTAATGTCTAAAATAATTACAATATTGATCTACTGGTGCAAAATATTAAATTAATCTTTTGTGAGGGGTTAAAGTAAGGAAAATTACTAGTTCGCTGGCTTGGAGTTTTAACCCTTTGGCCCGCGTCAGTGTTAAGGCTAGGCCGATCGCCTGCTCAAGCCCGTTATCGATAACTAGTTAGCACATCGCAAGCTCCCCCCTCACACACACACACAGGTTCGCCTTACCCGTTTGACAACAACAAAAACAAAGCAATAGCCATCACATCATCAGTGGTGATCATTTCTATATGTACCCCACGGCAACCTCCCACCACCCACTAATCGGATGGCCTTTCTTACCCACACAGCTGCAGCACTCCTCGTAGTTCTTGCCCAGACATTTGAGGCACTCCTTGCAGCAGGAGCAGTTCTTCAGCTCGCACTTGCAGCTCTGGGTGAGCATGCACTTGGAGACAATTGAGGCGCAGACGACCTCGTTGCAGGACTCCACAGTGCCGTAGAAGCAAACGAGGCCCAAAAGCACGATGGTGCCCACTGTCAGCGAGCGCCAAATTTCCATGGTGCCTGTGTGTGTGTGTAGGGATTGGAATGCGCTCTTTTCCGTATCCGTATATGTGTACGCGGGTGCAATTACAACTACAACAAACAACAATTACAGGCACACAGGCAAACGCAGGCTGGGCATTTGTTCGACTTTTTGCACTATAATACTATATATAATAAGTAGTATGCGGATTATATAGCAGTCGGAATCGGAACGGATCAAAACAACAACAAGCGACACCACAACGAACACTAAACAGCAACAACTAGCAGCGAGCGGATCGACGACGATCCGCTGCGGCAGCGACGTCGGCAGTGGAGGCGACTGCGCGGCGACAATGTCTCTCTCTCTCGTTGTTTTTGTTATTGCTAGGGCATAAACTGTCTTTTTCTTCCAACAAAACAACAACAATAGCGCCAGGCTAGACACAAATACACACACACACCAAGGCGACTACGCGAATTAAGCGGACGCACACACTTAAAAACGGGCTGCTTCTGGCTCACACATACACTCCCAGGCCAGCTTAGAAATTGGAATCGATGATGCTGCCGCTGCCTTTTTATTGACAATTCCGGTACGATCGGAATTTATATCTGAATCTGAATCGGGAGGATCGGATCAGATCGGCGGATCGGAGGCGAGCGCACGCGTACGCCAACTGAATGATCAACTAGCAACAGCAACAACACGGATCAGCTCGATACATACATACGTACATGTGGACCAAGTGACTAGAGATGAGCGCATCTGCGCCCACCGGGAACGGATCACGAGAAGTCACGACTAAAAGTAACAATATTTAGTTGCCATGTATATAGAGCTACTGAATCAAAGTTTACTAAATGTTTCTTTTACTTATAAAAATTAGTACATTACACTCGAAAAAATACTTTTCCGGTTCTCGAACCGGTTTGATATGCAACTACAATAAAATCTTAAAGAATTAGGTAATAAATGAGTTAGAATGATTTTCATTAAAAATTTACCACTATACTTTTTATTTTTAGGAGGTTTAAGAGTTTGATATTTTTAAGAATACATTTTGGGAAACCATTATAGTTAATAGCCCAATAGAAAGTGATTTTGGTGCAATATTAAAAACTGCGACCTCACAATCTTCAAACTCGCTCAAAAATACCTTGTTAAGCTTAATATTTTTGAAAACTTATAATTTATTTAAAAACAAAATCACTACTGAAACCGTACTTGTATAAAGCTATGGACTTGGAATTTATTATTTCTATTTTATTATTATTTTTATTTTGAGTTTTACCTCTTACTGGACATTTATAAATGAAAAACTTTTAAGCTCGAGCGTTGAACTTAATTTGTACTATATTTGTTTATGTTCTGTAATAGCTTAGTTTAACGAATTACACCAACAATTTACTAATACTTACTACTAATACTAATTGAATAATGGAAATGATACTGCATATACAATACACATTTTCAATCATTTTAAGCGAGCTTACCATAGCTTTTTTACTTATGAAACATAAGTATACACATTACACTTTAATAAACTGAAACATAGATATTTTAACGTAATTAATGTAAATTAATAAAAACTATCGGCATAGATTATTTCCATGACAACTCCTCACTATTTTATACATATTTTCAATAATTTTAAGTGAGCTTACCATACCTTTTTCATTTATGAAAAATACCTGTACACATTACATTTAAATAAGCTGAAAAATATATATTTCCCCGTAATTAAAATAAATTAATAAAAATTATCGGCTTAGATCAGTTCCATCACTACTCCTCACGCAAGCTAAACGATATGCTTTAAACTTTAATAAAAACTGACGAATGGTATTTAATTGTTTTTGTATACAATTTATTTTACTTTGGATGCCCAAAAACACAAAACCAAATGTAATTAAATTAAAATCTAAGAATAATGTGAGAATTAAATAAAAATTTTTAAATTGGCGCCTATAGCCTGCCAATCGATATCCAAACCTATCAAGCAATATGCAATTGTCCCTGCATATCGACTTTTTTTTGTAAACATAAACAGAGAAATGAAAAATTAAAAATTGAGGATGTTTATGTTCCGAAACTGCGCTGTTTTGCTGGTGATTGGCTCCATCTGCTGCTTCATCTACGGCCTGTTTAACTCGCACGTGGAGGTGGAGCCCAATGCCTGCCGGATGACCTATATGTTCGGCGAGCCTATGTTTGCGGTAAGTTTGACTCGTTTCTCTATGAGATATGTGCCTCAAATGTTGATTGTACTTAACTTGTAGAAAGTGGGAGTCAAGGACGGGGATCTGTACCCCAATTATGGGCTCTACTACTACTACGAGGGCGTGCGACAGCCGCTGGACCCGCTTAAGCGCCGAATGACTGGTGCTCCGGTGATTTTTGTGCCCGGCAACGCCGGCTCCTACAAGCAGGTGCGCTCCCTGGCTTCCGTGGCGCTGCGCAAGGCGATGTCCGACGATGGGGGCCTCCATCTGGATTACTACACCATCGACTTCGACGAGGAGCTGTCGGCGCTGTATGGCGGCTATCTTCCTCGTCAGCAAAGCTATCTAAAGCTTTGCATCCGCACCATCCTGGGGATTTACGAGGGCCGTGCGGAGCAGCCCTCCATCGTGCTGATTGGACACTCCATGGGCGGCAAGCTGGCACAGTCGGTGCTGGTTGATCCGGCCGTGGGGCAGCACATCAACACCATTGTCAGCATCTCCACGCCTCTGGATCAGCCGGTGCTTAATCTGGATGCCCAACTGGAGGAGTTCTACGAGCAGACGAACGCTGTGCTCGGCAAGTTGCGCACTGCCACGGTGCCCACGATGTCCACGAATGTCTGCGACAGCCTGCACCAGCGGCCGCCGAGTGTGCAGCGGATGGCCAACCAGGACAGCTCAGCACGACTGGACAACGTGCTTCTCATTTCTACGGGCGGTGGTAATAGGGATCTGCTGGTGCGACCCGGACTCACCACCTCCCGGTTCAACGATTTGCATGCTATGGTAGTTTTGTGAAAGCCAGTTGTCTGTCTGAACTCTTGCTCATTTTTTCTCCCTTCTTTTTCAGAATTCGGCTATACCCAAAGTGAGTCTCAGCTGTGACCATCTTTCCGCCGTGTGGTGTCTGCAGTTCATGCAGGCCATCAACCGCTTCCTCTTCAGTATTGCCCATGTGCGTGAAGATCGTTCATCAATCGTCTTTGGCACCAACAAGCAGCGCAACCTGCAGTCGGCCTTGTCTACATTTGTGGTATGTTTTTTTTCGAATTTCGGTCGCTATTCCACACTAAATATGTACCCACAGAAGCCGCGAAGCCGTCAGCAGAGTACTGTGCGATTCGGAGCCGCAGGAAATTGGCATGAGGAGCGACGGCTGGTGATCAACAAGTACTTTACAAATGGACTCAAGGGCACCTTTTTCGATTTAATTGGACTACAGCGCCAGGAGAGATACAGAAAGACGGCCATCGAGGCCTTGAATGTGGATGACGAGGACTGGCTGTTTGGCTGCTCCGCCCAAGAGCACAATAAAACGGGACAGCTCTATTGGTAGGGAAACCTATAATAATCAGCACATAAATATGAAGCAATAGTAATGAAAGTGTTTACCTTTTCATCCAGCGAAAAGGCCACCTCACTGATGCACCTCGTTCAGCGGCTGCCCAATGAAGATCGCGATCCCAGGAGCATTGCCATCCTGGATCTGAACAACTTGCGTAAGACCTACGTGCAGTGGACCCATGTGCTAGTGCGCTTGCCACCGAGCACCAAGCGAATCGGGTACAACCTGGACATCTACGACCCTCGAGAGCGGGTGATGGACATCAAGATGCCACGCTGGTACACCATGGCCAAGCTGCCGTTGATAAACGAAACACTCCAGGGCACGCTACACCACCGGCTGCGAATTTCCGAGATGGTGGATCCGTACCAGAGCATTCGGGTGATTATAGAGCCGCTGCAGTGCATTAACCCAGAGTACAGGGTCACCGCCAGGATATGTGTTCCCTGGGCGGCAGGCTTTGAACGCTTTCAGACAATTAGGTAAGTTTTTTCCAAGGTCAAAGCTTTGTAGTATATAATCCGCGTTGGCTTATTTGCAGATCGTTTGATCAGAAACCTCAGTTGTATGTGAATGTGCCTACGTTAGCGCCCAGGCATTATAATACTACGCTTAATCCTGTGGTACTCGATCTGTATATGGATCCCACTTGTCGCTATCGAATCAGGTAAGCATCAGTAAACTTCAGTTTGCTATTCCTTCATAAAATGAGAATTAAAGTAAAGCCATAAATGAAATTAAGTAAAAGCTTGTAGCAGGAGGTCTTCATATAAATTAAAATAAATTCCTAATTTACATTTTGTATCTCTTTCATTTCCACTGACTAAATCTATCTCACTCTGATTTGTGTTCTTGTTAGCTATGAGTACTCCTATTCCTCGGCTTTATCTCGATTGGTTCTCGAGTTCTACGGCTGGCTGCCGGCACACCTAGTCTGCGTTTTGCTGATTGTGTTAAGAAAGCAAGTCGAGGTCTTTCACGAGGTGGGAACCTTCCGTAGTCTGCGTCCATATGTGGGTTACCTGCAGTACACTTCGCTCTATGTGGTCACAGGTTTGTTAAACGCAAATAAGTCTTTACATTTGATTTATATCCAACCAAATTGCAGCCTGTCGTCTTTTAAAGAAGCTTATCATCACCAGCCGGTTGCTGCCGGAGCCAGAGCCTCTGGACTACAGCATAAATGTTTCCATTGTGATCCACTGTGCAGCCATTGCCCTGTCTCTGCTGGCCACTCTGGGCACCTGGTTGGCCTTGACGCTCTATGGCAATGCCTTTTACCGCCTGGCCCTGCGGATTACACGCCTCTCCCAAGCCACCTCCAACGTCATGATTTCGATCATGACCCACTTACCCATTACGTACGGCATACTGACCATTGCCACGGCCATGGGAACCTGCAGCGGAGTTGGCCTCCTGCTGGCCTTTGTGTTCTACTTCCTGATGCTGTCGAATGCCTATAAGGACTATCTGGAGGACTTTCTGTGGCAGAAGGCGGCTAATTTGGTGCGTGGAAAGCCTGCTGCTGTTGCTGCAAATGATCCTTCCAGCGGGGAAAAAGCAGGAGAGGAGCAAAATCCAGAACAGGAGGCGCTAGAACCGAAGGATGAACATCAGCAGCAGGAGGAAGAAGAGGTGGAGCTCTGCGAGGGTCTGCAGAACTTTTCTTTCCACGTCACTTTGCTGCTGATGCTGCTCATGCAGCTGCTGCTTAATGTTCCTAGTAGTTTGGCCTGGGTGCGCAGTCGCCGGTAAGTTTTGACTTCGAGTCTTAAGAGAACCTAATTAAATATAATATTTCCTATCATCTAGACATGGCATTGTCCTGCCCGATCCGAGTCTGTATCCCAGCATCGTTGTTCTGGCATCACTTAGTTTGCTCTTGCAGCTGCGGGCTCCCCAAAAATGGTAATATAGGGTAAATTCTTAAACGTGGGATTATTTTTAAAAAGGCAAATCTTACTTGCAGTCAAGGATACTGGATCCTTTCCATCGTGTTTTACGTTCTGGCCGGAGTGGTTTTACTGTACTGTCAGGCAGCCATATACAGGCTAACCTTTGTGATTGCCGGCGCCTTCGCCCTGCTGGCTGTCCATCAAAGTCTTTGGGTCCTTTGGCGTCGCCTGTCCTAGATCTAGTTAATTTTGTTCTCCCTGTGTTAATTTGTTATTTATTGCCTCGTTAGTTCATTCAGTGCGAGTCGGGAGCCGTGGACGCTGGCTTATGTAAGCCAGCTCGTAGCGCGAAGCAAAATAAGCTCAGATCGGGATCTCTCCTAGCGGGAAGTCCAAACTGGGCCCGAATGGGCGTTGCTCTCGATTTGCTTCGGTCGCACATTACACGCATTAATTGTTTTTACGCCTTTCGTCGGCGCTTTTGGTTAGCGATATCTCGCTATCTTGGGTGGCAGACACGTCAATCTCCATTTGGGGGAAATGTGTGAAAATGCCTATTAGTAGCAGCGCCCGGTGGCCACACTCCCCATCCCGACTCTGTTTTCCTTTTAGCCAAAGACATAATTTGTAGTATTTGTTTTACCCTTTTCCGAAATTATTTACAATAATCTGGTCAAATTTGTTTCGTTTTGCGCTGTGAGATATACATATTAAGGTTTGAATGATATGAGGTTTTAATTTTTTCCTTTTTAAAATAGAAATACAATCAATTGATTACCAAGAGTCATAAAATGTTAAATTCATTTTCATTGTGTACAAGTATTATTGTATTTTTATTTTGTAATCATCCGATAATACTTAAAAAAAATCATATTTTCTTCCAATCAACTAAAGGATAATTGACCTAATATACCTGCCATATGACACAAACTGACTTGATAGAAACATTATGTATAAATATTGTAAAATGTTTTTCAGTTATTTTAATTATACAGAATTTGCTTTACCTTTAATATACAATTTGATACATTTGTAACTTCCAAATAACCAGTATTGATTGTTGGCCAGTTTAGATGGGCGCGCAATCACGAATTCATCGATGGCTCCGATTTCAGTTATTTAGCGCCCACAAGGAGATCTCCATGCGCCCAACTGCGTCCGAGCGAATCCAGTTTCGGTTCATCAACGCCATCTACTTAATGTCTCATTTGTGCGATGTGGAAATCTGGATCAGTCGGTGGATCATAGCACCCGGGGGATCGGAGGGGCGTCTGCACGCAAACTGGGTGAGACCATTCCAACGTCTACAATGCCCACGGGAGCTGTTCGGAGCTGGTTTCTTGGCTGTTCAGTGGCCAAACACGGTGTCCCGATAAGGATGTGTCCACTCGCATTTATATTCATAACCGATTCGCTTTCGGAGCCGACATCTGTCAGCCAACATGTGATGAAATTTGCCAATATTGTATTTTATTGGCACTTGTGATATAAGCAAATGGCGTTTCGACGTTCAATGTATGTTAATATCGATATAAATTGCCTTTTTCAATTTTGGCTTAATTAGTTGCAAAGCTGGCACTATTTGAATGCAGGAAAACATTTGCGATTGGAGAAGGGAGGTTGGTGGAGTCCAAATCAATTAATTACGTGGGCTTGCTTTTCAGCTTTAGTTGATTTTTTGTTTATCATTTTGTGGGCCTTTTAATTAGATCGACAGTTCATTAACAAAAAAAAGGAACAAATTTAATTATTGGGAACTTGAATATTTTCATAAAATTATTTTATTTGCAGTATATTGATAAATTATTTATGCATATTGAACATATGAAACAAATATCGCAAAGTTATTTCCATTATTTTTTTCCAAATAAACCAATGTTTTATAAAGTTGTACACAAAGAATTATAATCCCATATTTATATTTGAACCAATCTTACTTTTACTTACCGATCCTCAATAAATTAAAATCTAATTTATTTTTAATGTTTTTACACAATAAAACCATTTTCGTTATTTTTTGTTAAAATATTTTATTGGCATAATAAAAAAAAAACAAATCCGACTTGTTAACAGGCCATGGCATTCTATGTACACATGTGCGTATTTCTATAACATATAACTTTGTACAGTTTTAGCTTAGAGAGAATTGGCAGTAAGATTATAAGACTTGAAGAGGTGAATGGACTATTGCCAGTAGGCGGGCACCAGTTGAACCGGACCCTGAACATTGGCCATTTGGTAGGGCGAAGGTGCCATTACATTGATGCTGAAAGAAAAACAATAGTATTAGAAGTTAGGGAGGTTCTATACAGAGAAATAATAGAAGTTTTCGTAATCAGAGATGTAACACACATGTTATATCGTCTATCAAAGTATTTTTTAAGTTGCCTCTATCGAAACTGGTGTTAACTTTATCTTTGGGAGTGGGTTTTAGTCCTATTTAAGTTAATCCTTTAATATTTCCCATGTGGAATCTGGTTTCATAATACCCACCGCATTGGCTCTGTATCGCGATAGTAACGTGGCCTGGGCGCCACGTAGTTGTTGGAGGTAAAGCTGCGCGGATTGGCCACCGGGAAGCGGATGGCGGGCTGAACATTGGACGCACGTCCTCCGATCCTTGCCCGTGCTCTGGGACGGGCCAATCCGGATCGTGCCGCTGCTGCAGCAGCTCCAGCGGCCGCAGCTCCTCCGCCTCCGGCCGCCGCAGCTGATCCTGATGCTGCCGCACCACCGCCCAGGTTATTCAGGGCTATGCCCCACCCAGGCCCAATCCGCCGAGGTTGAGGGGACCCAAGCCGCCAGGAGCTGCTCCTGGCGCCGGCTGTTGCCACATGGCCGCCAGTTGGATGGGCACCAGGGCGGGCAGCGAAACGGTGACGGGCACACCGGGTGGCGGACCAGCCGGTGCCTCTGGTGCCGGGGGCTCCGGCTCTGGCTCATCCTCGTCCTCCGGCGGCGGGGCAGGAGTGGTCTCCGGCTCGGGTTCAGGCTCGGGCTCGGGCTCCGGCTCCGGCGCTGGAGTCGTGGGCTTCACGGCCACATCCTTCCAGGCGGCCAGCAGGGCAAGTAGCTCGTCCTTGGTCACGTGCGGGCTGGAGGATGGCGGGAGGTGGCTGAACTCGAAGCTGGGACCGTTCCATCCGTGACTGAGGCCACCACCGCTCCAGCCGGGCGGAGGACCCGGTCCGAAGAGGGATCTCTGCTGGCGGGGAATCGGGCCCGGAACGAACTGGCCGCAGGCCAACTGACCAAGGAACAGGACCACCACGATCCCGGTCCCGCCGAGGCAGGGGATGCTACTGATGCTCTGATATCTGGCCATGACGTCTCAACTGGAGCTGCTGTGCGCGATTTGTGTCTGCGCGTTGAACCTCTGGTGGGGCCTTATATACTCCTATCGGCGATCTAATCCCCGAACTCCGCTCGTGAATTGGGTTAACAATTGGCTGGAACCGGACTAGATCGGCTGCGTCTGGACCTGGACCCGCTGACCGGAAGCGACATGAAGCTGAGGAGCCGAGGAGCAATCGGCATTGGCATTTGGCCAACTGGTTCAGTTCGAATCCAATCGTTATTCACGCATTTTGGTGTGCCTAGGAAGCGTGCGCCATTTATGGCCAGCAATTGCATCACATACTTATACTGGATTACCAAAGTAAATGGTCGACAAATGAAAATGAAATCGAAAAGAAAAACGAAAACGAATACGAATACCCAATTGATGTGAAAAGTGGAAAGCGCGTGCAAAAAGCGGGCAGATGGAAACTGGTTTTTCCATGAACTCTTCGCAACTGTGTAGCACAGTGTTTATGTGCGAAAATGCAAGTTTATAAAAGCCATTTTCTATGCCAACTACTGCTGGATAACATATTAGTTATTTATTTTATTTGTTTGTTATTAATAACAAATTAAATATTCTAATGACACTGAAAACTATTCAAGCCAAGCCAACAGTGCGTATGAGTGATATAAAGAGTACCTAAATGACATCAAGTAAGCTTCGCCAACACTGCGTATGAGTTATATAAAATAATCTTTGCCTTTAAATGATGGCCACAAGTAGTATTTTATACGGATAATATTTACATGATATTTGAATGAAATAATATTTATCTTAGCCTAGTCTAATTAAAACTAGAGGCCGAGCAGTCCCAAGACTTTTTGTCCTCGTGAAACTGGATAAGCACTAGTTCGTAGGTGGCCACCGTTCCTGCCATCTGAAAGATAGAAACTAAGGGATCAGCAGGTGATGAATGCTACATGTTTGTCTTTTATAGGAATCTCTATAGACACTCAAAACTATTCAAGCCAAGCCAACAATGCGTATGAGTGATATAAAGAGTGCATCAAGTATGCACCTAAATGAAGTAAGCTTCGCCAACACTGCGTATGAGTAATATAAAATAATCTTAGCCGTTGATGGTAGTTTTTATAAATCTAAATTTTTGTATCAAGAAAAATCTCTGATGATTTCCGAGACTTTTGTTAGAAGAGATTTCTGAGATAAGCCCGAATATAACAATGTTCCTTTCTCACCGCCAGAAACAGCTTCCTGGTGACATTGAAGAACTTGAGGCCCGTGAGCGCCACCTGATCGCTGGCCAGTTCTCCGGCGAAGCGGAAGACCTCCGGGTGATATCCCTCGAGAGGAACGAGACGCAGCAAGCGCAGTGGCTCCCGCGCCTGATCATTGATCGCCGAGACAAAGAGCAACACGGCCGTCGATCGGCTGAGCAAAAACATCAGGGAGAAATAGAAGTAGACGGCGTGGGCCGAGGAGGGCATTGTGCTGGAGGTGACAGGATAATGATATTGCAGGCCATATATGTATGTGCACAACTCACTTGATGCTCTTGAGCAATTGCAGGCAGACGAAGTACAGATTGCTCCCAAAGGATATCAGCATTATTCCGGATACGGCATCATCAACCTCCCGGATGAGCTCCACTATTGAACGGTAGAGAGTGCGAGACCACGTCCAGTAAGTTTCCGGCATGGGCTAAGGATTGACATTTAAAAGATGTCTTAGCGATTGTGATGTAGGCTTATTGGAAATATGTTCTACTAGCTGGGAGAAAACGAATCGATGGGTTCAATTGTATTTAAGGTATTTGTTTACATAAATTGTAACTATTCGGAGAAAATTAGAATTAATGCTCTTTTTGATTTAAAAACGTCAGAAACAGTAAAAGGTTTTATAAATTTCAGAAGTTCGTCGTAGGATAACCCACCTGTTGCACCCGCAGTTCCAAGCTGCGGTTGAGTCTGGCCAGCATCTCGCTGAGACCCAAGCCCAGCATCATCAGGAATATGTCCATGTAGCTCCAGCCGAAGGTGAGCAGCAGGTTCTGGATCTTCCCCAGCCAACCCAGCCAGTTGGAGTACGGGAACAAGTCGAACAACTGGGCACTGGTGCCGTGCAAATACGACTCCACGGGATCCCTTCTTCGGGGACAAAAGTCGTAGTACACCACCGAAATAATGCTCAGCAGGTGCTCCACTGGAGATCAGGAAGACCCATTGGGAAATTAGTTAGGGAAATGGATGTTAAATGTGAAACCCAACTCAGAGAAAGTGCCAGGAGCAGGAAGGCCACAAACTGGATGCGACGGGCAGGACGAGCCCGCTTTAGTTGGCAGGAGTAACCAGGTAGCCGCTGCTCCACCGCCCCCCAATGGCGCATCAATCCTGGCCAGAGATGGGCCAGGTTAAGGAACTGCCAGGAGGCAATCAAGATGCTGACGTGGAAAACGATTGGCTCTGCGAATAATTTTGATTTTGTTTTGTGAAAGAATAAAAGAAAGATGTCAAGAAGGTCGAGCACATATCTCACCCACACTGCGAACATCCAAAACACTGTGGGACACCTTGTGAATGCTGAAGCCCAGATCCACCGAAGTGGAACAGAGGTACACGACACTGTACCAAAACCGCCAGCTGCGCCGGCTGAAACTCAGTCCTTGGTAGGATGAGGCACTGATCCCGCTGACGGGCATCAGGCAGAAGCACTGGGCCACGGCCAAAACAGGAGCCACTGCCTCGTGGAAGGAGCCGTTGTGTATGAAGTTCTCTCGCCTGCCCCGCACCTGGGTGTCTGGACTTAGAAGGGTAATCAGTTATTTCCAGGAACCCTTAAGTTCCATACCACGACACTGGTCCAATCCGCTTTTTAGGAGTTCCAACCAGATCTTTCCTTGGCTCTTTATCTGGCGTACAGCCTTTTTAGCCCGATTTTGATGAGGGACTTTCGCTTTTAGTGGTCGCGACATGTTTGAGTTCTGATTCTTGACTACAAAATTAATACAAATATATAGCACAAAGGAGGAAATCTACCTATGATCGGGTAATGACCAGTGATGAGGAATAGCCAGGATTAGTACCTAATTTAATACTTGACGGACCATGAAAACGTCGTAGGTTGCAGAAAGTTTGTATTACATGTAATTTGATTCAAAAACCTTTCGACACTGCAACATGAACGAAATTCCTTCTTTTTGAATACAATCCTTTTATAAATTTATTGGGCCCTTCCGATATAAAGGTAAAAGTACCTTAACCATCACTGATAACGAGTATTTAATTAGCGTGGCCTTGTGGAAAAGCCGGCGAAAAGTCAATGGCGCTAAAACATGCAAATTGGAAACACACACTCCCATAATTTATGAACTTGGCACTAATAGCGAAAAGTAATAAATGATTGGCCAATCCAACTGTCACATGGCGAAGTCGATTAAACATTGAGTGAATAAAAAAAATAAATGAATTGGTACAAGTTAATAAATAAATCGATGTAGACATAATATGATTAAATAAATTGACGATAGGGGTATGAAAAAAATCGTTGCTTTTTACTTTACAACTGAAAATATTGTATACAAATTCTGTCAATTGGAAATTAATATTATGTTAAGCCAAATTAAAAAGGAAAACCAGGCTAAATCTTCAAAGGAATGCTATTTAAAAACATGAAGGCAAAAAAATAAAAGTGTTAAAAAAATAAAAACAAAGCTATTGTGTTAAAACAAATGCATAAATTACAAAAACATAGTACAATTTCAAATGTCACTTCGAAATTCATTTTTAAATATTTCTAGAACACGCTTAGAATTTCAAACATCGATAGGCGCCTGCGCAACGCGCCGCGAATATCGATAGAACAGTGAGGCGATATACGCGGTCATCGGCAGAGTGATGATCGGGGTTTACTGCCGTCAAGCCTCTCTTATATAGTTTTTATTCTTGCTCGATCGGTGGAGTCGTTCGCGGAGCAGCGCTGCGCTATTGTTGTTATTACTGCTGTTAATTGCCAAAGAAAATACGACATTTTCGCTGTGTGATCGCAAATCTCTCGGTTATTTTGGGCCCTCTCTAAGTCGAAGTCAGAAGGCCAGAATCGGATGTCTATATATTTTTGTTGCATTTTTTTTTGCTGTGCTGCGCGGTTTAATGCCAACATCGGTGTTTGTCAATTCGAAGCAAGTGCTGTGCCTTGACAAAATGCAATTTAAAAGCATTTAAGAAACGCCAAACGAAGAATATATAATAAGCGGAAAACACTGAAACGGGTTCGAGTTCGGGTGAGTGGTTTTTGTTTTTTGTTTCTCTCTTTCAAGACCAGAATCCGGCCAAAAACGGCCTTACTTTTGTTAACAATTTGAGTTGCGCGTTTTTATTGTTGTTGCACTTGGTCCACACGCACGCACACACACACACACAAACTGCATTTCTATGGGGTGTATGTAAGTGTAATAGAAAGATAATGGAACGGCTGTTTCTACTATATAATATATCTTCATCTCCCTCGCTCGCATCCCAAATCCCGAACTTCGATTTCCACCCTCAAAAAAAAAATCAGCAAAGATGGGAAGGGGGAAGAGGAGTCAACATAATGCAGCATATACACAGAGACAAATTCCGTCTCATCCTAATTGCTTTTGAAAGTTGATAACATTTTTGAAACACTGAATCATTCGAAATTTTTTGAATACATCGCGTTAAAACAATATTGTTTATCCTTAAAATTGAATCATTGAATTAAACGGAACCATGTTGACTCATGCATCCTTTGGTTCTTATGTTTTATATTTTAGGATTATAGGATTTTAAAATGCGTTAAAAATGGAATTAAACGCATCCTTAGGACATTATAACTTCCTTGATATACTTTTCAGTTATAAACAGATACACAATATAAGAGTCAACATTTTAAACCAGAATTTGTAGGACATAAAGATCGTTTTAGATGCGGTATATGTATACTTATCTTTAAGATTTTAATATAATTAACAGAAAATTAAACTTATTTTCTCTGCCCATTTACATAATTGGACTCTAATAATGCACATTCCCCACAGCCAAAGTCTGTTTTTATTTACACAGATTTTTTTGATTCCACCGCTTCCGATGTGTTTTCTCTTTCTCTCTTCCTCTGTCAAAACTTCAGCTGCATGAATCATCCATTTCCCCATCCCTTTCCCACCGCAACAGTTGTTGGCGACTTATTCAGCCCAAGTCTCTGAAAACAACAAAAAAAAAAAAGAAAAAACCCAGCTCCAAAACGATCCAATACACTTGTGCACTATCTACATATGCACGGCGTAGTATAGCATACCCCTCATATCGAAAACTTATTTGGGCATTACACTGTTACTTAGCTTTTGATTAGTCAGCAACTGGCACAGAAGCGGGAAATATTTCTGGTACTGAGGACTGAGTAATTTTATTGATAGGACCTCTCGCCATTTGATAATTGATTAGAGTAATACAAAGTCGGACTAATACAAGTACAAATTAACAAAAACTTAACATACAACAGCCTTTAAGGCATAACTTTATCAGCTCGATAAGATGATATTGAGATGGTGCTTTTCGTGTGAAAAAAAAATATCACAGATAATTGATCAGTGACCCATTTGATATACATATTCTTTGATAACCATTATTTGCATTCGATTTCCCGCCCGCAAAACACATATTTATTGATTGATTATTTTTTAAGCTTCGTTCCGCTGCTTTTCTTGGATTTTGGAGGGGCTCCGAAGAATTTTGAGCGGTGGGAACCCAAGGCTGATAAGACTTTGATGTAAATATATACATATCCCTTATGAGCGTAGCTGTGTGTACATAATATGCATATTCGTGAGGGGGTGCGTACCAGGAGAAGGGGAGAAGGCACATGAGGAGAGGGCGCGATCCGTACATCCCGGAGTGGGGGAGTGTTATCTCTGATATCTGTGCCATCATCATTGCCAGCTGTTGAGGGGCAGCTCATGCACACTCGCGGTTAAAATAGTAAAGATATCATATCCAGACGAAGCATTCCCATTAAAAAATATAGCTTACAGATATTATGTCCTGTATTAATACATTAACATTTCAACATACCCGTTTCTTAAATAATAATAAACCTATTACTATCAAAACGAGATCAGTTGCAGATCATACAGTTGAATACGCTTTGTAGGTGTATGAATACATTTGTTTATGATTTGTCATATGAATTTATAAATGAGTACAAGATATTTTATACCCACCGCTGCTGTGTCGGCACGCATATATGGGAATGGAATTAAATGAAACGACTTGGGATGGTGCTCATTTTGGACGGGATGGTACGGCTTGCCATGTCATAGGATGCATATTCAGATTTCCAGTTGCGCGCTGCTGCTCCCCCTATTCAAAAAAGATATGAACGTTATTCGTAGGAGACCGAAAGTACAAAAACAATATACATAGGGCTCAAAAACAAACACACATGTTGATCATGCATGAAAGCGAACCGCTCCCCCGGCCCCGCCCCCACTTATAACCCCCATCCCATGTTGCCACTAGTACCCCTTCTCGAGGCCCTGGAATTCCCATTCCCATTCCCAGAAGCGTAGCACCACCACGCACCGGAAACATCGTTAAATGCGTAACAAGGCGCTTTTTAATTTAACCGATCCAAATAAAAAGCATTAAATAAATGAAATTGTGTGCATATGCAAAATATTTGGACTGAGCGTTATCTGCAGGGTGAAAACCCACGAAAAAAGCATGACAAACCCCGGCTTAATTGAAACTGTCATTGATTCAATACGCGCAACATATGATGGTGGGTTCTTTTTCACTGGGAAACGGGAAACTGAGACCGAATCCATTTGATTGCATTTGTGTCGCAAGACTCTCTTTTCCAACGCTTTCGACGCTTATCAAGGGGAAAAGAAAGGAAAATGAAATTTTAATTGGTCGTAAAAAAGTGCATTAATGGTAAAGTCGCTGATAGCTTCTTGCCGCCTGTTCGCAAAGATAACAATATTACAAATTCCATAGGGGCCTCTTTAAAAGCAAGATTTCAAAAAAGAGTGTGTTTCGAAACCGAGAACAAGTGTAAACGCTCCAGAAGATAAGGGATCTTCTTCAAAGCATATCGAACCAATTATTTATTTCAAAATTTCAACTAGAAACCAAAAGGAGGTAGCTATCGAAATGACTCTGAAGTAATTTAAATCGCGCTTGTTTTTTGCCTTGAATAAAATCAGTTTTCCTTTCCGTCATAATTATTTCTTTTAAAACTTGAAATCGGAGCAATATCTTTAATCGCTCGAACTACATGTTAATCGGTTCGAATAAAATCGGTTCCCCATTATGTCATGTAAACAAACTCGTTTATATTTATTAAAAATATTCAGGTTTTATCTTAATTTTACTGCTTTAATGTAACAGAAATTGATCGTCAAACACGGTAGTAATCTTTATGGTAAGCTTTATAATTTACTTTCGTTAGTTAACATTGAAGTATGTTTTATTTATATAATAAAATACTACCAACATTGTTTCAATGAGTGTACGTTGTTCTACGTACTTTCCCAACAACATGGGATTTTTCTTGGCTTATTAATGGGAATGAGACATATTGGGAAAACTATTTAATACCCCAAATATCATTCGCGTCAAACTGAACTCGATTTTCAGCACTGACGGCATAGTTTGCTTTATATTCTCTGGCAATGAAAAGATAATTCAACGTAGTCGTACGTGACTAAGAAGGAAGACCATTGCAAATGCAAAAGTAATACGTATAATTATTTAAAAGAAAGCAACGGAAACTGGTCGGCCATTTGATGATAATGAGTCATCAAACAACTTACCTGATTAGCACAAAAGCCTGTTCTCACCTGTATGCAAATAACCTTTACGTTTGTAAATAGTTAAGCAGGAACTTAAGATGCCACCAGTATTTTTCCCAACAAATAACGAAACTCCGACTTAAATTTTTATTTACAACTAACAGCCGTCTTTCATGTTCCTGTCTGCATTTGACATTGATCTCCTTCTGAATCCTGATTCGATAATTAATAATCTTGTAGCTATCAATCACGCAGTCAGCAGCGATTTGAAATATGCAGCAGTATTATTCAAAGCCGTTTGCCTTGCCAAGTGATGAGGAAATTGGTGAAAAACTCGAACTTTTGATGAAAAATTCGTACAAATGTGAATTTAAATCGCGTGCAAACCGGCCCGATCATTATGTTGAACCAGATGGTCGGCAAAATCTTATAACAAAATCAGTTTGCATAAATCAAATGTCTCGGATGCGATAAGTCGGTGGGAGTATGCAGACCACAGACTTCCTCGCTGATCCCGTCGAGCGGATCGGGTTTTCCTCAGCAATGAGCACTCCAGCCGAGCAAACTGGGCTATCACATCCGCAAAGCTGCAATTAGTTAACTGTTTCGATCTCCATTCATTCACAGATTTTCACGCTAGTGTAACTTGATTTTGCTGTTAATCTTTTCCTTTTCGTGCACTGAAACTTATTCGAAAGGATCGCACTTACAATCTATTTAAGTTTTTAATATCCAGAAACCATCTTCCGATGTATTCTTTTATACACAACAAGTCGTATTTCAAGCTATTATCAAATGCAATTAAATTTCCACTAATTCCTTTAATTGAGCGTTTATATCGTTCTGAAAACAAGCAATCGGAAGTTGAATTAATATTTTAATTTGTATACATCCGTCTTTTAATTTTCTCCATAGAAAATAAACATTAGTCTATGCGGGTAGAATAAATCCAACCAATTAAATAACCAAGTTAATCGTTTCTTATGCTCAATAGACGTCATACTTTTAGGTTAAATAAGGATTAAGATGCCATTATAAATATGGAAATATAAAAAATCGTTTTCTTTTTTTAATTTTACACTGGGTGTGCACCTTAAAGTTGCATGACTAACTAATTGACAGTGGCTAATGCTCTGGTTTCTGTCTTTACCCCGCAGTATGGACAATCACATGGATACAGGATTGGGAGTAGGACAGGACATGGACACAGACATGTTAATGGATGCCCCAGCGGCCACGCAGTCTATCTACCCGCATTCGGCGACATTATTCGCGGCAATTAGTGCCTGTGTCTTTGTGACGATCGGCGTTCTTGGTGAGTAATACCAACCCTGCAGCTCCCCAATCGCCCCTGCTAACCTGTTTCGGAATGGTTGGTCCTGCAGGTAACCTGATCACCCTGCTGGCGCTGCTCAAGAGCCCCACGATACGGGAGCACGCCACCACTGCCTTCGTCATCTCACTGAGCATCTCCGACCTGCTCTTCTGCTCATTTAGTCTGCCACTGACGGCGGTGCGATTCTTCAAGGAGGTGAGTCATCTTTGGTGGATCTGAAAAATATTAGTATTTAAGGATCCCCTTTGATATCATGAAAAGGGATTTTCCACATTTTCAGATAATGCTAATACCAACCCTTATATTTTTCATTCTATAACATTTTTTTTGTCACAACAGAGCTGGACCTTTGGCACCACGTTGTGCAAGATCTTTCCGGTGATCTTCTACGGGAATGTGGCTGTTTCACTCCTAAGCATGGTGGGCATCACCCTGAACAGGTAAGCCCAGTTCAGTCCTCCCTGTCATTCAGATAAGGTAATCCTCAACCGTCTTTCTAATCCTCTGGCAGATATATTCTAATCGCTTGCCACAGCCGCTACTCGCAAATATACAAGCCCAAGTTTATAACCCTGCAGCTATTGTTCGTGTGGGCCGTGTCCTTTCTTCTGCTGGTAAGTAGAGTGGGACATCTTTAATAAAAGTTTTTAACAAGGTCATCACGGATATAATGTCACAATATCCTCTTTTAGTTGAAGAAATTCTTTAGAAATTTTATAAGTTTTTTATAATATTGCAGCTCTTGAAAAAATCGTAAAATCGACCCAAAAAAAAAGTAAAGTAAAAACACAGATTTTAAGAGAATTAAACCACAATCCTTTTGAGGTATGTCAATTTGAAATCGGATGTCTGTAAGAAAAGTTATGAGCTTGGAAGTCCAGTATTATGGCACTTTTCCGCAACCCATTTTTCGAAAATTTGGAAAGGGGTGACATCGTTGAAAATGACGAAAAATCGACCCCAAAAAAAATTGTAAAGTAAAAACACAGATTTTTAGAGAATTAAACCACAATCATTTTGAGGTATGCCACTTTGAAATCGGATGTCTGTAAGAAAAGTTATGAGCTTGGAAGTCCAGTATTATGGCACTTTTCCGCAACCCATTTTTCGAAAATTTGGAAATGGGTGACTACGTTGAAAATGACCAAAAATCGACCCCAAAAAAAAAAGTAAAGTAAAAACACAGATTTTTAGAGAATTAAACCACAATCATTTTGAGGTATGCCACTTTGAAATCGGATGTCTGTAAGAAAAGTTATGAGCTTGGAAGTCCAGTATTATGGCACTTTTCCGCAAACCCATTTTTCGAAAATTTGGAAAGGGGTGACTACGTTAAAAATGACCAAAAATCGACCCAAAAAAAAAGTAAAGTAAAAACACAGATTTTTAGAGAATTAAACCACAATCATTTTGAGGTATGCAACTTTGAAATCGGATGTCTGTAGATAAAGTTATGAGCTTAGAAGTGCAATTTTCGGACAATTGTGGGTCCCAGTTTGGAAATCATCGGAAACTTAAAAATTAAATTATAATACCCACTGGTAAAATACCCTATAATCTTTGTAAAAACCACAAAGATTTCTGAAAAACCCAGGATAATACTATGTTATTTTACAGCTGCCGCCCATTCTTGGCATCTGGGGAGAGATGGGTCTCGACGAGACCACATTTTCCTGCACGATACTCAAGAAGGAGGGACGATCAATCAAGAAGACGCTGTTCCTGATCGGCTTCCTGCTGCCCTGCCTGGTAATCATCGTTTCGTACTCCTGCATCTACATCACGGTGCTGCACCAGAAGAAGAAGATCCGGAACCACGACAACTTCCAGATCGGTGCGAATGGAGCGGGCAAGGGCTCATCCGCCGGCGGATCCTACATGACCACCACGTGCACGCGAAAAGCGCGCGAGGACAACCGCCTGACCGTGATGATGGTCACCATCTTCCTGTGCTTCCTCGTCTGCTTCCTGCCGCTGATGCTGGCCAATGTGGTGGACGACGAGCGCAAGACCTCGTACCCCTGGCTGCACATCATCGCCTCGGTGATGGCCTGGGCCTCCAGCGTCATCAATCCGATAATTTATGCGGCCAGCAATCGCAACTACAGGTGAGTTAATGGGCTTAGTTGTAGATCAAGATCGAGAATTTCCCATCTTTTCAGTATCAAATTGAATTTTTCTATAACTAATTTTAAATCTGTTGTTTTTTAGAGTGGCCTATTACAAGATCTTTGCGATGCTTAAGTTCTGGGGCGAGCCGCTGTCCCCGATGCCGAGTAGAAACTATCACCAAAGCAAGAATTCCAAGGAACTTTCGGGCGTCATCCGCAGCACGCCGCTCTTCCACGCTGTGCAGAAGAATAGTATTAACCAAATGTGCCAAACATATTCAGTATGATCAAGATCGCAATCGAGTCGTTGTATTAGAGCTTGTAATTCATATCAATAACCTACTTATTACTTTTTAATTTATAAATTTATAAAAGATGTACGGCAGTGCTTACATCAAAGACAATCGAATTAAATACATATACTTAGACCAATTGAGAAGTCGGTGATTTTAAATTGAAAGTTCAAGCCGGAGTATTTCATAGGCTATCGAGATTTTCTATTGACTGGTACATACTTGCTTCCTATTTCGTGAAAGGGCTTTTCAAAATAAAAGTTGGGGAATAAGTTTACTAGTATATTGATGTTGCAAGCTCAAACTATGTCATGTTCCTATACTATAATTTCACGCCGTATTAACACAAACAAATATGGATGCATGATAATTAAATGAAATTATTATGATTCCATATCAACTACAAGGAAATTCATTAAACGTTTTGTTTTATTGATAATACGTTGCTCTGATCCTGTTCTATCATTGATTTAATATATCTACTTTCTGGGTATATTTAGCTGTCTGCTGGAGTATCTGTGATAACTGCAATTCTAATTAAAACTTTTTGAAACCCTGCTTTTAAATGAGTTAGCTTTACCATATTTTTGCTGAACTTGCTTATGGCAGAAGGATTCAGCAAGGTTGAGCTTGTTGACTGCTTTTCTTGAGAGGTTAGAACTTCAGTTCCCATATCCACCAAAATATTAGCGATCACTAATGGATTTCACGTTTTTAGAATGACAATTTGGATATATTTTTCTTAATCATGCCCATTTTCTGGTGATCAGGGAGTATTGATCTAGGCTGTAGAGTGCTGGTTAATACAGCTTGTTTTGATAAACCCATGGACAAGCCATGTGCCACTCGCGATTCTTCGTCACAAATCAAACATCTTTCGATAGTTTCACTTTAAAAAAAAGGTTTTATTTGTTTTCTTCTTCTTGGAACCGAAGAACCCTTAACGCACACTAGACAGACGAGAGGACCGGGATCCGTAATCCGTTAACCGGGATACAGATTCTGGACCCATCCTAGGCCTTGACGGCGAACTTGCGCTGAGGGAAGACGGAGCGCTTGCGGATCTCCTTGAGGGTCTTGCGGTTGGCATCCCGGGGGGACAGGGCCTTGCGGATGGCGCGGGTCTTCTTCCTGCGCAGATCCAGGGGCTTGTACTTCTTGTTCTTGAACACCTTACGCAGGTTCTCCTTCTGCTTCTGGTGCATCACGATGTACACGCGGGCGATGGCCTTGCGCACAACGCGGCTATATTGTGGATGCAAAGAATCTGGGATTAGAAGGGGACGCTACAGGGCGGCGGCACTGGATACTTACATCTTGGAGAGCTTCGAGGGCGCTCCACCGGTAACCTTGGCCACACGCAGGCTGAGGAGCTCATTCTTGAGCTCATCCAGCTGCTTGGTGAGGTCCTTCTTGTCCTTGGTCCTCAGTTCGGAGCACTTAACCTTCACCTGCGGCGGCACAAACAAAAACGCAGAAAACACATCATTAGAAATTGCTCGACGGGAGTAACATCAACGAAAAATAGCATTTCCATCGTGCAGCGAAGCCGGCGGGTCGCCAATCAAACGCCTCCGCTGTGTTTTTCGTGCACGGATGGCTGCTAATTTCCAGAATTAGATTTCGCGAAACCAACCATTTTTCTCGCTGTCACGTCAAAAAAGAAAGAAAGAAACAAGAACTAGTTGGTGGTGACACTGCTGTGGCTCCGCGACGCGAACCAGCTTGCCAGCGCTTTATCGAACCGGTTCCGACTCCGGTTTCTAAAATTAAATGCCCACGATAGCTAGATAATGATAAGAATAGTATTCCATGTTATGAATTGTAATGTTTAATTTCTTGATAGCTATATATGCTTACAAAAATTTGTTTAAAAAAATTCTGGTCTGGTATCTAAAAATTTATTATTTACAAATGGTTGTACATCAATAACAATTATTTATCCGATTTAAAACCATCAATTTCGATATGCATACGCCACTGCGGCAGCAGACGTATTTGAATTAGTCTCATGGTGAAAAATATTTTACCTTATTATTGGCTCTGATATGTCTATTTAATTGTTTTACAAACATCTAACCAACATTATAATACCTTCTTCGAGGGTACGAGTATAATATCGTTCCATAGACCCACCCAAAAAAAAAATTTTTAGGAATCAGCACAAAAAGTTGAAGTTTTAAAGTACGTCGTATTGCGAATAATCATTTTATTTTTCGATAAAAAATCATTCATTTTGAATTTCTTTTTGTTAAAAAATAATGATTATTTATGTTCAAAAACTAACATTAATACAAAAATTTAAAAATAGGACGTATATATATTGACCAAATTGACTTACAATAGTCGATTCTAAGTAATTGACTTTTGAGATTTTGTGTAAGTGGCGAACTAACATCTAGTTAGTTAATGGCAAATAGATTTACACCGCGTGGATTGCAAATCGCTTTCCATTTAATCATTAATTTCTGAACATTTTCCAGGTAACAGTGTTGGTAACTCGTGTTTTATTTCTAAACCCCCAAGATATCATTTCAAAATATACAAGACCCAGTATTAAGCATAATAGGCAGCCAATAAGAACATGAATAAAACATATTATGAAAAATAGCTGGAGTCCAACAAAAGTGTCACCACTAGTTTGAACTTCCGCTCCCCCAGGTTTGCACTGGCTTTTATCGCAGAGGTCCACCTCTGGCGTGAGAATGTAAACAAAGCATCCAGGTGGCAACGCTGGAGCGACATACCCTCAGATAAAGTGCATAAATAATTGGCAATCTCCGTCTGTTTAAGTAAATAATAGTGATATTAGGCAATAAGTGAGCGCAAACACAATGGCTGATCGGGCTATCAAGCTGCTGGTGATTGGGGAGAGCGGCGTGGGGAAGTCCAGGTGAGTAACCTTTTTTGGAGTCCCAAGTTCATGGAGAAAATCCACTGCGTATATTACTAAAAGCTTGCATCATTTGTTTTCGCAACCATAGTTTGATCCGTCGCTTTGTGGAGAACAAGTTCGACGAGAACCATGACGTCACGATCGGCATGGACTTCAAGAGCAAGGTGATGAACGTGGACGGGATCGATTACAAGGTGGCTCTTTGGGACACGGCGGGCGCGGAAAGATTCCGCAGTCTGACGCCCAGCTTCTACAGGAAGGCCTTGGGCGCCATCCTGGTGTACGACATTACGAATAGAGACTCCCTTGTGAAGTTGGAAGCCTGGCTGGCCGAATTGGACAGCTACAGCGACAACCCAAACATAGCCATCATTGTGGTGGGAAACAAGATAGATCAGGAGCGACTGGTGGATCGTGAGGAGGGCAGGAAGTTCGCAAGGAAGCATAGGGCCCTCTTCATCGAGACCTCGGCCAAGTGCGATCAGTTCGTCAGCGATGTGTTCAAGGATGTTGTGGAGAAGGTGGGTTAATAACAACTGTCGACAAAATCGATCCTTTTGATCCTTTTGATAGTTGTTTAAAGCCTCTAATCTATTTTAAATCCCCTCTACAGATCGTCTCCTCCGAGTACTTCAACAATGGCAATGGCTCCGCCGGTCTGGACATCGCCAGCGATCGGGATCTGGAGGAAAGCGCTTCCACGTGTTACTGTTGATATCCTGATGTTGTGCGGGCTTTTGTCAAATTTATATCGTGTATTTATTTAATCGTTTCAATATCACTAGCATAAACTCAACCCCAACGTTCAGTCGTCTACCTTTTTCTGATCAGGGATAGATTTTTCCGCAATATTATCTTCTTGTCTTCATCCGAGTTCAAACACTTATTATACAGGGACTTTTGAAGTGGGTCATATTTAAATATACTCTTCTAATTACAGAAAATCAGAAACATTCTTATTTGTTACTAAAATTTTGGTTTACTTTTATTCTCTTTGCGCTGTTTTATAAATCTTTTGTAATACTCTGTATTTAGTGTTGTTAAATCTAAAAATAATAAGATAAGTTAAAGGATTGTAAAATACGATTTATTAAATCTTTTAGCCCTAGAAATTTTGGATTAAACTATTAGAATGATTCTATATTTATATTTAACTACTTTCAAGACACGTAAGCGTTAAAAATGGTATTTCCCAGTAAGCTTCCATACAAGTAAAAATATTGAACACAATTGGAACTCTAAAATATCCTTAAATATAATGTCTAACTAGGATATGATGTATAGGAAGTTTCAGTTCAAAATGTCAGTATTCAAGCAGAAACTTGGAAAGTTTCACCTTAAGAGCTAGTCTTACCTTCTAGTTATCCCAAAAAGTTAAAATGATCAGTGTTTAGCACATCTGTTACATTACATCAAACATATGCTCAGGCCTTTTCTGCTTCGATATTAAGATCTTGCAAAACCCCCTTGCTTACATTTACATTGTGGACCAATCAAAATTCCATTTTGGCATTTTCTTTTCATTGTTTTATTTAAATGAAGACAGTTTTCTGTTTGCGCTCGTTTCGAAAGAAAAATCTGTTACGATGACGGAGAGTTTCGATACCGCAACAAAAAAAAGGGGGAAAATTGGATCAGAAACCAATCGAAATGTACATGGGCTACACATTCCTTTTGTTTATGTACGGCTTTCTTGTGGCTGTTTCTGCTGGTGTGATTTTATAAGTGAGTTCAGTGTGTATTTACAGTAATCGATGATTAATATTAGCAATTAACGCTAACAAGGTGGATTGAGAAATAATTGAGGCTGCGCTTTTGCTTCTGTTTTTTAACTCTCGCATTTCATACATTTCTTTTTTTGATTTTTTGCACGAAAAATAAGTTAGAAAACAAAGCTCGACAGTTGGCCGCAACAATTTCCGGAGCACGCCCTGTATATACAAAGTTGTAATCCGTAAGTGTAACTTAAAGTCTATTCGCGCAGTTGCTCCTCGTCTGATCCCTCGATCCGCACCCGCTCCCGCCCGGTTCCCCAGTTGTCCCCGTCTACTTCCCCGCAATGCCGCTCTTCTTGGCGTCCAGTTCGTAGATGAGCAGTCGCCACATCTTCACCACAAACACCTCCGCTTCCTCGTCGAGTACCTAAGGAATCCATCGAATCAGAGGGAGAAGGGAAGAGTTCGGATCAGTTTCGGTTGGAAAAGTAGTAGGAAAATACAATTGGGTTGGGAATAATAGCACTGGAGTTAATAATTAATACCACATTGGGTGGTTCCTTAATTCCAATTAATACAATCTGTCTATGATCAATACACAAATCAGCCTTAAAACGATTGTTCCATAATATACAAGTCTCTTCGTAATCATTAGTGCTATTATCCTAACGGCAACCATCTCACAACACTCACCATTTGCACATCGTCTAGGATGCTTTGGGGCGGACTTCCGGCTAACACTTTGGAACATATAAAGTCCACCAGCGTCGGCTCCGGCTCACCGATATACTCGATGATTTTCTTATTGATCCATGGACGTATTTTGCGTTCCATTAGACCGCTGTCAATCTCGTTGCGGTCAAGCTTATAATTAAATAGCTCCTCCTTTTGCGTGGGAATCCTGTCAATAATGCTTTTTATATGCCGCCGTTTTTCATCATACACCTTTGCACCATTCTCATCCTTTTTGGTGTTTGTAGCGGCAGCATCTGCGCTACTGCTCGCAGATGCAGCTGCCTCATTCTTACCATGTTTGCTGCTGCTGTTCTGTTTGTTGCTGTTGCCGCCGCCGCTGCTGCCGTCTCTGCCGCTGCCGTTGTTCTTGGATGTGGCCGACCCGGAGCCGGAGCCAGAGCCTCCAGAACCGGATCCCGAGCCCGGTGCAGAGGAGCCGCCCGCCTGGGCGATCTTCTGGCTAACGGCAGCGGCTGCAGCGGTGGCCGCCGACACGGCGGAACTCTGGCGATCCGCTGAGCTGCTGCTGTTGTTGTTGCTGGTGCTACTGTTCGCCGCTCCGCCGGCGGTGCTGCTTGGATGGGCGGATGGTGTGGTGTTGCTCATGTTGTCATCGTAGTCTGCAAAAGCAAAGGACTTGGCATTAGAAGAGGACTATATTTGGATAGGTATTGAGGAAACTATAATTTAACAGAAAGATTAGAGATAATCGTACATAAATACGTTTGCAACTTGCTTGTAAACTCTTATTTTGTTGAGGTAATCTTAAGCATACTGAACTTTAAAACCTTGCTGGTGGTTATTTAAACGTTGGTCTGGATTCCAAAACATTCTTTATAAATTTAAAACAAGTAAAATTGCAAATATATTTTCTAAACAAGTGTAGTTTTTGATGGACGGACACTCACCTAGCGGCACCAGCTTGCGCTTCTTGGGATTGATATTCTCATCGTTGTCGTCGTCATTGACGAACACGCCCGTGGCCTCGATCTTCTTCTTCTTGAGGTTGTTGCCCAGAGTCAGCGAGATGAGTGGCATAGTCATGGGCGGAGTGGCCGAGGGTAGCAGGGCGTCGTGTCCCGATCCCTGGTCATTCAGCATGGCGCTCTGCGTGGGCGTGTGGATGTGGGCCAATGAATCGCGCGACTCGCTGTTCTGCCTACTCAAACTGTCCGACAGGGACTTGTCGTTGTTGTTGTTCTTGGCATAGCCACTGGCGTTGGAGGCTGTATCGGCCATGGAGCCGTGATCGTCGTTCGATATGGAGTCGTCATTCATGCCGGCCATGTCGGGGTCATAGCTGTCCAGCTGGTGGGTCTTCTGCCGCTGCTTTTGGCCATCACCGCCTTCTCCCGCCGCCGAGGCGGCTTGCTTGCGCTGGTGGACCGCCGCGGTCGTCGCAGTCGTAGACTCCAGGTTCACATTGATCAGGATGCGCGGCTCGTAAAGCTTTTCGATTTCGCGGCGCGCCTTCTCGAACTCCAGCGACGGGTTCTCGTACTCCCCGCTAAAGAACTTGGTCTTGAGCTCGGCCAGCTCGTCTCCCTCCTTCTCGCGATCCTTGGAATCGGCGTCGGCCTCGCGCACTCGCTCCGCCAGACGTTGTTGCAGCTCGCGGCCGCGATAATAAAGTGAATCGTCGCGTTCATCATCGTAATCCTCGACGAACTCCTTCAGTCGCTTGGCATCGGTTTCGCGCTCCTCTTGTCGCAGCAGCTCTTTAAGGCGGTACTGGTGAAAAGAGAGGGAGTAAAGGAGAAGTAGTGGTCAGTACCCAGCAGTAAGGGGAAGAATCTTAGTTTCTGTAGCTTACCTTCTCGTTCTCCTTGGCCTTGCGCTTCTCACGAATCTCCCAGTTGGACAGGCGCTCCTGGTAAGCGGCCTCCTTCTCGCGAGCTTTCTTCTCGGACTTCTTGCGATCCCGCAGCTCGTCCTCCATCTCCTTTTCGCGACGAGAGTCTCGGACTGGCTTCAGCAGCTTCTCCTCGCGTTCCCGCTCACGTTCACGGTCCCGCTCTCGTTCCCGCTCCCTTTCGCGCTCCCGTTCACGTTCCCGCATCTCGTTGCGCTCCCGTTCTCGCTCCCGCATTTCGTTGCGCTCGCGTTCGCGTTCACGCTCCCGCTCCCGTTCCCTTTCGCGTTCACGCTCGCGCTCCTTGTCGCGAAGCTCGCGCAGCTCACGCTCGCGTTCTCGCTCCCGATCCTTGGAGCGGGACTTCGAGCGACGACGCCTCGTCTCCTTGGAGTCGGAGCGCCGCTCCTTGTGTGTAATATCAATGGTAGGCGCCTCCTTGCGACTGCTACCACTGCGTCCGGTGGAGGACGATTCCTTGGTTTCCTTTACGGCAACCGCGTCCTTTCCGACGGCGGGAGCAGCTTCCTTCTCTACCTTGTCCCCCACGTCATTGCCTTCGGTGGCGGGGGCCGAAGAGGCAGCTCTGGCTGTGGTCGCGGAGGAAGTGGAGCTGACAGCTGCTGTCGATGAGCTGCTGGACTTGCTGGTCGAGGACTTGCGCTCTTTTTCGCGCTGGTGCTTCTTGCGCTCCTTGTCGCGTTCCTTCTCCTTGCTGGCCGCCAGCTTTTCCTTTTCCTTCTCCTTTTCCAGCTCCTTGCGGTGCTCGTCTTCCTCCGCCCGCATCCGGAACTTGCCAATTTCGCTACTGATCAGGTTGCGCTTCTCCTCCTCCAAGGCATTATCGTTCAGCACCTTGATTTTGATGTCATCCTCGCGGCGCGTCTTCTTGTTGCGGCTGGTGCTGCCGTACAGATCGGTGCGGTTGCTTCCGTCGAATCCTTCAAACTCATGCTTGTGCTCCTCCAGGAGATCGTGCATCTGGCTGATGGCATACTCATCCTCGGTCTTCTCGTCCACCGAGTTGGAACGATCGCCGTTCTTGCACTCTTGCTCTTTGTAGTCCTCGATGAGCACCTTGTTCTTGGCATCCACCTTGGCCACCAGCTTCTTGCCATCGATCTCCATCTCGCTGAGCAGGCGAACAGCTCGCATTGCTGCAATTGGTCCGCTGCAAAAAGGTCAAGGAACTTGGTTAGCCACGACTTTTAAATGACAAGGGGGAAACCACATTGGAAGACAGTAGATATTTCAACTGTTTTCTTTTTAACAAAATGAGTTTAAACAATAATTAAATACAATAAGCATTGCTATAAACAAGCTTAGCTTTCGATATGCTGTTATAGATTTTCAGAGGCCATTTAGATATTCTCCTTTTAAGGAACTTTCTAGGGGGTAATTGAAATATTTTTATAAAAATAAATGTATCTTTCAAGTAAAAGAATTTGTATGGCTGTCCTAAACTTTTTTGTACCATTTTTTAGTGCCTTGTTTTGCAATTTAATTTCCCTATAAATAAACTAGCTTCTCTGATAGTATCGAAGATGTTTATATTCCCTTGCGAAGTCTTCCAAAGTGCCTTTTGCCCCAGTGCCCAGAGGCAGTTGAACCCACTCGAACTCGCAGAAGCCGAATGTGGAGACCCGCTTCCAGTTGATGACCATGCCGCAGGTGGCAAGGATGCGTTTGAGCAGCGCCTCCGGGACGCGTTCGCTGATGTTGCCCACGAAGACGGTGATGATTGGTCCGCGGAACTGCGGCTGCGGCTCCGGCGGACGATGGTACACTGTCGGCTGTGAGCTGATGGTTGCCGAGTTGCGGAAGTTCCTCGGCTGGTTGCCCATATTTTGCATCATCTGGAAGTCAGAAGGGGGGAGAGGTTTTGGCTTAGGAACCCAGTCTTTATGGGGATTGTGACCCAGAAATAGAAGGGAAAACTTACGTGAGGCGGCGGTATGGATGCATTCATGTAGGGCGGCAAGGGTGCGGGCGCCCGCGGCGGGTACGACATCTTGTGCGCTTTAATTCCTGCCTGCGAATCCTTTGTGTCCTTCCAAAACCAAACTTCAGCGTGCTTGCAAAATTAAAGCCGACAATTCACACACACACACACGAGCGACGGGCACGCACAGACACACACACACGGACGAGCGCAAACGCCACACGGAGTGGTAAATGTGAATGCGGATGTCCCGTTTTCTGTTCCCGGAGTCGGGCGCAAGAAAGGATCACTAAGAGGATTTCGGGTGGACTTTTCTGCGGCTGCTGCAAGTGCTGGGTTCACGGCGCGTGCTAAATCCACGCGTAAATTACCGAATCTCTCCCCTTTTTTTTCTGAGGCCGCTGTTCTAGAGATGGAAGCTGCTAGCATAGCAAACTGCTATCGGTCTATCAGTGGCGGCGTGTAAAAATTCATTTAGTTATCGGTTTCACGGTTAGTCCGGCAACTTCATGCACAATCTATCGATATTATCTAGACGTAACCAGCAAAACAAATAATAATATTTATTGAATACATAATAAAACAATGAGAGTGGGCCAGCTGCTCCGCTTTCGAACCACCGCCATCCGTAGCTCAACTGCTAGACAGGAGTACGTGCCACATCATAAGCCCGCCGTGCAGGATGACATCCGGCGGCTGGAGGACTTTCTCATGTCCAGACCGAATGTTTTGGTTTTGACGGGTGCTGGGATCTCAACGGAATCTGGTAAGCTTATTGAATTTTGAATATTTTATATAGTCTGCCTTCATATGTTAAGATTGTGCTCCAAACATTTCGGAACCGCAATGGAGAAATGCCTTTGCTACAGTTATTTTCGAAACCATCTTCATTCATTTAAATTCATAAGTTTTTAAGAAATTGGAAATTTAAAAAAAACACCTTAAGGCTCAAACAAATAGGCTGTTAATTAAGGTAGTTAATTGAACTTTATTTTTATTTTTTAAAATATGGTATTTTCCAATTCCACAAGAATCTATCGGAAATCCAGAATAATGAGGAGGAAAGAGACTTCCATTGTAGATTTCCTTAGTATCACCCTTAGTATCCAATGTGCCACCAACAATTTAAAATATATTCCAGGCATCCCCGACTACCGCTCCGAGGGCGTGGGACTTTACGCCCGGTCCAACCACAAACCCGTGCAGCACATGGAGTTCGTGAAGTCCTCGGCGGTGCGCAAGCGGTACTGGGCCAGGAACTTCGTGGGCTGGCCCAAATTCTCAGCCACGCAGCCAAACGCCACGCACCATGCACTGGCAAGATTCGAGAGGGAGGGGCGGCTCCAGGCGGTGGTCACCCAGAATGTTGACCGACTGCACTCGAAGGCGGGCAGCCGGAACGTGGTGGAGGTCCACGGCAGTGGCTATGTGGTTAAGTGCCTCTCCTGCGAGTACCGCATCGATCGTCACGAGTTCCAGAGCATACTGGCCTCCCTCAATCCGGCGTTTAATGATGCCCCCGACATGATCCGACCCGACGGCGATGTGGAGATCCCCCTGGAGTATATCGAGAACTTCCAGATACCTGAGTGCACGCAGTGCGGTGCCGACTTGAAGCCGGAGATAGTCTTTTTCGGCGATTCGGTGCCCAGGCCGCGACTGGACGAGATTGCGGGCATGGTCTTCAATAGCGATGGTCTGCTGGTCCTGGGATCCAGTCTTCTGGTCTTCTCCGGCTACCGCGTTGTCCTGCAGACTAAGGACCTCAAGTTGCCGGTGGCCATAGTAAATATAGGTGACACGCGGGCCGATCACCTGGCGGACATCAAGATTTCCGCAAAGTGCGGCGATGTGATACCCAAGTTGTTTGACTTCCGCTCCTCGAAAAGTGTCAGCTAATCCTGGCCCTTTTGGTTGCTGTATGTATGTACATAAATTTTTAAATAAATTCAGTTGTGGTAAATGAAGAATTTCGTTTTTTAGCTGAAACCATTTAATGTAAATTACCATGTCTCAGTACCATGTTAGGGTTATATATTTATCTCCAAAAACATGATTGTAAATTGGCTCACGACAATCAAAATCCATAATAGATTTCAGTTGTATATGAGTGTTAAATATAACACATTTCTCTCAAAATGTAGCATTTAAAACCTTTTTTTTAATGTCCCTTTAAAAAATGTTTTAATATTCCAATATTTTCGAGAATTTATTATTAACAATAAGTTGGCAACTCCGGCGGAGGTCCTGTTTTATTTTCGCGCAGGCTCCTGGAGAAAAACAACATGTGCGACGCAGTGACATGCATTCCCGAAAAGGGTTCTCTCATCCCCAGGTTTTCTCTCAAAGGCTCTCCCATTGTCCTGTGAGCCGAAATTCCAGCACATCCCAACGGGAACCGGAAGAGGGCGCGGCGGGAAGGGGCGGTGGTTGGGCTGCTATGCGCACTTCCGTTGTTACCGGTCCGCTCCCGTTGAATGTTTTTGTTTTTGCTCCAGCTTGCAGCTCTCTTTGCTCCACATAAATAAACCGCAATTGAGGCATCTCCCGCTCACACACACAAACACACACACACCGGTAGTGACAGTTTTCACACGCTGCCCATTACCCCTTTCAACGCCCCCGCACCGTGGCCCCGCCTCTCAGACAGCTGATGGAAGGAGAAAGATGCGTAGGCCGCGCCACAATGGGCAAAAGTACGGTATTACAAACTGGATGATCACAGGTTAGGTAGCATCTCCCTATAACTTGAAATTTCGAGATACCCGCAGGTTCATAATTAAAAAAATTTTTTAAAAATGGTTTTAATATTAATGTAATAGTAACTACATAGTACATCAAACATATAATAAAATTAAATAGCTTTAAGATGTTCTTAAAAAGAATATATGAACATAAATACATACGTATGATGCGTCAAAAAGTATGCTATATTATGCGTAATACAGGCATCCTTATAAGTACTAGTGGTCCTGCCAAAATTGGATAAATACTTAGGAGTGAATTAATAATATTTGTAAATAGCTCGCATATGTAAATAGGTTTTCAGGCAATCATATTAAAAGAGGTTCTGCCCATTTGAACTCCTTTCGACCACCACTTGACTTCCTACCCTACTTTCTTATACGTCGCGGATTCCGGGATTTGCGATAACGGGGCTCACTCGAAACTGGAAACTTTGGCGAACAAAGGCAATTGGAATCCGGTCAAGTGCGTTGTAGTTGTAGTTGCGAATGTCGTTCGACAACCACCGTTAGCCGGCACGGCAGCGTTATGTGCAGCTTTCACCCCCTCCCCTTCGGGCAGCTGCGCTCTCCCCAATGCGCTCTCTTTCTTGCTCTCTCGCCAGTCAGGTCGATGTGGGTTCCGAGTTAAAACTCGGTGCTCTCCTCTTCATTCTAGAATTAAGTGCCGCCGGAGCAGGAGTCGCAGTTGGTCGGCTTTGTAAACGTGAATCGAGTACAAGTCCGTGCTTTCACCGAGCAGCCGGAACAATAAGCCCCGGAATTGGAAAGCGGAACATAAACCGTAACCATTGCATTTTTTTCTTTCTGTGTTGTTCAGTTATTGAGTGTAATAACGGTGAAATAGAAAAATGAAATAACTTTTTATCGTTTATTGTAATTAACACTACGGCCTAATTTTGTTACAAGCCAAAAAAAATCGTTGCCTTACCCTTTACTCCTTTCCCATATCCTCCTCCCCTTCCTACTTTCTACTACGCACTTTCGCACACTCACGCACTTAAATTGCGTACAAAGCCAAATGCGCAGCAAATTGCACTGCCACGCCCCTTCCAGAAACGCCCACGCTTCTGCAGAGAGAGAGAGAGAGCAAATGGAGCAAAAGGAGCTGAGAGAGCGGGATGCTGTGTGTGCGTGCGTGTGTGAGTATGCGTGTTTTTGACACTTCCTTGTGCATTTTAGGGATACACACAATGTGCGTGTGCAGTGAAATTAAGTGAAAAGCCAAAAATCATCAGCTTACTAACTTTAAAAACTTTAAAATCCTTTAAACATCGGAGAAAATACCAGGATAATAAAAAAAAACACTCACAAAACAAGAGCCATCACTAAAGGCGCCCCTGCAGGCGTGTGTATGTGAAGGTATTTAAAAAAGGATAATAAGAAAGGAGAGAGAGAAGTAAAGGGGAATCCCGTGAAGGTAGGACGACCTGTGTGCGAGCGAGATGGACAGCTCGCCGGATCTGTCGCTGAAATTGCGACGCGGTTCCAGCGATTCGCGGGATAACTTTTACATGGACTTTGCCCAGGGCATCGACTCTGATATCGAGGAGGTGGACAACACGGCCAATCCGGAGGCGGTAGAGGTTCCGCCGCCACCACTGCCCACAGTTTCGCTAGCCGAAGAGGTCCTGCTTCTGGTGGCGCCACCGCCACCGCCACCCTCTTTACTGGGTCAACCACTGCCCACGCTAACGGAAACGGATGATATTCCACCCACGCCTACGCCACCACCACAGCAAAAGGACGGAGAGGAAGAGGAAGAGGAGCAGGAGGCCGAGCAAGAAGCGGAGGATCAAGATGACCAAGAACAAGGAGCTAGGGCAGCACCTTCGCCACCAGGCTCACCCATTAATTCAGTCCTGGAACTGGAGCTAATACCACCTCCGCCATTATCACCATTGGAGGATGCTGGCCTACGCACAGATGACGACGGCGAGGAGACCGATGACGCAGAGGAGGTGGTGGCCATTCCGCCGCCCCAGGAAATGCTGGATGCCGTAGATAATACAGAAGAGGAGGAGCAGGAAGCAGCAAGCGCCAATGAAGAAGACGAGGAGGAGGACGACGACAAGTCCACGCCACCGCCGCCCCTGCCACCGCTCCCCTCCAATCTCTCCTATGTCCAGGGACACAATCTCGGCCAGGTGACCCCGCCCTTGACCAAGTCGCCATCCAACTCACCTTCGCCGCCCGTGACTCCGCCCCCGTGCCCGGAACTAAACATCAGCCGGATGGTATCGCCACCTGCCCAGCATATCAGTCAGATACCACCACTCACGCCCTCCGACGAAAGCGAGGGTGAGGCGGAGTCCCAGCCCAACTCACCGCCTCCCAGATTGGAGGCGGAACAGCCGCCACCCGGAATGGATCATGACGATCCAGAGGATCAGCAACCCGAACCGGAGCCCGTTAGTGGAGCTCGCGAAGACTACAGCCGCTCGCTGGACAACGAAGATGAGTCCACCACCATTACTACACCGCCCAGCAACGGCTACTCCGCCTCCTCCATCATAGCTCCTCCCCCCGAGAACTTTGCGGAGTTGGAGGAGGACAGGGGCTTTATACCACCACCGCCCCTGGAACAAGAGCCCGAGGAAGAGGAGGATGAGGAGGAGGAGTTGACCAAGGAGACGGATGAGATATCCGTGGACAGGGAATCGCTGCAGGACCAGGCCGGCGATAGCATTAGTTCTCCACGGGCGGCCAGCATCCTGACGGGGTCAATTTCCACATCCGTTGGTGGCGGAGGAGGAGGATCACCGAAGCCTGAAAGCCGCGGACCGAGTCGCAGTGGCAGCCAACGGTCGCAGCTTAGATCGGGATCACAGCAGGGCTCGTTGCCAGGATCACGGGGTGGATCTCGCATAGGATCCCGCACGGGATCTGTGGCCTCTGCCCAAGCAGCAGGCGTCCTCTCCCCGCAGGCCTCCCTCAAATCGCAGACATCGATACGTTCGCAAGGACACACTTCCGTGCGGAGTCCTGTCGGATCCATCAAGTCCGGATCGCAGCGCGTGCAGAGTCCGCCGGCCGGAGAGGGAGCTCCAGCTATGCCCTCGCCACCACTGATGAGGAGTCCGCCGCCGGAACTGGCCCGCCAGATGCATAGTCCGCCAAGGATCACGACGCCGCCGAGGGTCTGCAGTCCGCCGCTGGTCAGCAGTCCGCCCAAGCTGGCCGAGTCCGCTGCCGCCGCCGTGGGAGTCGCGGCCGCAGTCAGGGAGCAGATCAGGTGAGCTCTATTGAGAAATGAATATTGTTTGACACTGGGAAAACAATAGTTCTGCGATAGGATCATTTGGAGATCTATCCTACGATATTCATATAGAGAAGATGAGTTCCAATACTTCTACAACATTGAAAATAAAACTATCCTTATAAACGATGTCATAAAGAAGCATAATCGGTGATGGAAAGTTTTGTATATATTTAGCATTGATGTTTGTACTTTCAATATATAAGATGTTTATACAAAGATGGACAGAACAGGGTGATGGTTAAAATCAAAAGATAAATTATTAAAAGGGTTAATTATGGGCCAGAAGTTAAATGTTTGACCCTGGTGTTTTAGTTGTATTATAAATATATGTTTTTGTTGTTATGTTGCCTCAGAGTTTATCAGTACCCATAAGAAACTGAGATTTACTTTTAAGATTCGCTTAACTTCTTGCACAACTTAAGATGGAAATCTTTTAGAACGCTCAGAGTGTTCCTTAAGATGCTGCTCCTCTGTCGCGTATCTAACTGAACCATCTTGTCTGGGTTCGGATTCCCTCGGGCACTCCATTAATTGCATAATCGTCCTCAGAACGCCGCGCCTTCTCATCCTCAATTTCATCTAACTAGGTACGGCGAACTCATTCTCGTCGTCAGCCTCCATTAGTCGCTGCTAATAGCTCAACAAAACTGTTTAACTTGGTGCTCGTGTTCATATCGTGTCAGTTCATTCCCTGCTCCTCCACTTGGTCCTTCTGCTCCTCCCCGATCTCCTCCTGCCACGTAATGCTCCATCTGCACTCGCTTCGCTGCTCCGCTTTGGCGTTGTCTGCTTGCATCCTCTCCTGAACATTAATTAAACATCACGTTTCCAGAGCAACACCCTGACAAGTTTCACGCCGTAAACAGACCCGTGTACTGACAGAAAAACAGGGATGGTGCACTGAAAAATACCTACAGAAATGAATGACAATGCCATCCAATAAATATTTTAAAATATACATTAAATTGATTTCAAAGAAGTTTGTATTCATTATCAATAGCTAAGTTACTAATAGAATTATTTTGCTGACCATAATGTTTCAAAACTTTTAAAATTATGTCCCACACAACTGCGTCAATCACCTTAATAATTAAAAGCGATCTAATTTGACCGGCTATCTAGGACAATTAATTTGTCCAAACTTTTGCATGTTATCACCTTCACTTTAATGGCAATTCAATTATAGATTTTATATATTTATCGTTCAGTGCAACGGCAACACGGCGTATACGTCACTTAAAATGCGTATACGCCTGGTCTGCAGCCGTGGTTACTGTTTAAAGAGGGGCTTCGGATGGGGGTTACGGGTGAATACGGGCTGCTCGATTGGCTTGACATGCACAAATTGTTGCAGCTCAAAAAAAAGAGTGCATAAAATGGGGAAAACTGAGGAGGTGAAAGGTGAAAAGGATGCCCTGGCAGGTTGTTGTCCTCGGCCATTGCCACGCCCATTATTATGGCGCTGAATGCAAGCGGCTCGACTGCAAATTGCTCCAAGCAACCTCCAAGCCACCCGAAAAACCCCCAGAGAACCACCACAAAATGGGTCAATTGAAAGTTTGTTGTGCCATGTGCTCACTGGCAACTTTTGTGTTGCCATTGCGGTTTTTGCATTTGTCCGAATGCAAGGAGCGCCCATTAATGGGCATTGCCAGCCCCCTTTGTCCGGACTTCGGACTGAAAACTGTGGATCCGGGGTGAATGCATTCGCACTCATAAATTTGTGATGTATTCCGGCTTTCGATCCGGAAATAAACGGCTCCAACTCACTGACAGGTAACCGGATTGATGGTTGCTGATTGAGTCTCGACTCTTGTGATCGATCCAGCCATCCGGGTATCAATAAACGTCACCGACAAAAATGTCAATAGCGCGGAAGTTGAGATGGGTACGGAAATTCAACATTATATTCCTATCTGCAATATCTGTTTGCTTTGCCTTAATTTTGAATTAATCCAATTACCGTGTTTTTATACCCTTGCAGAGGGTATTATAATTTTGGTCAAAAGTGTGCAACGCAGTGAAGGAGACATCTCCGACCCTATAAAGTATATATATTCTTGATCAGGATCACCTCCTGAGTTGATATAGCCATGTCCGTCTGTCCGTCTGTCCGTCTGTCCGTCTGTCCGTCTGTCCGTCTGTCCGTCTGTCCGTCTGTCTGTCCGTCTGTCTGTTTCTACGCAAACTAGTCTCTCAGTTTTAAAGCTATCGGATTGAAACTTTGCACACACCCTTCTTTCCTTTGCACGCAGTATATAAGTCGGAACGGCCGGGATCGGCCGACTATATCCTATAGCTGCCATATAACTGATTGATCGGAAATGCCATAACTTTGGTGTTTGTAAAGTTAGGAAGTTGGGATTTTCTATGGATTTTATTTTTGGCCAATCAATCCGACCTATCAAATTTCATAAGGATCGGCCGACTATATCCTATAGCTGCCATATAACTGAACGATTGGAAATGCCATAACTTTGTTGTTGTTAAAGTTAGGAAGTTCGGATTTTTTATGAGTATTAAGAATGCATCATATGAATAATTTTGGAGAATATAATTTACAGAGTATTCTGCAAGGGTATATCAACTTCGGCTCCGCCCGAAGTTAGCTTTCCTTTCTTGTTTCCATCTGCAATTTATTAAAAATCTTGAATTTATATATTAAGAATCTTTACAATTTCTCAAGAAAAAATGTAATTTAAATGTGGGCTTAAGTACAAAAAAAAAACAGTAATTCTAAAATTCTAAAAAAATGTATTTTGCCAAATGGATAACTTAGTCATATCGCTGAAGTTTTTTGTAGCCTCACAACAAGCTGCAACTTTGATTGAGAGTAACTTGTGGAGTGTTTGCCCTCTTTGACTTTGTGGCGCTGCAAAAGGAGGCGGAGGAAAGCCAGGTGGGGCAAACGATGAAAAGCTGGATGGCTTGTCATCCATTAATGCAGCAGTGCAGCGGGGCCAAAAGGTTACCGTCGTGTCGGGTTAACAACCTCAAAAAATACGGTTTAAAAAAAGGACGCCATGAAGTATGGCAGCACCCTTTTAGAAATCAGATTACAAGAGTGCTCGAGTGCATGACCCACACAATTGCAGGCGCTCCTTGTGTTGCATGCACATCTGTCTCTGTTTGTGTTTGTGTTTGTGTCGGTGACTGTATCCTGATGTCAAGGTTATTTATAAGCCAAAACCCACATCCACCTTCACATTCCCCCAGCACTTGTTGCCATTTTCGCGCACACTGGAAAAAAGTTGAGATTATTTTTAAAAGAATGTATATTATACAGACATTGATCCATATTTTATTCTGCAATACAGTAATAACAAGAGAGAACGCTATAGTCGGATGCCCCGACTATCAGATACCCGTTACTCAGGTAAAGGGAGTGCGAGGGAGATGGAGATAGAAACTTTGATCACGCATAACTTTTTAACGAAAGGTCCGATTTGAAAAATTTCTTCTACATTTCGATAGGTATTGATAAACACAATAAAACTGCATTTTTACTTTTCCGAAATATTTAAATTTTAAAAATCGTATATAAGCGATTGTGGGCGTTAAAGGGGGCGTGGCACTATTTTGAAACAAACTTGCGCTGCGTAGGAACTTCTAAAATCTACATGCAAAATGCCAATCTTCTAGCTTTTATAGTTTCCGAGATCTCAGCGTTCATACGGACAGACAGACGGACAGACAGACGGACAGACGGACAGACGGACAGACAGACGGACAGACGGACATGGCTAGATCGACTCGGCTAGTGATCCTGATCAAGAATATATATACTTTATAGGGTCGGAAACGCTTCCTTCTAGCTGTTACATACTTTTGCACGAATACAATATACCCTTTTACTCTACGAGTAACGGGTATAAATATTGTTTTAATTATTTCTATATAATTTCAATAAATTGATTTCTATAAAGCTTTCATAATATTATTGCTTTGAAAACATAGTACCAGCTTAATATTAAATATGAAACTTTGAAACTAAGTGAATTATCATTTATAATCTGAAGGTAAAATAGTTAACAAAAACTAACATATTTTCTCTTCGTGACCTCCTCTGAATTGTGAATTCCATATCTCGTGATCCCGCTTCCAGATTTCGTAATGATGCCCTGGCATTACTTTCGAGTGGATTGTGATTCGGATTTGAAAATGCAATGGGGTCGATTTGAATGCGAATAAATGATGCGTGCTCGGATCTCACGGATATGTTGGCATGGGAAGCGTGTGAAGCAGGATGTGGCCCCTCGAAAAGAGCCGCCCTCTCTGCTTGCAGATCCACCTGTCAAGCGACATATGTCATGTGCATGCCTCTCCGCCTTAATTAAACATCCCAATCACGTACTGAAAATGTTTCATATTTCCATTAAGCCAGCAAACATACTGCGAGTGTGTGTGTGCGGCCATCTAAAATACTTGCACAAATCTCCATATCCACTTATCGGGGGTACAGTGCGGGCAAGGTGTATCGGGATATATAAATATTATATAATCTAAATTAATTTTGATATACGCTACATCATATTCGCATTAAAGGTTGTCAATTTGTTTATAATTATTATTGATTTTAAAATAATTAATTAATAAAACTGATTATTTTAAAATATATAAATTTTTAACGTTTTTAAAAGTAAATCCATTAAATCGTATTTTTGGGCTGTGATTGGGTAATAATCCGAGGAGCTCGCCTAAAATCGCGAAACGCACTGTGCTATTCGCATTTTTATCCCGATTTGTACAGTGTCCACTAGACGGCGATTAGTTTCAATTGCCCGTGGCGAATGGTTGGGGACTTTTCATTAAGTTTCTGTTTCGAGTGGGTATTGTTCTTTTTTTTGCCAGCACTATGTGTTTATCTCGATCTGAATCAGAATCTAAATCTGTGTTGACATCTCTATTTGTATCTGTTATTAAGCGCAATTTAGGAGCACACGCTGTGTCTGCCGGTGGGTGGAAGTGTTCCGAGGTGAAGGTGGGTGTTCCGGAAGGTCAGAGATTCCCCCAAAAACCCAGTGTCTGTGAATAGTGGCCCATCATCTTGCTGGGTTTAAAGTTCAGGCGAAGGCTGTTGGCTGTCGGCTGGCCACCAAGTTCAATGTATCCGCGGCGGAAATGTCTGGCATCCGATACAATAAATCCCCGCACACGCGATATATAAATGTATATATGATTTGAGACCATATATGAGGGGAGACCATTATTTAATTGAGTCGTAGTCGTATGTATTTGTGTCTGCAAAATCGGGTGCGGGGCTAAAAACCCAGTCCACCGATTCAGTGAGCCCACGTCGGTCCGCCAATCCAGCCACGCACACCATATATTCTATATTCGCAAATCCCACTAATGTCGGCCATATCCGCTTCTTCCTCCTCCTCCTCCTCCGCCTCTGCTTCCAGTTCGAGCAGCTGCACCACTGAGCCGCCGGAGCCACAGAAGCCACCGATAGCCACAGTGAGCTACCAGGATGAGCAGGCGCCGAAGCCGCCGGCGGTGCTCACCAGCCAGCCGAGGTCGCACTTCACGAGCAGCCACCACCACTACCACTTGCCGCACCAGTTCCAGCATCCCCACCACCAGAACCACCACACCCACAGCGTGCGGGTGCCCACGCCCACTGTGCCGAGCAGCTATGCCCCGCCCCCGCCGCCCGTGGACAGTGGGAGCAGCAGCTCGCCCGTGGACCGCCGGCGACTCTTTATGGCCGCTGCTCCTCCGATCGCCGCCGGCGGATCGGCAACAGTAACTGCAACATCAACTGCAACCGGATCCCTGATGGCAACGCCCGCCGAGCCGGCGGTGGCCATTTCTCCGGGCAGAGTGTCAGCCCGGTCGGGATCGCAGCACCACGTGACCATCGATGAGTCCAGCTTGCCCAGCCACAAGGGCAACATCCAGGAGACGCCGGGGCCCAGTGGCCTGATCATCGGCGGAGGAGATGGCGACGGGGATCGGGACATTGGGGACGGAGGACCCGACAGCTCGGACCCGCCCTCCTCACCCGGAGGCAGCAGCTCCCAGCCGGCCCTCAGCGGAAGTCAGGCGGAGGGACAGCTCGCGTTGATGTACCACTCGCACCAGCTGACCAACTACCCGGTGCTGCCCGCCATCAAGCGCACCCACCGGCCATCCTTCGTGTATCCGCCGATGCCAAGGGTCAAGGCGTAAGTAGATCCCCATTCCAATTTTGGGTTTTCCTTTTTTGTCTTTTTTTTCACATTTTTTTTCAAGTCACCTTCTCATTTAATTTTTATGATGTAATACGTTTGAATACCTCCTTATTTTGTTTCGTTTCTGTTACAGCGGCGATGCATTGGCCACTCTTTTCTCCGCGCTCTATGGCAAACTATTGGTCGTAATGGGCATAGCATTTCCCATGGCAGAGGTTATATCGACCTATATCCCACCCTCCTTCTATGAGGTAAGAGCTGATCTATTTAGTATCTATTTAGTTATTGAAAACCTTCTGAACAATTAGTTGAGACCATTTAATTATTTTGTGTCATAATTGTGTACTTCCCGCTTAGGTCTACTATTTGTACTTGTACATTGGCAGCATGATATTCCTGCTTTTTATGTACGCCACTTTGTTGTGGGGACGACCTAAGTTGCCGGTTCCAATTGGTAGGTTAAAAGATATTTTCTTGCCGACAATATACTATTATTATGCTGTACCCTTATCCAGCCACTTCCCCGAACAAGTCGACGACGAAGGCGAGTGGAACGGACAGCATGGACGAATCGGATACGGATAGCAACTCCGTGCACCACCGGCTTCCTCCGGCGATTCCCGTGAGGAGACCATCGCTTCTCGCGCCACTCGGAAGGCGGGATGCCCACTACGGCAGCTTTTATCTGCGCATGGGGGCCGTGGGTGAGTGTTGACTGTAGTAGAATCCATCTTTTTCGAATCATGTAGGTTTTTTTCTGATTTAAATCTACTACGATTATTCGAGTTATCTGAAACAGTGTCCATACGGTTTCCTTATGCAGGCTTATTCTAAATACTCATATCAATAACTACCCTTCCATTTACAGCCTTCGGAATCGGCAGCATGATTTACTCGGGTCTGGAGTTTGGACAGTATTTCGAACTCAATCCGGACACCAAGTGCCACAACGTATTGCTGGCCTTGACCCCGGCCACCCGGATGGCCTTCATCTTCATCCAGATGTACTTCATCTTCCTGAACAACGAGCAGATCAAGGTGTATCGGTACAAGATCATTGCCCGCTTTGGTCTGATGCACATGATCGGAACGAATTTGGCCGTTTGGCTGAACGTGCTCATCCAGGAGACGAAGCACGAGATATTGACGTTCTACAATCCGGAGAATCGCACGCTGAGAATCTCGCACAGGATTCCGGGGCACTCCAGGGGGCATGCCATTATCCAGCACGATCCGACGGCCCATTTAAGGGTGCCGCGGGGCCTGAAGGGACCCTATCAGATCTTCGAGTGCCGGCGAACGAACATCATTGGAACCCTGGTGCAGGACGCCTCGCCCTTCCTGTTTCCCTGCACCATTGAGTATTCGCTGATCTGTGCGGCCATACTTTACGTGATGTGGCGCAGCATTTCGCGGCCCCAGACGCCCACGCCCCAGCGCCCGGATATGATCAGTTCGCCTATGAAGCGCTCACCGCACCACTACTCCGTGGACTGTGCCCGCGCCCACAAGGGCCTGTTCGTGGGCATACTCATCCTGGTGCTGACCATCATATCGCTGATTATCTTCTTTGTGCTGATCTCCCGGCCGGAGTTTGTGGCCCTAGCTGTCACGGAGGTGACCATTTGTGAGCTGCTCATCTACGGAACGGCCACGATAGCCACCTTGGTCGGGATGATCCAGATCCGGCACCTTCAGTACGACGCATACAGAAGCTTCTCGCTCGATGACATACTCCTGGTGGGCGCCCAAACGGGCTCGTTTCTCTACAACATCTTTACAGTCATTGCCGGGCACTTTACCCTGCGGAGCGACGATATGCTTGTGCCCATAAACGCCCTAGCCTCCATTGTGCAGACCGCCTGCCAGACGATGTTCATCTTGGACGCCAGTCGCCGGCAGGCCGTCAGTCCGGAGCACCTGCGCAAGAAGCCGGGCCGCGAGATCGTCACCTTTATGCTGGTCGTCAACCTGGCCATGTGGGCCATCAGCACGCTGGAGAAGTCCCGCGCCGAGTCGCACCCCATTCAACTAAACTTCTACGGCCTCTGGGCCTGGACGATCATCACGCACGTGTCGATGCCGCTGGCCATATTCTATCGGTTCCACTCGACGGTCTGCCTGTGCGAGATCTGGAAGAGAGCCTATAAACTGAAGCCCACGTACATGTGAGAGTTCGCCCGCTCGCGCATCCAGAGCATTGCGCAGCAGCAGCAATTCTGTGAGGATCTCAAGACGAACCTGTCCTACTGCTACTGCTCCACGACGCTGGCTGGCGGCGAGCTGGAGACCGTCGAGGAGGTGGAGAGCGGGGAGAGCAATTCTGCGGAGGATGGAGGAGCACCAGCAGGTGGATCAGGAGGATCGGGAGGAGCAGCAGGAGCAGCAGGAACAGAAGAAGGCCAACAAGGCGGCGACAGCAGCTGTGGACTGAGACCACCCATCCGGGCGCTGTCGCCGCAGTCCCTCAACACGGAAAAGGCCTTCTGTCCGGTTTACGTGATCAACGGCGAATGAGTTTACGCGCACTTTGAGTTCATCGACGCGATCAGCGGCCATGAGCTCAGCTTTGTCTAGGACTTGCATCCGCTAAACACCGTCATACCAGTATACCACCATCAATCCACCCACCAACAAAACTAGGAACCCATCTTCGAAAACCACCAAAAGCTAAAACATAAATCCAAGCGGATGCAAGCGTTAAAAGCCCAAAACATATCCTAGAAAAGAAACATTAGAAAGCAAAGTCAAATCAAAGAGTTAGTCCCATGCAAGGATAAATCAAAAAGTTAAGCTCCAATGCAGAGATAAATCAATGAAGTAATCCCAAGCAATGTCATTAGGGCGTATACGCAATAAGTTACAAACAATTGCCGTTAGTACGTATACGCAATATATTAAATGGTTTAAGGTCGTAACGCTCACTCACTACCAGAAAGGGATTGTTCCAAAAAAAAATGTAAATGCTCCATTTTATCAAGAGACAAATATGTTTAACCCATATTACATGCTATGATAAGGAGAGAAGTTTTAAATTCTCATGAAATACGTTTTTTTCCCGTCTTGTCAAAACAAATTTTGTCAAAAATTGCCTTTGAAGATATCCATTCAGACTTTGATATTTTAGGTTTTGAATAACATGTCAGGATTTTTGTTTCACTTAATAAAGGCCTTGATTTTCGAGTTAATTCCCTTTGGTAGCGAGAGAGCGATATGAGATTTATTGTAGGCAAATCACGTAACCGTAGATGAATTCACGTTTATCCCCTACATACAATCCCAAATCAAAAATCACGTTTGGTAAATGTTGGAAAAGATCGCGATCGAAAAACAACAACATTTTATATATTTATATATAGTAACTGACTGAGGATCAGCAAAACGGGTTGTGAACCAACCGCACTACGACGTATGCCGCTAAACTAACGATCAACCAAATAGAGAGCAGATATACCAAATATGTATAACCCAAATAAGCGAGTTCTATAAAAGATATTTACAAGGATAATTAATCGGTGTTCCAAGTATACTCGATATATTAAAAGTTGGAAGAAGATAGAAAGAAAAAAAGTGAAAAAGGCAAAGAAAGAGGAGAAGAATAAGGACATGAGAAGTCATTAACCCCACCAGAAATCGAGGAATCGCAAAAGTTATTAGACAACACCGTACTACATAGTAGACGGTTTACACAGCCTAGCACCTAAGGATATATACTCACATGCATATGTAGATGTTCAATCCAGATTGCAAAAGACCCCCTTTTAAAACCCCTCGAATACGACCCACTCTTGGATCGATTGAGCCCCTTGTTGAGATGCTTGATTTTTAGCGTTGCATTTAACTGAATTTGTTAACTTTAATTCGAGTTAACTTTAGTTAAGATGCTTGATTTTTAGCGTAGCGTTTAACTGAATTTGTTATCTTTGATTCGAAATAAGAGACATCCTGTTAAGAACCTTGTTTGGCCCGAATAGGTTTTTATGTGATAAGTTTTTGCTTGTTCCAGTTCTAGTTCCAGTAATACCCCAGATCCCATTTCAGTATTATGGATGCTCAAAACCACTGTAGAAGGACAAATCAAGAGATTGCGAAATAAATCCAATGAAATCACTTACTGTAAGACGCACAAATCTATTTAAGGAGATATAAATACGTATGTCTGTGTTTTTTTTTGTCTACCATAATGGTATAAGATATCTAGGATATAGACTCCACTTACACTTGCGATATATATTTTTCAATGCCAAAGAGTTCTTTACGTAGCCTATGTTGTAGTTGCTTTCTTGTTGAGTTCGAGTTTTTTGAATCTACAGACTCATCCATTGTATATTCAAAGTTATATGAATGCCAAAATCGAAATCAAAACCAAAAACACGAACAAAAAATCGTAAGAACGACAAAATATATATTTAATTAGTTATTTCAATTTTATACTCGTACTAAATTTTTAACTAGAATTAACTGTAACTTTATATGCATTTTCTTACATGTATTTATTGTACACCGACTCGGAACACTGCTCGAAAATCGCATATTTAGCGAAAAATCAAAATTTAAAATTGTATTGTATTTATTAGAATTTATTGAAACTAAGTAGTTACGACGAGAAATCGTACTCATTAGAGGAACTCCTATTCCACGTAGAATCGAAACGGAAAACGAAAGCAGTAAATGGACATTTTATGCGATTTATAAATAAAAAGCCAAAGAAAACCGAAAAAACAAACAGAAATATTCAAGTTATACCCGAAAACCATTATTTGTTCTTATTACTCAAAAAAGAAAATCAAAATAAACGTAATAATCGTAATTGTGGGACTCACGTTGTAATTCGAACTAAGATGACAATTTTTGATCTTTGTGCGACTATTCCTATTTCTGTAGTTCTTTTTCAATGGTTAAGAAATACATATTTCGATCCATTGTATTTCCTAGTTCTTTTACAGCTCTTTTTCAAATTCAATTTCCACTTATTCGCCAAATTCTTAAAACATTTCTTGGGTTATTATCGATTACTTTAATCGAGCAATATTTCTAAAAGTTTTCATCTATTTCTTCTGCATTTTAATTGTACCTTCTGAAATAAAATAGCAATAAAGGTAACCCATTAAATTGTTCAAGTATTCCCTAGGAATATTTGGTTTACTCATATAGTAATCTATTAATAGATTAAGAATTGCATTTTCCAGGCATTTATTGCGATCTTTCTCTGTTCCATTACCATTTTCAAGGATAAACATACAATTCAGACTAATAATATCTTTATAATCAGTAAATAACTTTTGGTCCCTATTCATGGAAAACTTTCCAGCATTTAACAACACCATTCACTTTCAAACTTTTCCCCATAATACTCAACCAATACAACTTGACTAAGCCTAGGAAAAGCAATTTGTATTAAGTGTTACAAGTATTTATATGTATTTACAATAATGGCTATGAAGATAAAGTTAAAAACCCAAGATAAAACTAGTCGTGAATGTTCTGTGTTCCCCAAAAATACACCATCAGCCCCGTACACCCGAAAAAAAAACTATATTGACTATAAAAAAGCAGTAAATATGCAATAAATATGAATAATAAATTGAAACGTAATTCGATTACTATGGAAAATGGTTTTCTTTTATTTGGGTCACGAAGAGTTAAATAATGTTCTACATAGCGTTAAGTACTGCGCTTTTCGGAGGCTTAGGGTGGGGCTTTCAAGTGTCCGGGGTGGGTGGGGGTTTTTTTTGAGGGGTTCTGGGAGAGTTTTGTGTGGGTTAAGGGGCATTTTGCTGGCTTGGGTGGCTCTGGGTGGAAAAGTGTACAGATACTGAGCTCGAGCTGTAGCCGTGTTACTCGCAATTGTATCTCGAACCGTGGGCATGTATCTATGAGTGGGTGCCACTCCCCCTGTTCCCCATTTTCCCCTATTTCCCCCAATATGTTTGCATCTCCTAGAGCGAGATGGGCTTAGTATTTCCCCAATCTCTCTCACGCTCCCTCTCTCTTTCACACCCTTTGTGGATGCTGTTTCCCCTGGCTTCCACTGCAATCTGTGGATGCCATGTACCATATCCTTGGGTATATACACGTACCAACTGGTTACCCGGGATTTGAACCACGCCCTGGCCAACCGAGCTGGCCAAAAACTAGGTTAGCGCTCAAATACATGATTACACACAAAAAGCGGGAGAATTTTGATACATAAAGGGGTAAAGCCGAAATCACAATGCACACTATGTATGTGAGATCTGAAGGACAGTCTTCAAAATCTATTTTTAAACATTAGCTCTAAAAACTATTTGCTTATTTTTATAGAGCCTTAAACCGAAGTGTTTTTTTGGAGAGTTACCAATGTCCTTTTCAAATTACACACCGGAATCAGACCTAATTCAATTAACTTATCGCCCAGGTGGGGAGAATTGTTTATTTTATTTTTTTGTGGGGTGTGTGCATGTTTTAGTTTTTTTTGTCATGCATTTAGACACAAATGCGAGGGGTTTTCATACATAAATGCACCCTGTTTGGCGGCAATCTGAGGCCCAGAGGTGAATGTCCTTTGCCAGGACTCAACGCATGCGCTGCTCTCGGGCAAAGACGGACTCGCCCACCCACTGCCGCCCCCTGTTCGCACTTTGCCACCCAAATAACAAACTAGAGCCACCCGTTCCCAGAAACTTTTCTGCATCTTTGCTAGCGCATTTGTTGGGCCTTCTTCGTCCCGTGTCACACCTTTTTGGCCCATTAGCGTCTTTTGGAGCACATATGTATATCCTCAAGGGATTTTCAGGGAGTCAGTTCCGAAGGCGATAATCTGATTACGCTGCAGGACATCAAAGGACACCCGGGAAAGGCCGTGTCTCAAGGGTCAGGGAATGGACGGGGAGTTCGGTAAATAGAATGCAAGTTTTTCCAATTCTCTAATTGCTCAAGGAAATGCAAACACCCAAAGGCAATATACATTTGTATACTTAGCAGATAATTAATTTCAATTCATGATGATTTTTGTACTTTTCTCTTGAGATCTTTTGTATGTTCTTATCGACTCGTCTGGTGATGCTGATCAAGAATATATATACTAAAATTATAATACCCTCTGCAAGGGAATAAGAACTTATATGAAAATGGGTCAAAAAAGTAATCAACGTTAAAACGAAAATTTTGAATGCAGATTTTCAGAGAATCGAATCACAAGTCTTTAGAGGTATGCCACTTTGGAATCGGATTAAATTTGGTAAAGTTATGGACTCTAGAAGTCCAATTTTGGGTCACTCTATTGCAACACATCGGAAAATTAGAAATAACTAACATGAAAATGGGATCAAAATTTGATGAACGCTAAATTGAAAATTTTGAATGCAGATTTTTAGAGAATCAATCCACAAGTCTTTAGAGGTTTTGGAATCGGATTAAATTTGGTAAAGTTATGGACTCTAGAAGTCCAATTTTGGGTCACTCTATTGCAACACATCGGAAAATTAGAAATAACGAACATGAAAATGGGTTCAAAATTTGATGAACGCTAAATTGAAAATTTTGAATGCAGATTTTCAGAGAATCGAATCACAAGTCTTTAGAGGTATGCCACTTTGGAATCGGATTAAATTTGGTAAAGTTATGGACTCTAGAAGTCCAATTTTGGGTCACTCTATTGCAACACATCGGAAAATTAGAAATAACGAACATGAAAATGGGTTCAAAATTTGATGAACGCTAAATTGAAAATTTTGAATGCAGATTTTCAGAGAATCGAATCACAAGTCTTTAGAGGTATGCCACTTTGGAATCGGATTAAATTTGGTAAAGTTATGGACTCTAGAAGTCCAATTTTGGGTCACTCTATTGCAACACATCGGAAAATTAGAAATAACTAACATGAAAATGGGTCTAAAATTTGATGAACGCTAAATTGAAAATTTTGAATGCAGATTTTCAGAGAATCGAATCACAAGTCTTTAGAGGTATGCCACTTTGGAATCGGATTAAATTTGGTAAAGTTATGGACTCTAGAAGTCCAATTTTGGGTCACTCTATTGCAACACATCGGAAAATTAGAAATAACTAACATGAAAATGGGTCTAAAATTTGATGAACGCTAAATTGAAAATTTTGAATGCAGATTTTCAGAGAATCGAATCACAAGTCTTTAGAGGTATGCCACTTTGGAATCGGATTAAATTTGGTAAAGTTATGGACTCTAGAAGTCCAATTTTGGGTCTCTCTATGCAACACATCGGAAAATTAGAAATAACTAACATGAAAATGGGTCTAAAATTTGATGAACGCTAAATTGAAAATTTTGAATGCAGATTTTCAGAGAATCGAATCACAAGTCTTTAGAGGTATGCCACTTTGGAATCGGATTAAATTTGGTAAAGTTATGGACTCTAGAAGTCCAATTTTGGGTCACTCTATTGCAACTCATCGGAAAATTAGAAATAACGAACATGAAAATGGGTTCAAAATTTGATGAACGCTAAATTGAAAATTTTGAATGTAGATTTTTAGAGAATCAATCAACAAACTATATGAATAATAGTTTAGGTCAAATATATTAGTTCTGGTGTTTATAATTATAATTACACATCTTTTTTGTACGCAAACATATATTAGGCTAACCAATTTTGTTCAGTGCTCTTCAAAGACAACAAAAGGCGGTGTGCGCAACAAAAGCAACAAAAAGGTGGTAGAACGAGAATGCAAAGTCAGAAGCAACAACAAACGGTATAAACACCGAAGCAACAGACGGCGCATATTCGTGAATATCGTAAAAAACGCACGGTATTCGCCTGCCTTTGCGTTTCGGTGTTGTTAGTTGCGGTGGAAGTTGGGAATTTCAGTCAGAAGCGAACTTTTGCGAGTGATGGAAGACACTGTCTCTTCAGACCGGTGCCGAAAAATAATAAATAAATTACTAAAAGAACAACAGACTAGCGAGAAATAATAGCATTGCTTAGAAGCGAGAGCCTTTAGAAATAAAACGATTTTCAGCACAGTTTCCCTTACCAGTTAGTATCTTTTAATGCCATTAACTAGTAATTGTTGTATCAGTAATTGCTATTATTCTTGTTATTGTTATTGTTGTTCTTTGCAATTGCTTGCTTTTAAATCTATACATATTATTTGCTTTGTTTTTGTACATGTGCAGTGAGACCAGTGCTAAAAAATAGAAATCAGAGAAACTAAGAAATAAAAAAGGAAACTACAGTTTTGAATGTGCGTCGTCCATTTTGTCTGCTGTGCGTGTGTCTGTATGTGTGTGTTAGTCCGTTTCCGGTCCAATCAATCAACAAACTTGAATTGTTTTACACAAAATCGCAGGACAATAGCCTTAAAACTGCTAGATCAAAACGAAACGCAATAAGAAAACGCGCGCGTTGTAGACGCCACGCCTCCCGCCCTCTTCGGCGTCTTCTTCTTTTCAAGCGGAAGCAAAACAAAGAGACCAGGACATTGCAAAAAGGAAGAGAGGAGAATAAAGCAAGAGGAAGCGACCCGAAAAGGAAACGCATATGAGCTGAACGGCAGGATATAACCCCCAAAAAAGTAAGTCAAGTGATGGATCAGGATAACCCTTTCAATACAGACATCAGCCCATACCAAATACAGTGGACATTTCCTAAGAAGTACGCCTAAGTTTTCTTATATCGAACTTACTTTCCCACTACACAATTCCCAGATCACAATTCAAATCCATAAATGACGTAAAGCTTATTCTTAATAAATCTATTTAATAGTTTCATTGTTATTTTCTTAAAATCATTCCAATTACAAAAATACAGTCGAGCTTCCAATTGTAAAATTCATATTCTGGTATAATTTTATTAACATAATCAAGATAATAGGTACATGTTTGTTTTATCAAATGATCTTTATATTTTAGTAGCCATTTTTCTCAGACTTTACCATGTGGTTTGAATTACGCAGGTTCGCCTGTACCACTAAGCTCCTTGATCTCCCTTCTCCACACTCAAAAGCAATCAAACTGCTGCCCTTCTCGGGTTACACACACATTTCTTGGTCTTCCGTTAGAAAGACATTGGAATCACTTCGGTGTCGCGGGGTTTTTTCTTTTCGGATTTCGCTACCTTCGTCCAAGTAAACCCTTAGAAGTGCTGGGCCAAATGGAAAATCTTAATTGTACATGAGACGCGACCAAAGAAAAAACCGCACAAACAAAAAAAGAGCTTTTATAGGCGGATCAGCGAGAAGTAATAGAATCAGGCCCAGAATTGGGTCAATTTTACGGCAGTGCTATAATCTTCCACCTTTGGGATATTATTTTTCACAATAATCAACAGCTAACTCATTTGAAGTTTTTTAGAAATCTTTATTTTATTTTAATTGTGTTTTTCTCCTGGCATTTTTGATCACACGAACATAAGTCTATATGCGTAAAGTATACGCTTAGAATTATTTTTTATATATTTTTATTATAATTTTTTTACTTAATAACTACCGCTTTGGAATTGCTGTTGAGATTTGAGTCATTTTTACTCATGAATCTTTAATTTTATGGCATCGCTTTGATCGCCTGAATCACTGACCCTAAATGAAAGTGCCAAGTTCAAAACTGAATCATTTCATCATTTCAGTTTCAGCAATCAGAGTTTATATGTAATCGCTCTTTTAGGGGATTCTTTGTCACCGATTGTCGTAGATTTTTAGTAGACCTAGAATAAATTGATACGATCTAACATAAAGATCTGACCGGTGGCTTGTCATTCTCATCGATTCCTATCGACAAAATCGACGCTAATGTTTTGGCAGCATGGAAATTCGAAAAGCAGAAAAACATTTGCGAGGGTTGAAACCGCGACACGCGATTTCTAACGGTGGTTAGTTGGCCAGTTGGTGGGTGGGTGGTTCTGCGAGTGGGTGGTGCTTCTTTGACGATGGTGGGTGGTTTTTGGGTTTGCTTTTGGTTTTGGTGGCTAGTGGACAGCTTGAAATATGGAAAGCAGGAACAAAACAAAAACGAAATCGGAGTGCATATTCTGCATACGGTCGAGTATCGTGTGCCAGCATACATATATTAACTAATGAGCCGACGACCTCGGGGGATGGACAACTGGGTGACTGACGCACCGGACGACCGTCCACCCACCCAGCCGAAAACCAACCCACAGTGGATCACGGCACTCAGAACTTAAGTAGGAGCTTTGCTCTCAGAAATTAACATATACAGATATTATATATGTTTGTATTTTCATTTATTTTTTTATTTTAAATGCTTTGCACAACGTATTAATGTTTACTGAACCTAGACATGTGCCTTATAAAATATTAGAAATAAATTCACATTGTCCAACCAATATTTCTCTGAGTGCACGGACGACTGACTGGCGACTGCAGACGGGGTTTGTTTATAAGGTCAGCCTATTTTCACGGATTGCATCCATCTGCTGACAGTTCTCATGCTCATTTCCATAGCCATTTTCATGCCCATTTTCATTCGTCTGCCCCTTTTCCATTTCCATTTCCATTTCGATTCCGATTCGTTATTTTCTTTCTTTTCGGTATACAATTGCATATCCGGTTCTCCATGTGGGCGCCGTCTCTGGAACATCCACAGATCTGCATAGATCAACTTTTCTCTCCTGAGCGGGTGGATGGGGCCACAAATGGGTGGTGCAGGGTGGTGCAGTCGGCTGTCATTTGTGTGCAATCTGTCATCGGACACTGTCATAAACTAGCAACAATGATCTCCCAATCCAATTCAAGTGGCACAGTTTGTTTACAATGAAAACCAGAAAGGCAGACAGTTGGGCTCACGCTCACTCATATTTCCCGTTCGATGGCTGCAAGACCTCTTGAATCTTAAAAAGGGTAAACCTTGTTAGCCGCTTGATTGGCAAGAGAAGAAAACAAAAGAAAACGCAGAAAAGTGATTTGGATGTTCCTGGTATTCGCTGTAATAAGGTAATATTTAAAAATACAAAGATAACATCTTCTGATAGATAGTATTCTTTAGATAGTATTTAATTAAAACACGTTTGTTGTTTTAATACTTTTAAATTCAAGAAGATAATCAGGTCAAGTTAGCGATTCGATTCGATTGTTGCCAATAATGTTGCACCGGTCCAAAATAAGAGAGCTCGCAATTAACAACATTGGGTTAGTTTTTGCGCCAGTTTCTCAGTTTCTCGCGAGTGTGGGGAGGTGTTAGCCATCAAATGTTAATGGTATTAGCCAAGCTTTCAATTTGCGAGACTGTGTTGGTAGCTGCTTGATGTTCGCTGCAAGCCGAACGAGAACATGTGACAATTCTGGCTTGCAATGGCCATGGAAAAAGCATGGAAAAATTACAGAGCTACGGAAAAACTACAAAAAGAAGATCGGAATAAGGACGGCGGCAACATTGTTGACTTTTACTAGTTTTTTTTGGGCAGGAAAATTTAGCGTGTCTGCAAAAGGACCTCGCAAACTCATCTAAATCTCTAGCTGTAAACATATTTGTGGCAAATGGTAGCAAGATGTGTTTTTTATGGTTTTAGTGAGAAAGTTTTAGATTTTCAGCAGAATATAATATATATGATAAGCTCGCAAATATGTATACTGGACTAGAGAAGAAGGTAAAAATGTAATTTAATTAATATTACTACATCAATTCTTAAATATTGAAATATTTTAACTATATACTTAACGAGAAGTCTTTTCGAATTGATCTACTAAATGTAATTATGTTTATTAGTCCAAACGATTACCACTGAATATTTCTAAATGCATAATGTCAGTTTGTGAAATGCAAACAAAAGCTTAAATGGACCGAAGCACATACAAAATATTTTAGTTTCTTTAGTTTAGTTTCTTCTTGCCAAATTCCAAACAAATATTTTCAATCAAGACCATCAAAATGTAATGTTAGTGATCGGCTGCCAGATTTGGAATTAAAAATAAATGTCTTTGCCCTTGAAAGCCAGAGCAACAAGTTGAAATTCCAGAAGGAAAACAGACGCTGTTTTTATGGCCCTCCATCTCCATTCAATCCTAAAACCGATAAAATCAACGATGCTGACGGATGTGTGCCGAACATACATATCTTGACAGATTCGAGTAGCTGCTTAAGAAAACTATTTTATTTATGCAAGATAAATATTCCAGAATTACGACACTTTTCAGTTTTAAAAAACCATGTATAGCATAAAATGATTACATTTTTTTTCAGATATGAAACAAAAATATGAAATATTAAAATGTACAAATTGCCATTACTAAATATCAGCGAAAAGGGGAAAGATCGAGGGGCAATTGCACGTCTGAGAACATTATTCCAAAATGTTTATTTTCTTTTTCACTGTCGATCTTGCTTTTTGTGCGTGTGGAAAAACCGAATCTGAGGTCGTGTGGCGATGCAAACTTGTGATATACACCCATAGAGACCACTAAATCGATATAACCCCCCTACGTTGCACTCCGTAGAATATATAGCAAATGGGGCAATGCGTAGCCTAACAAACACGAACGAATGCGAAATGTACGATATGATCGCATAAAATCGGCCAATATGTTGGCATATTTTTTGTTCAATAATATGAAAATTGGGTATTGTATTTTTTGAGTCTATGCAAAACAAAATATTTTGTTTCAAGCAAGAAAACGTTTCTTCCATTTGTAAGCTCCCAAAGTTGAAGTTTATTTTGTACACATTACTCATTTAAAAATTGAACATTTATTAGTCTTAGTTCTGTTTCTCCCCAGACCTCGAATAAAACAACTTTTTTATCATTTCAGAACGACCAATTCGCGCAACCAAAAGTCTTAAAATTCAACTGCTGCTGCAAACCGTATGACTGATTTATCACGTTGAGCAAACCATAGCGATTACCTCCCTAAGAACTTTACACTAGCTTACAAATAGAGATATATACTCGCGCATATACGGCCGGATATATTTGAATGACAAGTCAATAGCTCCGATTATATAGGACTGTATTGTAAAACGCTAGCAGAGTTGCCAGATCAGCCAGTAGAAAGCCCGTATAAAGTGTCTATAACTGTTATTGTATCCGATAGATAGAGAGAAAGAGAGAGCGCAGAGGAGAATCGGAAGCGAGAGAGCAGAGAGGAATGCAGCGGTGTCCCTACATTCATGAGATGCGCGAAAGACTACTGGACCAGCCACGGGAGACACTTCAACTGGAGAACATGGAGCGGGCCAATCTTCTCGACAACCGCCAATCGGCATCCGAATCCAACCAGGTCGGCACTGTGGTCAAGGTAGGGGCCTTCGATATACTCGCTACAAGGATTGCCCCGCCCCAACTCATATGCAATATCTAAATATATGTACCATGTAACCAAGTCCAAATCGAAACACACACAGCTCACGCCTACACACTTAACTCTCATAATACTCATTTGCCTATTTTATGGATCCAAAATATCTCGACTCTTTTAAGTATTCATATTCCATTCTGCATAATTTATTTATCTTTTAGTATGTCAGAAAGTTGATAACGAATCTTTCAAATAAATAAATTGGAAAAAGCCTCCACATCAAACCATACTTATATATTATTATACCAGCTCAAACGCTTTTTAAAAAAGATTATATTTTCAACAAATACACTTAAGTACTACTATTTCATACAAAAAAAAACATCAACTCTTACTCACATAAATAAATATACATAAGTTTGGAAATTATCATATCAAAATCAGCTTGTAAATATTGCATATGAATATTAACCTTAACCCTTTTTGTGCAGTGTTTGTGTGTCGGTGTGTGTGGCAGATTAATCATTTGTTTTAAAATATCTTTCTTCTTAGCCAAAGAATTCGAAATGGATCCAAAACTTTCACCATCAAAATCCTTGCACGAGTAACCGATTCGCCCTTAACTTTATGTTCTTCGAAATCGAAAATAAAACGAAAAGAGCCAAAACCATTATGAGTAATATTATTTGCAATAAATTGGAATTGTTTTAATCTAAACAGAAATTGTATTTACGCCTTGTTTTCGAAATGCATGCTGATGATCGTTCTTTTGTGAATGGACAAAGTGTCGTTGAGAGAAATTACTAAACTAAATGTTGTTAACCAATTTTTAATAGAAATTGGTATTTCTAAAATGTTCATCAATTTTTCGGGAGGTTTCCTAACAAATTCAATTATGAATTTTGTATATTTCTTCGGAAATTTGTTTGCCTAAAATCCTTTTGATAATTCTGTAACTTCCTCTTGTATATTTGTATTATAACTTGTACATTTTGTATTATATGAAATTCCAATTTATTGTTGTGAAACAAGAGACCCGATTGGCACAGAAAGAACTAATCCGAAGTGTGTTTCTGATCCATCGACAGCTGCAGGGCGATGGCTATCACACAAGTCCTGCGCACCAGCGCACCCCACTAGTGCCTCACGATCTCGGCGAGGACTTCAATTTGGATTTCGACGACGACTTCCCGATCGACGCAAGACGACCGAAAAATGCCAAGTAAGTGTGTTCCATGGATCCATTATAATGTCCTGACCCGCAAAAATACCACCGAGTACCATTTATAAGCCAGCACCACTCAATGTGTCTCCACTGAATGTGTTTTTGTGTTTCGTGTCTCGCATTCCATTTCCTGCGTTTCCTAGCTTCCGTTTCACATTCCAACGATCCCGAGCAGCATTGAAAATTTAAGAAATCTTTTAAAAATATGCCATAGATAAATCTATTTGCGGAGATCTAATTTTTTCCATCCCCCCCTTAATGATTCGTGAGAACTCTGTATTAGATCCTCAGTAGAACCGTAAGCCCTTTAAAACCGTAAATCGTGTTCAATTTAATCAGTTAGAAACCGTTACAGCGGCAAACATCCAGCGGTTCTGACGCGTCCACAGCAAAGGTCAGATTTGCTATTATACACCTTTCAAACCTCTATCTTATCTGTACTCCCTAAATACATACTATATTTATCGAAAAAGTAGAACCCTCTATAACCGTATGATCTTATCCTTTTCCTACTAACCTAGGAATGATATTAGTTAGTTCTCACTGATACGTAGTTGATCTTTTCTATCACTTGCATTTTGCGATGGCTTCTCATAGCAGTAGTTACGTTAGTTAAGACAAAAACACCACTAACTAAATCTCGGGGTTACTAACCTGAAAATCTGATTTCGGAACAAGATTTGCGTTAAGAACTGGGAAGTGCCGACTTTGTAAACTTCAATCCTATTAAAAGCAATAAATGAAATTCTATATTGACAAAAATTTAATTCTTTTCAAATGGCATAGTGTTCTTCTAAGATTAATTGATATATGAGCTCGCAAACTTCTTAGGCTTCTAGGAACCGTACAAACTTTTCGCTGAGTGCCCACACAAATCCAAAATTAAGTAGTATATCCGCTTAGGGAGTCACAAACACACAGGAGCCAAGTTACTATCTCTGCCTGAATTTCATTCAGCTTTTTCTTTGTATCTTGATGGCGCTTGTGCTTTATGTATTATTTGTACTATTTTTTTGGCATCCAGTGGATTATAATGTCAATGAACTGGACGCAAGGCACATTGCCTTACATTTCCGATGGTGTGGCATCGTTTTTGTGAGAGTAGTTTTTTGTGCTCCTCTCCGCTCGGGACATAAAACAAATAAGTAGGCAGCGAGGCATCCGAAATCTCTTACACAATGCTGCCAGTGGGAGGTGCTGGGTGGCTTGAAGTTGCAAACAAATTACGCAACTTGACAAACCGACAAAGCATTCCACTCGGCTGGCTGCGGCATGAACTGTCAGCGATGCATGCCAACCAGATCTGTTGGCGTCTTGCATATAGCTTACACGCGGATAAAAGCAGCTCAATATCAATTAGATATTCGCAAAAAATATACATTCAAATTGCAATAAAAGGTTCCAGTTCGATCCCCGATACTGCCGTAAGAAGTTGATCCCTTGTATTATTTTCAAACCCGGCTTTTAATTATATTATTTTGATAGTTTTTCGGATTAACTATTTCAACTCTGATGGTATACAGTTTAAATTCTCGAAAGTATCGTATTATCTGGTCCAAAATGATATGAAAAATCATCACGTAAATGATATATATTTTCTGTTCTTAGAGTACCCATTACTTCCCCATCTCCATCCCCATTCCCTGGAAGACCCCCACTCGGGGAACCCTTAGAACCATGTCTTTGTCTCCGCACCCAAAGTGTCATTGTACGAATGACTTACATTCGTGAGTTTCTGCAATTTGCTAACAATACGGCGGCACAATGGGTGCAAGAGGGAACGCAGTTGAGTTGGGGATACGGCGAAACTATCGATGCTTGGCATTTGGCCAAAGTTGTCAGCCTCACTTGAGAACACGGTGCTCGACTTGTGCGAACTTCACAGAGGGAAAAACTGGCGAGTTTTCAATGAATCAATAATAATTAATGGTTCTGCAGTTAAAAATCATAGTATATAAGTACAAAACTAATATACACAGTTTTATTTAGAAATTATTTAAAATATTACTTGGCGCATTCCAATGTTTCTCTACTTCTAAAATTTTTTTTATTGATTCGGTCGCTCGCAATCCATCTATAAAAATGCTATCATCTATTTGTGGCGTTGTCCCTGGCAGAAACATTATCACCTGATTAGGCACAAGGTTTTTTGAGGTAGGCCCAAGGATCTCTGTTCTCTGTTCACCCCCAATACTTTGTTTTAAAAATAATAACTTAAGCTCCTGATAAAGACCTCATCTGCTGTGAGGGGTGGTTGAAAGTATAATTAGGCAAGCGGACAACCCCTCTACGATTTCCAAGGGCTGCAGATGAAAGGCCACAATAATTATAGACTCCCCCAAGGGAGGGTATTCGGCATTGATCCCAATTAGAAAGAACAACAAGTCAGAGATTTATCCGTGTTTTCAGGAACTTCAGAAAGGCTAATTCGCAATTAATTTATAAGCAAATCAAGGAAGAACTATAGTTCCTAGTATTCTTAAACATTTAGTGGCAAAAACCTATAAGGCATCTAAAATATTTGTTGTTGAATTGCGCATTATTATTAGGCTGACAGAGTTTCAAGGAGTTTACTTCGCATTTTTCTACTCCGGGAATTAGTGAGTGGCATTTGGGTCACACGTCTTCATCTGGCTAGGATCAGGGTGCGGCTGCCAGCGATGCGATAACCCCTGCCGGCATTTTTCCAAAGTCCTTTTACCTTCCGCCTTTAACCCTGTGCTGCCCGTCTGTCCGCGGCTTTTCCAGCTTTTCCTGCTTTTATGCCCCTTGATGCAACTACTACGCAGTTGTTTTGCACTGGGAACAAAATTGTTATTTTAAAATAAGATTTGGAAAAATAGTACTAGGAAAAAAGGTTTTGGGTTCGATACGAGAGCCCTTGTTTTTTCAGTTAAACCAAAAACAGTTTAAATATCGAGTTCTGTAATTATCAAAGGTGCTTTTGGGTTTAACCGAAAAAAAAAATTGTTAAGTAGTGACAGTCGTATTCTTTCACTGTACCTTAACATTTTTTAATACCGCCACTCTTCTGGATGACTGCAACCCCTTGTCGCACTCTGCACTGCCCGTTCAATGGCTCGGGAACTGGGAGTTGGGAATTCTAAGGGAAGGGGCGACTCTGTCGGCGAATGGGCAACCAAAACAGAATGCCGCAATGTTTTTGCGAACGGGCGGCACAAAACGGAGCCACCCTAGTTACGATAAACAGTAAAACGATATAATGGGACGAACGAGGACGAAAAAGGACGAACCAGACAGCATGACGACGTAGTCGGTTTTTACCGTAAGCTATGCCGCAGCGCACAATGGACACTCGAGTGGAGTTAGAAGAAAAAAGGATGTGAAGTTGGAAGTTGCGCCTCAAAAAGGATTTAATGAACTAAAGATGAAGAGTTCAAAGTAAGTTCTTATCTAAAATATGACGTAAATTTTAAGGAATACGGGGACTAGCCAGAAAAAAGGATTAAGACTCGGAAAGTCTAATAATCCCAAAAAACCTTTCTGGGATCCCCGTATGTGCGGAAATATATGTACATATGTACATAAACAAATAGCTTGAACTGGTACTTACAATTTCAACTTCGTTTACAAATCTAGTCAGTCAATATTTAATTTATTTGTGTACATGAATAATTCGATACCTACTTCTTTAAAAGGAAACATATGTTCTTTAAATACCAATATTTACTTGCATTTATTAAAAACAAAATTCACACAAGATATAATATTTTTTAATATTTTATCCAGTATCTCAGCCATGCCACCCACTGTGACGCCAAATGTTAGCGTGGTGGTTGTGGCGGTGGGTGGTTCAGTGGGTGGCTTTAATACGTCGCACCACAATACCAACAAAAAACATCAGATGGTAGTAGTAAAATCAGTAGAGGCAGGCCAAACATCGTGGGTAATTGAGTTTTGGGCTGTTGCTTTTCGATGACTGACGTTTGTGCTGGGTTCTGTTCTGTTCTGTTCCTCAGCTTCCCATTTTTGATTCCGTCTGTCGACCCCCTCCCCTCAAAACTCCCGCCCCCTCCCCCCATCCGGCTGCTGCAATCTGCATATTTTCGTTGATTGGCATTGCGCGCCCCCTTTTAACTCATGGGTTTTCCGTAAAGTGACCCATTTACATCGAGTGTCCGGATAAAACAAAGAATCTCGGCTTCCTGATGCAAAACTCAATTAAAAGATATGTTTTTGGACAGGTCTAAAGTCAGGAATTCGCCGGTGAAAACATAGCAAAGTTTAGCAAATAATTAAAATAAAATGGGGGAGGGAAATAGCGATTATAAGGAAAAAGCCTAGATAAAATTTTCATTTTATTGTAAAAAAAAAATACAGAAAAAAATTAGATCAAAACAAATAATAAACATAAATTATAATCAATTAAAAGAAAACCCTACAAAAAAAACATCCGCAACAAAAAGACATTAACATGTTTAATAACATAGAAATCAAAAAATCCTACATAACAACACAATTGCTTTTCAAAATAATAAAATAAATTTGTATAGTACAATAAGGACATACATATATCTCATAAAATAAATAGAAAACAAACCTACAATATCATAAAGAAATTGAGATGTCAGTTAACATCAATCGGGACTAAACAATATCCAGTGCATGCAAATCGCATGAATGGAAGGCCTCTTTGGGAGCAAAACCCCAACAAAGCCCACAATATAACCGAGCAGAACTAAGAGCTACAAGAGCAGAAATCGCTCAATGTGTCCTACTTTCTGGCATACTCACGGGATATTTTCCCCTGCATGCCGAGAGCATCCTGCGAGCTAAAGAGAGAGAGAGAGAGGTGGGACTAGCGGCGAAAGAGACGGGAATAACGAAGAGAAAGAGAGAGCGCGAGCGATTCGGCGCAGATCGAGGGCGGCTGCTGGCCGAAAAGGATGCTGGATTTATCCTGCCAGGGCCCGTTTCAGTTGTAGTTGGATAGTAAAGGGTCTTGGACGTGTCAAGCGAAACGTTCGCCAGGTAGCCTTCAAAGTTCTCCAAAAGCAGGAGTCCTCCAATCAGTTGGAAGTGCTCAATAAGAAATAAAAATTCATAACTGAAACTGAAACTATCCGACCTTTTTTTTTAAGTTTCAACTAGAAAAGTGATTTTTCAGTGCTTTATCAAGTGAAAACCAAAAACTGTAAAGTAAACTGTGAAATCTATAAAAGCCTTCCAGTTTTGCAACTAAGAAGCGATTTTGGCTCAAAAAAAGCAATTTGCTGTGGGGTTTCTGTCATAATGCGACTAATTTTCCACTAAATAATGTTAATACCGTTGGCCAGGCCTCCAAAAACGGACTTTTAATGGCACCGGGCAATACACACACTCCTTAAGCAGCTTATTATACATACAGCAGAGTGAGAGTGAGGGAGATAGCGAGGCACAGGGGGACAGAGACAGCAAGAGAACCTCTCTAAGAACCTGAGGACTCGCAATGTACAGAGATAGTATATTTCACATAGGTCCGCGTCCAATGCATACACACCAGTACACCCGGAGTCTGTGGGCTCCACGGGATATAGGCTCCATTTTTCCCCGCCGGAATGCGAAATGTCAGATGCGACTATTCGACTTTCAACCCCCCAAATCCGACGGAGAGAGAGAGGTCACTAGGTCGCTCCCATCCGGGATGCAGTCCGTTTCAAAAATCATAGCCACGCCTCATTTGCCCATTTGTCAAATGCATTTCAAATGCGTTCCACAAGGCCCCTAATAGAGAATGAAAGAGAGAGGGAGAGGCAGTCCGATATATATGTATATAGGCAGGCTCTCCAAGTCAAACAATAGTTATTCTGTTGCATTTAAAAATAGAAAGAAAATAAGCCCAGCAAATTGCTTTTTTTAGAGTTGCCAAATCACATATTTACGAACTGTAAATTGAAATAAAGGAAAAGCAGCGGAAAAGAGAAATCCGCCGCGAAGGACCAAAAACCTATCGCCTATCGATAGAAAAATCGAAAAGGGAGATCGTCGAAAAAAGCCAGCACAACGGAGACCGAAACGGAAACGGAGACAATGGGCGGCGGTGAAGTGAAGGTCGCTACCGTCGACGTCGAGGGCGGGGACAACATGGCCACGCTTCCGGTGTCCCGCTCGCATACCGCCGGCAGCACCGACAGCGCCGAGAAGAACAACGCCGCCAACAAGGAAATGGAGCTCAAGAACGTCATGCCGCAGCCGCTGCAGAGGTGCGATGTTTGAAATATAGGGGAAAATTAAGTTCGTGGGGATTCCCGGTTCGAATGGACAAGCTTCTCCGTACACCTGATGTTAACTGATAGCCTTAGAGCAATTCCCGCCACCAACTTTGTGGAAACAGTCATTCGAAATCTGAGTAAACCTTTCAGTCTTGAACATATAGTTTTTATGTACTGAAAATCTAGAAAATAGCTTGCCGGAAACAGCTCATCTTCATTTTTTAAAAGTTTGGGAAATATTCTTCTGGGGCTTAGCACTCATTTCCTGATAAATGTTGTCTTGTGAGGAGTCCGTAAAATTATTATTCAAATTTCTTACGCAAATCCGGAAAACATATTTTATTATTGTGAACTTAGGTGAAAATAAGGGTTTTTGAACTTTTCAAAACCAAATCGAGAAAACTTTCTATCTTAAATAATCTTACATTTTCCATCCCAATTGTTCGGTGTATAAAAGGGTTTTGGGTGGTAGCATCAAGGCCGCTCTCCATTTAACTAATCCCTGTATATAACATTTCCCAGCTTCACCCAAAACACTTGAGCACAAACACACACATAGATACAAACGCACACAGCCGCGCACTTTGTACATAAACAAGTAATGCCAAGCCGTGCACACGGTACATAGTATTTGGCACATAGTAAAGTATATATAACCAAAAGTGCAATCCCAGCTGTAAAGCGCCATCTCACTCTCTCATCGAGGTCCTCTAAAAGATATTCCTTTTTGTTGCGTGCGCTTGCCCCCAAACGCCCACCGCCCACCGCCCCCCGCCCCTGGCTATCTAAAAAACCACCATTAAATTTAACATACATATAGTATTACGAATTGGATATCAACGAATTAATTCACATCGAATCTTATAGGGTTTGCTACACGTTCAAGCCAAATCCAAATAAGTACAGTTTTATGCCAGCGAAAATAACGGTACAGGGCACATATGAAACAAATCCAATAACGGGACCCATCGAACTATGGTAATGTGACATGTGTAAAAGCATGACCTATCCCAAGTCCAAATTACTCCAGTCCAGTCCTCGCAATTCCCGCGTTTCAAATTCCCCACACGTTCATTGCGATTCCTTTTTTTGTGTTGGGGCTTCAAGAGTTGTATTTCCCATATATTTCAAAATGCATATCATATTAGGAATAGGAAAGTGACATGACTTCTGTCATGTTGCCAAATGATTAAGATCCTGATAGAGACTTAACAAACGAACTTATTAATCCCATATACAAACATAATCGTCTATGGGTTTATTTAAATATACCTTGCAGTCAAAATCAGCTTTGATGTCATGCATAATTAAAGAAATCCTCTGCAGATACTCACATTATACAATGCAAACAACGGATTTGATTCAGCTCAGGGCCCTTACACATGCCAATGGATGCTTAAGTGGGGTGGGAAAAAGGGGGTGTGTATTTAAAGCAGCCACTAACTGGGTCACAAAATACTGCAAATGGGTGTTGTGGGAGGCACAGTGGGTGAAGGCTTGTGCACTCTTAGGTTAATAAAGTGACTAAATTAATATCATTAAGGCACGCTATTTTCAGAAATAAGTGATAATAAATCACTGTATATTTTAATTGCTGAAAAATACAGAAATTCAAATCAGCATTAAATTAAGAGCAGGGCCCACTGTGCAGATCTGTGGCTAATCAAACATCAAATAGGCTAATGCCGGGCGGTTAGGTTCTTGAGCTGTCAAGTGAAAATGCACTTGAGATTTAGTTGCATGTCAGACACTTTCTCACACCCAAACACACACAACAAACCGTGGAGCTTCTGTCTCTGTGAAAGTGGGGAATTAGCACTCGCTGGAAGCGGGACAGTGGGTCAACTCGGGGAGTTTTAGCACCGATTTCTGGACAGATCTTGACACACTTCCCGCACACAACAACATCTATACACACACACACACACCACCCGTATATACGAGCACCCAGTGTTTACTCTTCTGTACATAATACATAATACATAAATTGAAAAGAAAGCTGAGCAGCCAGGGAACTAACTTTTGGGCACTCCCTTTCGCAGGACATCGCTGTTCATCGTGACCAGTCTGGTGTACGCGATCCTCCTGATCGTCGTCTGCATCGCCTACGTAATCAGTGATGTAACCACCCACCGACTGCCGGTTTTGTACTACGAGACATTCTTCACATATCTCTACGGCGTCAGCATACTTTTCCTCCTCTACGTCTTCTGTTTCCTGCTGCAGGGTGAGTTTTCCACTTCTTTTTGCGATTTTATATCACTTTAAATATAATTAGGAAATCAGGCTTAATCACAGTTTTATACTAACAAATGCGTTCTTCCACAGAGAGCTCTTGCTGCAATGGCGGCAACGGCGGCAGCAAACCGAAACCCCAGCCCAAGGAAAAGAAGTCGAAGAAAGCCAAGAATGCCGATCCGGCCGATTCGAAGGATGCGAAGGGCTCAAAGGACTCTGGCAAGGCGGCCAAGGGCGCCGCATATCAGGTGGGTGCCAGTGGATAATCACTAACTGATCTTCATAAAGAACATCAATAGTTCCCTAAGTTGATTTAAAAATAGTCTATTGAAATATATATTGCACTAAATAGGGATCGGTTTTCTACTTTACATTAGCACTCACTGGCCAAGTTTCTGGTTTGCTATGAGCCTTATTATTATATTATTTATAAGATGTTGGCTATGTAAGGCATCTTTTACTTACAAACTCGCTGTGTGAAACATATATTTAATTGTAGCCATTCCTTTGATATTATATACATTTGATAATAGAACTCAAATTATATATAATTACCATGCTACCACTGAGCCTCCACGAAACAACCGGTCATTTTCCATGACATACCCGTCAATTGAGCTATTCACCTTGTCAAGGCTTTTTAATTAGTTCCCAAGTGCTGAGGTCGCATCAATTAGTTCCCCCTTAATGTATTATCTCTTGATCGCCCGATCTATCCGTCCATTCGCGTATGTAGGAAGCACCCGTGGATGCCGAGGTGGCCGTCACCCCGAAGAATGTGCGCAAGCGCAAGACAACCCACAGCGATCTGACGCACGGCAGCTTCTTCCTTCGAGTGGGAGCCATTGGTGAGTTGGGAAGGGAACCCCATATGTGGGCAGACCCATCCACCAGAACTGACACCTTTTATTCGCTCTCATACACAGCCTTTGGACTGGGCGCCATGATCTACATTGGATTGGAGTTCGGATCGTTCTTCGAAATACCCTTCGATTCGCCATGCCATCACATCCTGATCGGCGTGAATCCACTGCTCCAGATGATATTCACCTTCATGCAGATGTACTTTATATTCATGAATGCCCGGGTAAGTCGACAGGTCGAAACTCTGTGTCTAACTCTAAACTAAAACTAAACTAAAACTAAAGAACACTGTAAGCGTATGACTACTACCTACTTGTACTACTACCACTACTACTACCTACCGCTATTATCTACGGCTATTCTACTCGTATGTTAAATGTAAAACCTTCATAAGTACACGATACCAACCCAGCTCCTCCTCAAGAACCCCAGCGAGGTTAGTCCCTAGTTTCTGTAGAACTCAATGTGAATGTTAGGTCGCGGCATTTGAAGTCAGGTCGCGGTTCCAGTTCCCGTTCCCGTTTCGGATTCGGTTTATGTTTACCCTCATCGATCTCAATCCAAATCTCACCACGAATATGAAATTGGCGGGCTAATTGGCAGTTTTGAGTTCAGTTTTTCACCCATCCGCATATGTATCCGCATTTGCAACTGCATCCATCGCTGATCACATCATCTGCCATATCACTCGCTTGCTTCTATCAATATCTCAATCTCAAACATTGGAAAAGCCACAGACAACAGACTATTTAAAATGATACGATGAGGTGGTTAAGCTGATCATATTTCCAATAATTATGTGATTATGGGAAAGGATCAGATTGAGCCCTCCACATTATGTATTGATCCTTGATTTTGTTCTTTTTCTGTGAACTCACAGACCCACTGACACAGAGTTCAGATCCTCAGCACCACACGCATTTTGACCATCGAAAGCACAGCTCATTCATACATCCATTCATCCAAACCATCCATCAATCAACCAATGCATATTCATTCTTTTAAACAAATTTCGAAATTTTGCTACGTAGTTATTTAATGAACCATTTTTGTGTACATAATCCCACAACTCCGCCCCATTCGCGCGATCGCAGACTAGGCCGCCATTTCAGGTACGATATGCAACTCATTTTCTACTCTACTCTACTCTACTGTACTCTCTACCTCTAACTCTAACTCAAACTCAACCTGTACCTGTACCTGTACATCTGCCAACCAAATCCAACCAATTACTCATTTTGCTCACCTAACGCATACCCATGCCACCTGTATATGCCTATGTCTAAGATATGTAATACTATATGTTACGATATGATAACCAATAGGCTAATCAAGTTACTATGTCTTTAAGGGTTCCATTTGGCGGGCGTTTGCTTTTTGTTTTGCTCCACTGTCACTGCAGAGCGGGTATTTTGGGGGCTATGATCACCAATTAAAAAATCTAGCTATGAAAATGATACCAGTAAGGTCGATAATATCCATGAAAAGTCTAGATGACTCTGAACCAAAGAAACTAAGTATAAACACAAATAAATAAACATTTCCTATAGATTTCTGATCTAGTATGATTATATATTATATTGAAACGCATCCAAGGATCCCTCTGCCGAGGCAGTGGCTTGCAGGTTCCCCCTTGGAACTGAATTTTGCCCGTAATCTAATCTCTATAAGTAATCAATGTACTCGACCTAAATCCCCGTGAAACTCTCCGCCGTACTCAAGCGCCCCGCGCACCCCTCTCTCTCTCTCTCTCTTTCTTTCTGTCTTCCCGTCTTTCCGTTTACATAATTCCGGATCGCCACCTGCACCTGCAGCTGAACATCCACCGCTTCAAGGTGATCGCCCGCTTCGGCCTGATGCACGTGGTGGCCACCAACATCTGCGTGTGGATCCGCACCCTGGTGAAGGAGTCGCTGCTGGAGATCACGATCTATCACCAGAAGAACGAGCCGGAGGCGGGGGCCTCCTCCATTGCCCACTCGATCCGGCAGCATGCACTGCGCCACGCCGGCACCGTGCTGAGGACCCACGCAGGACCCAACAGCGAGTTCGAGGTCTTGGATGGCGAGGACATCCTGCCCAAGGACGTGTACAAGAGCGACAACGTGCTGTCCAAGCTGGTTCGCAATACCGTCGACGGTATTTCGAAGAGCCTGGGCATGGGTGGTGAGCAGGTGCTGGCCAGCACCACCAGTACCACCACCACGACCACCAGGGCGCCAGGGTTCACCACACCGGGCTACCAATGGCACAGCACTACTATGGCCCGCAAGCTGAAGAAGTTTATCACCAGCGCCACCACCGCGGCCACCACGGCGGCGGGCAGCAGTAGCTCCACCAGCAGCACCACCATCTCACCGTCGTCGACCGCCAGTAGCACCACCATCCCGCCGACCACCACCAGCACCGCCATCCCATTATCGAGCACCACCTTCAGTCCATTCAGCCCCACCACCACCGCCGCCCTGAACCTCGAGACCAGTGGCAGTGAATCGCCCTTCGGCGGCTTGCAGCGCATCCTCTCCAGCGCTGCTCCGCCGAGCCTGGCGCCAGTCGATGGGTTCGGATCCGCCGCCACGCCAGTGCCCGTTTCCGGTTCCGCCGCCGGCTCCTTTGTGGACAACTTCCTGGCCAGCACCCTGAGCCCGGCCAGCAGCACCGAGGGCTCGGCCAGCATAATGAACAACCTCTTTGGCCAGGGCCCAATGGAGAACAGCTTCCAGACGTACACGGACCTCGGCCACGAGGAGGCCACCGGGCTGGTGAGCTTCGAGAATTTCGAGAGCCTGGACAGCATTTACCCGGCGGCGCTGTCCTCCAACATCGGCACACTCAACTCCACCGCCTGCGGACGCATCGACATAATGGGCACCATCGTCTACGACTCGGCGCCCTACCTCTATCCGTTCATCATCGAGTACTCGCTGATCGGGGCGGTGGTGTTGTATGTGATGTGGAAGCACATCGGCCGCTATCCGGGCCGCATGAACGACGAGGACCTGGAGCACCGGCTGGAGGTGATGCTCTCGCGGCGGGCGGTGGCCATGGCGCAGCAGGCGCGATCCGGACGCGTCGACTGCGTCGGCTCGTCGAAGGGCCTGTTCTTCGGGCTCCTGCTGCTGGTCGGGGCCCTCATCTGCCTGATACTCTTCTTCGTCTTGGTGCGCCATCAGCAGTTCTCGCTCTTGGCCATTTACCTCGCCGACGCCAGCCACTGCATCCTGATGGCCTTCGCCATCCTGGCCATTATAGTGGGATTCATCAGGTCTGGATTCATCAGTGTTGCCAGTTTTGGCGGTTGACTTCGCAGAGAAAGTGTTATACGAGGCCGGGGAATAGTTGAAACCCACTTTACAATCCAACAAAAAAAAAAATCCTAGAAAAAAAAAAACTAAATTAAAAAGTCTAAAGATTCCACCTCGAAAATCTAATAGCCTTGGGGATAAAGTAATATATTTACGCGATTAGACCGGTGGTATAAAGGCCCCCCCCTTTGAATGATATTTTCTCTGTGCAGTCCCCACCAGATTCAATTCGAAAACGAACTAACCTTGATCATCTTCTACCCTTATTTTTCCGTTCAAACCACAAAAGGGTCAAGAACCTGAAGTTCCGCTGCGAGGAGCAGTCGAACCTGAACGACATATTGCTGCGCATCTCGGCCTTCGGCCTGTTCACCTACTCCGTGTTCAGCATCATTGCCGGCAGTTTGAAGGTCCTGGAGAGCGAGCCCAGCCTGCTGGTGACGACCACCGGGGGCGTGGCCGTCTTCCAGGTGATCCTGCAGCTGCTGTTCATCGCGGACGTGTCCCGTCGCCGCGTCCACCTGCCGGAGCACGACCGGAGCAAGCCGGGCCGCCAGATCGTCACCTTCCTACTCATCTGCAACGTGGCCATGTTCGCCATCTACACATTCGAAGCTCAAAAAGTATTCGCCAATCCTGTAAGTAGATATGTACGTAAGCGAGACTGAGTTAAGTAAGACGATTAACGCTCTCGTTCTCTACTCGTTGTTCGATTGTTATTCCATATCCACATCCATGTGATAGATGAACTGGCCTTATTACTCAGTTGTCTGTTTTTTTCGGTCTTTGCATGCCCTTGGAATGCGATTTTTTTTTTTTTATACCCTTGCAGAGGGTATTATAATTTTGGTCAAAAGTGTGCAACGCAGTGAAGGAGACATCTCCGACCCTATAAAGTATATATATTCTTGATCAGGATCACCTCCTGAGTTGATATAGCCATGTCCGTCTGTCCGTCTGTCCGTCTGTCCGTCTGTCCGTCTGTCTGTCCGTCTGTCCGTCTGTCCGTCTGTCTGTTTCTACGCAAACTAGTCTCTCAGTTTTAAAGCTATCGAATTGAAACTTTGCACACACCCTTCTTTCCTTTGCACGCAGTATATAAGTCGGAACGGCCGGGATCGGCCGACTATATCCTATAGCTGCCATATAACTGAACGATCGGAAATGCCATAACTTTGGTGTTTTTAAAGTTAGGAAGTTGGGATTTTCTATGGGTTTTACATTTGGCCAATCAATTTGACGTACCAAATTTTATAAGGATCGGCCGACTATATAGTATAGCTGCCATATAACTGAACGATCGGAAATGCCACAACTTTGGTGTTTGTAAAGTTAGGAAGTTGGGATTTTCTATGTGTTTTGTATTTGGCCATTCAATTTGACGTACCAAATTTTATAAAGATCGGCCGACTATATCCTATAGCTGCCATATAACTGATTGATCGGAAATGCCATAACTTTGGTGTTTGTAAAGTTAGGAAGTTGGGATTTTCTATGGGTTTTATTTTTGGCCAATCAATCCGACCTACCAAACTTCATAAGGATCGACCGACTATATCCTATAGCTGCCATATAACTGATTGATCGGAAATGCCATAACTTTGGTGTTTTTAAAGTTACGAAGTTGGGATTTTTTATGAGTATTAAGAATGCATCATATGAATAATTTTGGAAAATATAATTTACAGAGTATTCTGCAAGGGTATATCAACTTCGGCTCCGCCCGAAGTTAGCTTTCCTTTCTTGTTTAATTGTAAGATTGTTTTCTTATTTCTGATTTGTTTAAGTTGCCCAGCTAGGTAACAGTGCACCTTTCCATTTTTGTTGCCAGTTGGTTATTATTAAAAAAAAAAAAAAAAGTTTTCTTGGCGAAATCAAATCATATTTACATTTTCTTGTTCCGAAAAATTTGTGTCCTTACAAGGCCAAATCTTTAGTTATAGCTGAATGCTGAATGTTATTTTATCACTGGACAAATGTTTGTTTAACTGGACGTGTTCTGTTTTTTGGCCTTGCTGTGCTCTCCCCCTGCATGTGTTTAGTGTTAGCCCAGGAACACCGCACTTTGGCCCACCCACTAACCCCCATAACTATGCTACATCCACAGGTTCAGCTGGAGTTCTACGGCTTCGTGCCCTGGTCGATCATCCAGCGCATCACACTGCCCCTGTGCATCTTCCATCGATTCCACAGTGCCGTGACACTCGCCGAGATCTGGAAGACCACCTACAAGGCACGCCTGGAGTAAGCTGGTGGCTATGTCGATGCCAATGAAGATGCCGATGCCGATGCCGATGTCTATATCCCGATGTCTATGTAGGCCGATGTGGGAGTTATAAAAATGCACCAAAACCAAAATGTAGCGAGCCCAGAACGCAAACAGATACAGAAATCAAGTGAAGAGTTAGTTTCTAATTACGTATTAAACATATATGCATACTACATATAATATATACATTAATGCAGATATGATTATGATTTTTTTGTTTGATAACCAAAGCGAAACGAAACGAAATGAGAAACGAAACGAACGAACCTTTCGGACCAATCTGCCGGTAATAGATGGCCAACCGATAACGATTTGCAGGTCGCTTCTTGACTTTTTGACCCCTTTCGGTTTTTACTTTGTTAACTCGTGGAGAACTTAATAACTAAGTCATAGCGTTTACATTTTTTGCCCAAAGACCGAAAACCATGAAACACGGCACATGTTTTTAATCTGAGTTACGTATTTAATTTAATTTAGTTTAGTTTCGCCTCTAACACGCTGCAATACCTTGTTACTTAATGAAAATGCAAGTTAATATTAATTTCATATACTTTATTATTATCCGCTTCGGCAACCGAAACCAAAAATGAAATCGATTAAAAAATTCACATTACGAATAAGATGGAAATTGTTCTGAAAACATGGTTGTTTTCACGTGTTTTTTTTCGCGACTGCGAAGGCGGAAATCCCCGTTAAAGTCAAAGTCCTCGGGAAAAGCACACACGAATACACTGAAACCCAAAAGCAGGGATCCACACAATGCAATGCCATGAAGACCGCGGCCACAGGAAAAGCAAACGGAAACGGAAACGAAACGGTAACGGTAACGAAACCCGGAAACGGATACAAAAGGACTTTCTGAATCAATTTGATCTGACTTTTTCACCAAACAACAGTAACAGCCGAACAACAACAAACTGTGATGAATTCATATGATTTATTGGTATCATTTTATTTCAGTTTATTCTGTTCTCTCCTTTATTTAATCAATTAAACTCTTCGTTTCTTATTCTCAGCCACAATTCACTAACTAAGTCTACACAACTTTTGTAAGAACTTAGAAACAATGGCGCTAAGAAACTTCATGGCCAATTGTAAAAACAAATTCCCCAAAACAAAAACTAAAAACAAAACAATACCAAAAAAAAACAAAAAACAAGGGAAAACAAAGAAAATTGTGGCATTTAATGGCCAAAAATACAACAAAAAAAACATTTTTAATATACATTATATAAAAGTTTATAAATGTCCATTTTTTGATTATTAGTAGTGATGTTAAAAGAAAAACATAATTAACGGTATAAATAATAATATGTATGTATGTTATAGCAGAGAATCGGATAAACCAGAAATTCTTAAGCAACACTCGAAAAAAAAGAGAACTTTTGGAGCAATCGAAAATCTTTCCAAGTGAATCCCCGCATTTATGAATGAGAATTTTAGCTAAAGCAAAACGGAAAATCAAGTGAAGTGGTGACGAGATGCCAGGAAGAAAAAAGGGAAACCATTGACAAGCATCAAATTGTTTACAATTTACAATGTTACAAAACTAACATTTTGAAAGATATATATGCCACGTATATCTATAAATATAGTATACTAACCCACCAAATTCAAAGTATTTCAACGTTTTATACAAGGAGACGATGCGCAAGACAAGAGATCGGGACAGCTATCGACCTGTCCCCCTCGAACCCCAACCCCCCGCCCTCTCCCCCCGAAACACGAAACCCTAAGCCCGAAATCCGTAACGCCCACATAACCCCATTGCCAAGCCCCAAACGCATAGCCCCATCCCAAATACAGCTGCAACTCAAGTCAGAAAGCATCAGATTGCTAAAGACCAAAGAAGAGAAGGACGTTACCAGAAGCGATAAAGCGATAAATTGAGAATCCGATTATAATCAATAATCATAATCCAGTCTACAAGTCTATATAATGCATGTTAACTGTAGGCGCGGGGAGTTCAAGAAGAATACGTATTCAATACTCGTAATCCAATCAAATGTAATGTGGTAGCAAGCATAGGCCAACCAAGCCAAAAATCGAACAAACCATAAGTAGTTCAGCACACACTCACTCACTCACACACGGATCACGGATCACGGATCTGGATCTGGATATGGATCGGATATATCCAAAGTTTGCGAACGAAATTCAGTTTGAAACTTGTACTTGCGTAGGCTCTTAGAAATTGTACTTGAATGCATACGCCACATAAATTATATATATAAATAAATCTAATTGTTTTTTCCTTAACATTTAGTTAAACGTAAGATCAAATCATATTTTATGCCGTACAACCGAAAGAAAAGTGAGCAGAAAGAAATATTTATTAAATGTTTCAACTAAGTTGTATAATTATAAGTGAGAGTTTACATAATGGAATTATGTATCTGTATCTAAGCAAGTAAAAACACTGAAAACATTTCGGGAAAGCGCCTATGAAAAATGAGTTGGGAATTCGAAGATCGTTGAAATATACAGACAGAAACTTAACGCACAAGACAAGAACAAAAAGATCAACACCAAAAGCAGCTAAGTCCCATGAAAAAAACACAAAAAAAAACATGAACAACTTATATACTCGTAAGTATATAGACAATTTCAATAACTGATAAAAATATATACAAAGTAAAAACCAAAAGCAAAATTTACATGCATTTCAAATACATTTCCCATAACCGCATCAACTAAACAACAAATCAAGTAAACCAACAATTACAATCGAATTAAAATGGATAAACGATTCGACAAACGTGTACGATGAATGAATATTATAAATTTAAAATTATATATTATGGATGTGTGCGAACGCATATGCTCAGCAACAAAATACAACAAAAAAAAAACACAAAAACAAAAATTGTAAGCAGTTTTTTATTCATCGCCACATTTTAGATACGAAAATGAGAACGAATAAAAAAAATTCAGACATTTCTCAGCGCGAAATCCTTTTGTTCAAAACACTCAAACATATTCATACCACACACCCTAACACACATTTACACTGACATTCGCTCAATATTGAGTTCATTACATAACGAATACAAATTAAAATACAAAAATGAAATAAAAAGTTGATGGTAAACGAAGTAAAGATGACATACAAGTAATTTTAAATTGAATAAATTAGTATTAAATATGTACAACAAATTTCAAACGTGTTTTATTTACCGGAAGCGCACTGCGAGATTGATTACCAAAAAAAATTCAGTTTTGGAGCTATGGGCGTTCAAGTAAAGGTTTTTCAGAATAAGACCACAATCATTTTGAGGTATGCCACTTGGAAATCGAATTTCTGTAAGAAAAGTTATGGGCTTAGAAGTGCAGGTTTTTGGCGCTTTTATGCAAACCCATTTTTCGAAAATTTGGAAAGCGGTAACATCATTAAAAATGATGAAAAATCGACCCAAAAAAAAAAATTAAAGTAAAAACACAGATTTTTAGAGAATTAAACCACAATCATTTTGAGGTATGCCACTTGGAAATCGGATTTCTGTAAGAAAAGTTATGGGCTTAGAAGTGCAGGTTTTTGGCGCTTTTATGCAAACCCATTTTTCGAAAATTTGGAAAGGGGTAACATCATTAAAAATGATGAAAAATCGACCCAAAAAAAAAAATTAAAGTAAAAACACAGATTTTTAGAGAATTAAACCACAATCATTTTGAGGTATGCCACTTGGAAATCGGATTTCTGTAAGAAAAGTTATGGGCTTAGAAGTGCAGGTTTTTGGCGCTTTTATGCAAACCCATTTTTCGAAAATTTGGAAAGGGGTAACATCATTAAAAATGATGAAAAATCGATTCAAAAAAAAAATTAAAGTAAAAACACAGATTTTTAGAGAATTAAACCACAATCATTTTGAGGTATGCCACTTGGAAATCGGATTTCTGTAAGAAAAGTTATGGGCTTAGAAGTGCAGGTTTTTGGCGCTTTTATGCAAACCCCTTTTTTTGAAAATTTCGTTGAAAATTACCAAAAATCGACCCAAAAAAAAAGTAAAGTAAAAATACAGATTTTTAGAGAATTAAACCACAATCATTTTGAGGTATACCACATTTAAATCGGATGTCTGTAAAAACATTTACACATCGAATTCCAACATAAATTAAAAAGTAAACTTCGTTTAATCACCGTTATTTGCTGTGATAGCATTATATTTTTGGTACAAGATAACCAACAAGTAGGAATACTTAGCCTACGGACTAAAGCAGATCAAAAGGCTGGACAGGCCACATTTAGATTGATTTGAAAGCTGGCCCAACGGTAATCCCGGCTGTCAGCATCCCGCACCAGGCACATGAGAGGCGGCTGCTTCCGGTGCCCCTTGGAGCTCGGCAGTTCCTTGATAAGTTGGTGAAGTCCGGCGGGCGTTACGTATCCCACGGCACAGACAAGGGCCTCCGTAAAGCTGAAGCCGGCCGAGCTCACGTATCCGAAGACTTGCCGGCTGCATTGCCGGCGTACGCTGTCCCGCATCTCCGCCGGATCGGTGGGAAGCCACAGGCGGCACATCTCCTGCAGTTGGGTGCGCACCAGGTGGGCCGTGTTCGCTGGCCGGATGTGCACCCGTTTGGTAGCAGTTTCCTGAAGCCGTCGCTTTTCCCGAACCCTTCTCGCCCGCAATCGCTTCAGCTTGAGCTTGTGGCTCTGACGCAGATCCTTGCGCAACTGTTGATTCAAATCTGGCTGCGCTGGCTCCACGTGAACGGAGGCCTGGTCATTCTGCTTGATGTGACGCCATCGCTGCTTGTGATCCGCCGCCGTGGGCAGGCAAATAAGGGCGTTGTTCTTTACATGACCACGGGATATCATTCGGAGCTGAATCTGGATGAGTGCCTCCTCGGGCAGCGGCTCCGGCAGTGGCCTACGCGTTCGTATCGCCTCTGCGATCTCTTCCAGCTGTTGGCGATGGCGCAGGACATAGTAGGATGACACGCTGGCGGAAGTGGAAGAAGAACGCCAGTCCCGCACTAGTTGCTTCCAGGGAGCACTGAACGGACTGGCCACCGCCAGTTTTCGGTAGTTGGTGCGCTTGTTAGGCGGCAGCCGGAAGTAACGGACACGAAGCTCATCTGCTGCAGCCGCAGCTTGCTGAACTCCTGTGGGGATTAAACGGACGGTGATTAAATGGAAATAAAATATATGGTTTTACCAAATCACCTGCTATTGTATCTGGCAGGTGCATTTCGGCGCCCGCCTCCCTAGCCACCGAATCCAGTTCTCTAAGCCCGCCCGGCCTGGCGCCCCACATAGTGAGCGTCAGCCAGAGGGCCATGCCGTATCCGGCTGGTGCAATCACATCCCAGCCGCAGCCGTAGGCCAATCTCTTATATCTGGAGTCCTGAGATCCTGGTCGTTGAATGAGAATCACCGGAACCGCCTGCATTTGCTGTTCGAAAGCACACGGAGCGCCTGGCACCACGGCATGCTGTTGACGCAATTGCTCATACGTGTGGGTGGACATGATGCCTTTGCCCAACAGCTCCCTCGCTTCCGTGCTCCACAACGGACTCTCCGGCAGACTCTTTGGCTGATCAACGAGGAGATCCCCAGCGGATCGTGTCTGTTCCGCATTCCTCTCCGCTTTCGTGCGCTTCTTCGGTCGCTGCAGGCGGGGATCCACCACCTGGAGGCCCATCACCAGGTTGGAGAGTAGCTCGGCGGGTGAGCCTTGCTGCAGAGCCGCCTGGCAGTAGTTTGCTTGGTCCTGCAGCTCTGTTTGTTGATGCGGACGCAAGCTGGCGGCCAGAACGCGTTGGGCTGAGGGGCCCGTCAGACGGAAGCGATTGAACTGCCGATGCAGCAGCACCAGATGGAGTGTGTCATCGGGATTGGAGTAACTCGGCTGCAGCTCGAAGGCTTTTGTCTGTGTCCAGAAGCGAAGGGCTGGTTGCACTGAGTCCTTCCTAGATTCATTGTTTTGGCCGAGATCCTCCGTGGGCACTTTCTCCTGCTTTGGCCGCTCTTTCTTGGACAGCTTTTCCTTTTCGGGCTGAATCTCCATCATTTCCACCTGCATATTGTGACCATCGACCTCGTTTTTCAGAGGCATCTTCTGTTGCTTCTTGGACTTCAGCTGGAACACGCTGATCAACTGCTTAAGAGTGGCGTGAGCGGCACTGGGATGCAGCCACAGCCAGAGCGTGTGTTCCGCCTGATCCTCCTCTTTCTCCCGGGGCCGCCACATAAAGCTGGCCCGCTGCAGTGCTCCGTGCGGATACCGGCCGTCCTCGAATAGCTCCACACTGCCCTCGCGACGTCCGGTGAGGAAGGTTTTGGCCGTGACTCCCAGCCCGCACTGTGGACTGGTTAGCCGGGCGAACCCCTGGCGCAGGGTGTCCAAGGGGCCTCGCAGCTCCACGCATCCGTAGAAGGAAATGTCCTGCAGCAGGCAGTGCTCCGCACTGGCGCGATAGCAGGCGCGGTAGGTCTTGTCGCAGCTGGCGAAGGCGAGCCGGTGACCCCAGCGCTCCACCATGTGGAACCGCTTCGCGTGCCAGATGTGCGTCTCCAGCCAGACGTGGCGCCTCTGCCGACGCACGTACTCGCGCATCAGGTTCTTGGGGCGCCGGCGGTACTTCCTCGAGGGCCGTTTCCCGTTCACCGGCTGGTTACCGCCCTTGCCCATTTGGGACTTGTGCGCCTGCCGGTACTTTCGCGGCAGCCGCTTTGGATGATGCGACATAGCGCGACGGCGCATGTGCTTGGGCAGCGTCTGGAAGATCAGCTTGCTGCTCCGCTGCGTCGTCTCCCGGCAATCGGCCACCAGGTTCCGGATTTCCTGCAGCACCCCTGCTGCATAGAGGTACGTGGTCACGTGCGAGGGCAGGCTCACACGACCACCCATGGCGGCGTCGTACTCCAGCTTCTGGGTGCTCATCTAGGAGTGTCTAATTCGGAGAACAGGTGAATTAATTTGTTTGTTAATTTACTATTTTGAAAACAAACTGTGCGGCACGTGTGCCTTTCGTTTTTGATATTTTCCAACACTGCCAAAAGATAACAGGAAATATAAGGGGCATTCTAGTATTCCTAAACTGTGGGGCCCTTTTTCTACGTTTTAAAGGGAATAGAATGTGGTTTATGCGGAATAAAGGGACTGATAATTTATATTTTACTTGATTTTGATTTTTATTTACCATACATCCATAGTGTTTACTTTGGTGCAAGGATTATTTCTTAACCATAATCTCTCCAAATCGAATGGTATATTAACGGTATATTTGATAAATTAAAATGGTATAAAAAGTATATTTTTCAGAGTCAGAAGGTATATTTCGTTAACTTTACCGCGGTCACACTTATACCATACAATTTTGCTTCGTCGTCGAATTTAATCCCGTGTTTTTGTGTTGTTATCCCCCAGCTAACTAAAAACAAATCGATATGGTGAGTGCAAAGTGTTTATTGCAGCACTGTTTATTGTTTATTGTTGTTCGGAACGCCTTGTTCTGGCGACTTGAGAACGGCTACTCAAGTTTATTTCTTTGTTTTTCTTTTTTCGATGCAGGCAGCTTACACCGAGGATCAGTTGGCTGGTGAGTGTTCAGAAAGGTCAAAACTGGGGCTTAAAACGGTTTTATTGGCATGTGCATATCATCGAATGTGCGCTGGCACATTACGCCCTCTCCCTCCCACTCGGCATTGGAATGCGGGAGTGTGAAAGCGACCACACGAAAGTGTGTGTGTGTTACACACCTTTAAATCGGCGAATGCGGCATATATGTATTCATATTCATGAATCATTGATAAAGCAAATACGCTGGAAAGCAGCCATACGAATACGATCATGACTCACCCCAAAACACAAAAAAAAAAGACGGCAATTCGTCGGGGAATTCTCCGAACCGAACTTAAGATACCCTTGGGGAGTGTGGGATACATCCGGGAAGTAATACTTCGCAACACTTTAATCCTCTGCATGCCAATCTTATTTACATTATCTGGAACAAGAACCAAGCTTTTAAAGTTTAAAGCAGTTCTGAGTGTATGGGACATATCAGGGGAATAATGCTTGGATTCGCTATAACCCTCAGCATACCAAGCTTCATATCATTAACTCTAAATACAACCAAGTTATTAGAGCATTACAAGCTACGATCTACTTTTTAGCACCATATATAAATACTAAACATTAAGTTAGTAAAGATTTAAGTATCTTACGCTATAGATTCCGTGCTAGCTATTGGATTGTCTTCCAGTTTTACCTAAACTTTGCACATCTGTCCATGCTCCACTTTTAATGAATTACCATCTCAACAGAAAACAGAGTTATCCATAGTCTTGATATAAATGTAGGTTTCACATGTACATAAAGCGAAAGAGTGATTGCCAAGTAAATAGACTAAACTGATTTATCCCCATGATCAAGTGTAAAGAGACTTGACAAAACTAAAGCACCCTCAGCAAGGGTATCAAAGAAAAACAACTGTTCAAAGGCGAAAGGAAGTCAGCGATAAGATATAGATATGGGAGCTGGCTAATGGGATAATCACCCGGTTTTTCGACCCGCCGGCAGCTCGTTTCAAATAAAACTGCATTTGCAGTTGCGAAAACCGAGCGATAAGAGAGCCAGCTGACAAAAAACCAGCTCCAAATAAACAAACCAGCTTCCATTTATGGAATATCACCTTCTCTGGGTCAAAATGCAACACGATTCCAAGTCCGATTGTGATACCATAACGAATCAACTCGAATCTTTACGCAATTCCCCGTGATAACTTAATCAAAGTCATTGGTCTCTGATAATTCATCCATGCTGAGACTCTGACGTCAGCTTTCGACCGCATTCGACCGTGTACATATGCCATATATACCAAATATATTTTCCGATTCCAACTTACCTTGTCGCCATCGCGTTGCAATCTTTAGCTTTAGAATTCAGCGGTCTCAAATCGCCAGTCGTCGCCGTTTTGTCATCGCCTAAAATGGACAAAAATGTACTGGAATCGTTTGTTTTTATTGCCATTTTTGGATGTCGTATGCGCATGATAACCAAACATAACGATAAACATCCGTGCAGGTCATCGAATGTTGAACACTCTTATTTATATTGCATTTATGAGAATATATAAAGGCATTGAAAATAGATTAGACCACAATATCCCATTCAAAATTGATTTTGGGATTTTCGATCCTAAATATGTTTTTGAAAACTTTCTCGAGTTCGTAAACTCTTTATTTAATGTATGCATATTAAATCCAACACAATACACTTTTTCACATATTTTGGACCCAAATACTTAATTAATATATGTAGTTAATTATTTAACTCCATAAAACTCCTCAATCGGAAGAACTTACACCTGCACTTGTTTAAAACCGACTGCAATCGCAACCTATGGAACCAAACAGGGCTTACGATTCCTCGTTCTACGCTTTCTTTCACCGAAACGCAACGAAACCAAACCTTCTCCGAAAGCAAACCATTTCCTGTGTTCCTGGGTTGTTTATGTCAATTGTAAACAGCGACCCGACTTCAAGAGAGTTGCAGCCACTGCCTAGAAGAGAAGTTCTCCGCGAAGTGAGGGTATCACATGGCCAAGGAAGGCGGAGTGAGAAGCCAGGGGACTCGGAGCCGATCCGATGGCCAGCCAAATCCGGGCAGACGGAGTTTCAGGCAGTCAGTAGCTGGCAAAACGGTCATAGGAGTGGTTCAATATGTATTACTACACGGCACACGTAAAGCAAACCTTTACCACACTGGAAGGTGATCCATATATATAAACACCGGGAGGATAAACCTCAAAAGAAATTGTATCTTCGAGTATCTAAAGCTATGGTTTCTATTTATCACTTCGTTTTAAGTTAATAATGACTATATCGTACAGAATCAGTTGACTTAAAGAGGGTTTCTATTTAACGAACATCATAAAACATTCCTGATAACTCAATTTTCTTACGCAGAGTTCCAGGAGGCCTTCAACCTGTTCGACAATCGCGGCGACGGCAAGATTCAGTTGAGCCAAGTGGGCGAGTGCCTGAGGGCCCTGGGCCAGAACCCCACCGAGTCGGACGTGAAGAAGTGCACCCACCAGCTGAAGCCTGACGAGCGCATCTCGTTCGAGGTGTTCCTGCCCATTTACCAGGCGATCTCGAAGGCCCGTTCCGGGGACACCGCCGACGACTTCATCGAGGGACTGCGTCACTTCGACAAGGACGCCAGCGGCTTCATCTCCTCCGCCGAGCTGCGTCATCTGCTGACCACGCTGGGCGAGAAACTGACCGACGAGGAGGTGGAACAGCTGCTGGCCAACGTTGAGGACCAGCAGGGCAACATCAACTACGAGGAGTTCGTGCGCATGGTGATGAGCGGCTAGGACGGGGAGGTATCTAAGTCTGCCCGATTCCAGCTCTCCAGCACCACGACAATAGATGCAACACTATCCAACACAACACAAAACACAGCACTAAAACACCTGCCAAGCTAGCTGAGCCGTTCATTCCGCCAGAAGTTCCAACTCCGTGATTCCAACTTAGCCATTCTTCCCCCGGATCCATCCTGTTCTGCCGCGAACAAACCAAGGACAACGACCAAGGATATCGAGATATAGACATACAGGGGAAAGTGCCTAAAAGGCCGCTGAAAATAGAAAACTGAAAACCTAGAGATCGGAGCTTTTCCCACTTCCAAAACTAACCATCGATGTAGACATAGATTCATGAATTATTATAACTAATCACTGCGTCTGTGAATGTGCGTATTATTCTAAAAAGAAGCGAAGTTAATCAGTAATTATCACCTCGTTCAGGCGTTCTTTTGTACCAATCACACTCGATACATATATTATATTTCAATGGGAAACACCGAGAGTATCACGAAAAGTATTTCTAAATTAAATTTGATATGCGTCGGTGGCGTATGTCCGAATTTAAATGCGCATTTTGAAGTTTTACATGTTTATTTTTTTTAAATAATTTAATATTTGTATTTATTAAATAATAAAAAGAGAACAAGTGAATGTGTAGGTCTTTTTACAAAAGAAACGTACTTAAATCTATTAAACCAATTGAAACCTAAGAGGCTGTTTTTAATTTTTGCGGGAATGACTAGATATACAATTTAAAAGGTGATTGCTATTTCGCAAAATCTTGTAAATAACATCATGGAATTATTTGGGTTGCTTTTTTACGTATTAACTTTATATTTAGTATTGGAATCGGTTAAAATGTGAACTTGGTCTATTTATTATAACAGACCCATTCGTTTTATTTTGGACTGAACTGTATATAATTACATATTTTTGTAATTTCCGAATTTATTTGGTTAGTGCATGTTGATTATAAATAATAAAATGATTAAATTCATACATTCAGTTATTTAAAAGCACAGAAATGAAGGATTTTGACCTGTTTGGTATTTTTCGGAGTTGAAATTGCATTAGATAGGTGACTCTTCAAAGTGATATGAGTAACACTCCAGTCATAATTTCCATGAAAATTTATCGTATTAATTATTTATATACAAATTGTAACACACTGAGTCACTGAAATTTAATTAATAATTTAATGCATTGTAATAAAATACCCCACAAATTTTTCGGAGTTAAATACAGCTCTAAGTTTCGCTAGTCTGGCAACGCTGCTCGCCAAAACAAAAGCGAGAATGGAAATAAACTTATATGAAATCAACCACATTCCGTGACTAACTGCCGTCTATTGAGTGACTAATAATTCGTTGGCCTTCTAATCCGGAGGAGGATGCCCCGGCACACGGAGGCGTGCCCCGGAAGCGGAGGAGCTGCAACTGGCGGCGTAGGCGGTGCCCCCGAGCTCAGTTCCCCGGTGCAGAAGGTTTGGAAGCCGGAATGTGAGTAAAGAAGGTGCATTTGTGTCCCCCACCAGCTATACAGTGACTCCCCATCCCCCGAACAGTGTACAGGCTGCAGTTGGAGGCACCTGCTCCGTGTCCTTTGCGCTGCCAGCGAACTCTGCCCCTGCCGCCGGCGAAAAGTACGGCGGAGGCCGTGGAGGCCAACAACCTGGCGGGCCGGCTGTACGGCTCCGAGTACCACGGCCTAATGGGCCACCTGGAGGCGGAGCAGCTGCTGGCCAACGCCCGCGACGGCAGCTACTTCGTCCGCCGGAGCCCCCAGTCCGACGGCTACTACACGCTGAGCCTCCGGTTCAACAAGCGCCCCAAGCATTACAAGCTGCTCCATAAGCACGGCGTGGGCCACTACCTGCGCGGCCAGGACAAACGCTTTGACACGGTCCACGACATGGTCGCCGACGGGCTGATCAACTTCCATATGCAGCTCCACGCCAGCCCGATCATCCAGCAGATCAACCAGCAGACCAAGAACTGCTACCAGCAGAGTCCCTACATGACGCTGAATGGCCGGAAGCTGCGGGCGCTGTCCAACGAGCTGGACAAGGCTTTGGCGGCCAAGGAATCCCCGCCAGCTGAGGAGGAGGAGCTGCAGCGGAAGCAGGAGCTGCCACCGCCTGCCGTGGATCCCATGCCGCTGGTGTACGAAAAACCGCATCACTTCAAGGTGGGTTCAGGGATATACCAAAGCTATGAAGGTGGCCTAAACAGAGTCCCGCTCTCTCCACACAGGTGCACACGTTCAAGGGCCTCAACTGGTGCGAGTTCTGCGCCAACTTCCTGTGGGGATTCACCGCCCAGGGCGTCAAGTGCGAAGCCTGCGGCTTTGTGGCGCACAGCAAGTGCTCCGAGCTGGTGCCGCCCAAGTGTGTGCCGGACTTGAAGCGCATACGCGGCGTGTTCGGCACTGATCTGACCACCATGGTGCAGCTGGAGCCGCAACACCAGATACCCTTTGTGGTGCGGCGCTGCGTGGAGGAGGTGGAGGCCAGGGGCATGCTGCAGGAGGGCATCTACCGGGTGTCCGGGTTCGCGGACGAGATCGACGCCCTCAAGCTGGCTCTGGATCGGGAGGGCGAGAAGACGGACATGTCGGAGACGGCCTACGGGAATGTGAATGTGATTGCCGGCACCCTGAAGCTCTACCTGCGCCTGCTCCCCGTGCCGCTGATCACGTTCCAGGCTTATCCCAGCTTCATGGCAGCAGGACGTGAGCCCTAACCGGATTTTAACTTGCCTTCGCTTGACTTCAATCTTTTTCCCCAGGCACTGGCAAGCAGACGGAACAGCGGCAGCTCATGGCAGAGGCAGTACGTCGCCTGCCGCCCGCCCACCACAGCTGCCTGCAGTACATGCTGGAGCACCTGAAGCGGTGAGTTGACTGCCTGTGAAAGCATTATGGCCCAGAGATCCTTAGACACTCCCTTCCACCCGCAGCGTGGCCTCCCACTACGCCGTGAACAAGATGAACGAGCACAATTTGGCCACCGTGTTTGCGCCCACGCTGATTGCCACGCCCCAGCACATGACGAACCTCACCGAGGAGATTTTCATGCTCTCCTCGCTCATCACCCACTGCCAGATGATTTTCGCCACATCCTGAAAACAGCCTTAAACCGAAACCGAACCCGAAGCCGAAGCCAAAACCTTAAGCACCAATCAGAGGGGCACAGCCACACGGATAGGCTCTCTCTCTTTCCAAACACATATATCCTTAACTAAACACTTTGCCAAGCATACATCATTACTCGTAACTCGATAATTCCACCAAAAATTTAGCCTAAGATCAAATATCTGCATCGGTCGATTCGACTCGATGGTTTTATATCTCTTTTTAGTAGCCCAAAACACAAGGAAACTTACAGAAATCCAGTAGAACACATTGAATGTTGTAGAAGTCGAACGTACGAATTTAACGATTTTTCGAAATATATTTAGGCCAAGTATTTTATGTCACAATAAAGATATTTATTTTATTTGTACAAGACTGGTATTTGTTTACTTTTAACAAAGGTTGTAACAAATATTTATAATCTAAATATCAGTAGCCTTCCCAGAAATCTAAGAAACTTTTAGAGCTGCTCGAGTAGCCTTTGAATTCGTAGGATTTTAAACACTACATTTAAGTAGGCCAATTTTTAGCTTTCGAGTTTCAAACGTGGATTCTAGTCACTCTGTATTCAGACGTCTTTCATACAGTGTGTCGATTTGACTAGCCGAATAAGGTTCTATTTTCTGATTTTACTGAAAAAAAATGAACATGAAAAAAAATAAAGACGACGAACGCAAGGATAAGGAACCTGGCTTGTCAAAGAACCTCATGAAACCGGGGCGAAATGAAATCGAGCAAATCGCTAACAAGCTTAAAGACATCAAAGAGCAGAAGTCGCACTTCAACGAAATCGCAAGCAGCCTGGAAAATCTGGTGACGCCTGTTAATTCGAAAAATATGACGAAGAACACCAGTGATACGTGAGTGCTTATTAAATTTGTTTTCCTTAATTGCTTTGACATTTCGGTGTTTTTTTGTGTATCATTATTTTATGAGTGATAGACATCAAATCCAATGCGCAGCATATACATATAATAAATAATACATTTTATATACATATATGCCTATATTTTTATAATATTTAGGGATTCGAAAGCAAGTCAGGTCACTAAAGACGGAGAGAGGCCGGCGAAGACGAACTACGTCCTGGATGATGAGAGGCCTTCGACAAGTGCTGCAGCCAGGCTCAATAACGCCAGGATCATGATGTCCACAAAGGATGAAAGCATGGATGAGTTGGTATACGTCGATTCCGAAGCGAACGTTTTTGTCATGCAACCGGATGACAATCATGAGTTCTACACCGAAAATCCACCGACTTCCGAGGAGGAGCCGAACCTTGCCATGCGGGAGATAGTTATCGACGATGGGGAACTCATCATCCTAACCGGCGGAAATGGCGAAATGGTGTACTACCCCGAAGACACCGTCGCCATCGATATCAGCGATTCCCGTGTTTTCGTCGTGGATGCACGGGACAATGAAGTTTGCTTAATGGAGGCAGCAGGGGATCGCGAAAATTCGGATTCGAATAACATAATCGAGTACTTGCCGGAGGACTCCCGAGTTCCTGAAGAGGAGGGATGTCAAGCATTGGAAAATGAGGAGTCTTCAAAACCGGACGAGAGGCTGGAAGCGCCTGTTGAACCGCAAAATCCCGATGAGAACCAGGAATTGGTTGGGCAACCGAATTCTGGAGAGACTCAAGAAGTGGAGATCGACAAACTGGTTCAGTCGCCAAGCCATAAAATAGATGTATTTTCTACTTAAGAAATATTTCTTATATTTTTAATATTTTATTATTCTTTTGTAAATGTATAGTTGTTGAAAAACATACATTTGCTATTGAAACTTAACAAATGCGGTATTAAATAGAAGTCATATGATATGTGGCCCAAATAATTTAGCCTTCGCATACGTTTATTTCGCAGATTTGTGTTTCCAAATGCTAAAGCTAAAATAAATAATAGTAATATACGCCAGGAAGATTTAATTTGCCGCAATTTAATTTAATTGGAATGTTATAGCTAGAGAAAAACAAAAGCCTTTCGTAATAAGGTGTATATTTTTCTAAGCGTGGTTAAGAAATATGTTTTTGTATTGTACCAAAAATCTATGCACATGTATTTTGAAAGCTTGGTATACTTTGGATTTCTTGTCCAACTCCTTTATGTCAAAATTATTTTATTTGAAACAAAAATCTCACTTTGGCTCCCGTAAAAAAATTGGTATCAAATTTGTAGATTTTTTTTCTTTTTCAACTCAATCGCAGACGAAATGAATAAGCCAAGGAAGCAGGAGGCGCAGTCGCACCATGGATTGCCATCCTTTCGCAAGTTTGGATTCTTCCACAAGCAATGGGAGCTGATGATAATGCTGCCCGAAGTGGCCAAGCTGCGGGATATTTTCGATCTGTTTGTGGTCAGTGGTCAGAATAAGGCACTGGCCAAAGAAGCGGAGGGTAAGTGACATACAGTAGAAACCGGTTATAGCGACTTTCAAGGGACCCAGAAGACGCACTAGCCATATAAGTTTGGATACTTTTGCTTGTACTCTGGAAAAGGCTTGCTGACCCCCCTTTTTTTTTATGTGTGCCCCCAAAGGCGACAGATGCTTGGATCTTGCCGCCAGCATAGAGCTGTCGGATGTGGCGGACTGCCTGCGCACCATGGGCCTGAGTCCGGGTGGCGACTGGCTGGCTAGGCAACTGGCGGAGCAGCTGCGTCGGCGGGAGGAGATGGGGCCGTTGGGGGCGAGGATCGCTCGACGGGCATCCTTCGAGCTGGTGCTGACCCTCTACTGCAAACTGGCCGCCCGGGTCGAAGGACCCACGGCCGAGGACGTGCTGCAGGTCCTGCGCAGCTGCGATCCGAAGGGAACCGGGGTGCTGCCCTACTGCGAGCTGCGCCACATGCTCACCACCATGGGCGACCGCCTGGACGAGGCGGAGGTCTTCAGCGTGCTGCACGGCTTCACGGACATTGGCGGCAATGTGCACTACGAGCACCTGGTGAGGCAGATGTTTGCCAATGACTTGCATGCGGAGGAGGCGCTCCAGCAGGCCGGGCTCTACCTGCAGGCGGTGGGCCGCAACGCCATCGACATGGACATGGACAAGCGGGACCAGTTCATCGAGGCCCTCCGGAGAGCGGATCCCCTCAGCTCCGGATTCATCCAGCCGGACCGCCTCCTGGAGCTGCTAAATGGCAGAGAGGAGCGGTTCACCGGCGAGGAGCTGCAACTCCTTACCCAGGGAATGGAGGACACCAGGTGCGAGCGGGGCATCAACTACCGCCGCTTCCTCCGGTTCATCATGAACGAGTAGTGCCTTCCTTATTTAAGTCCCTTGCTCACTTACTCGGCCTATCGGCGAATTCTCATTAAATCCTCCTGTAAATTACATATAAGGCTTACTAATATAGTCTTTTTCACCAGATCAAGGCAAAAGTGCTTTAATCTTGTAGAGGTAAAAACAAGAAAGGATGGCTAGATTGACTCTCCTGGTGATGCTGAAAAAGAATATATAATCTTTAAAGAATGTCTCTTTAAATTAGTATAACAAGTTATATATAATCTTTGAGGATGTCTCTTTACCCTATTCGATGGTATAACAAGTGTAGCAGGTCGAATAAACATTTTTCGATGTAATGTCAAAAAGTATGTCAAATGTAGTTGTAAGTTACATGTTGTAACGTAATTAAAATGAAATGTTTCCTACTGCTCATAGTAGAATACATTTCATTTTAACTACATTACAACCTATAACTTACAATTACATTTGACGTACGTGCTTAACATTACATCGGAAAATGTTTACTTTTACATGACATCTCTGTCTTACACCATGAAATAAAATTGTAATTAACGTGTTAAAATGTTTTGACATGTACGTAAGTAGTAATCGAGTAAGAAATTCAAAACTGATGAAAGTAAAATTTTTAAATCAGATGTAAATATTATTTATTTGTTACATGCTTATGATTCTAAAATGTGCGATTTTAAAATGTGCGTTTTTTATGAAATTAGTTTTAAAGAAATTTTTGCTGTGATCGGAAAATTGTATATCATTGTATAGTTTTTGTAAATAGTTTTTCACCCAAAAAATTTTCCTATTTTTTTTTTTTTAAGTGGCACTGTTAGCATTAAAACAAAAACAGCATATTAAATTTGAAAATAAATATATGATACCATTAAAGAACCCAGGCTTAGTGATTATAGCTAAAACATTTTGATTTACAAAACGTTTTACCGACCAGAACCAAAAGAAAATTACACAAATCCATGTTTTTTTATATCATCCATTTTATTTCATCTAACTTTCATATATAAGTATGTGTATTGTATGTGGATTTGTTTTGTTTTCTTATTTGTTTAATTAATTACACAATTCGCAGTTACTTATGTATGTTTTGTTCTTGTTTTACAAAATTTTAATTAAAAAAATAAAAAATAAGAGGAAAACGATGAGAGGCAGTGGATTGGGTGTTATATTTTGGGTCGTGACATATTTTTATTGAATTGATTGAAATTGGATTTGGTATGTACATTTTTTACAGAAAGGGAAGTAGAATATAAAAAAAAAATTACTAAATTTAATAGGCAAAAAAAAAGTCTTAAACCATAAAAAGCCTTGTTCAGAATGGACAACTAAATTAAATCACATTTAGCATATTTTAAAAATGTTGCAAATCGTTGCAGCTTTTCTTACTCGCTAATGTCTTGTGTTGTTGCTTTTTTATATTTATAATATGTAATATTTACACTAAAAAAAATGAGAGATTATATGTTATTATATATAGATTAATTACGTGTGCTCCTTAGGTGTATGAAAAAAAATGTGTTGCTGGCTTTAATTATAGGTTTTTGTTTCTTTTTAGTTATGAATGTAATGCCTTTAGTTTATACGACTTTCACACTGGGCTGCGTATTTATGTGCAGGGACAGCAAATGGTTTGAGCACAACCCAGTGTAAACATCTGATTTATGCCTAGAAAATATTCATTGCATTTAGCCTGTATATTTATCGTTGTCCTTAGAACAACACATCGATGTACATGTTTCATCTGGGTCCGTGGTGGGCCTGTTCCTGCTTGACTTTCAACAGGAGCTGCTCCTGCAGACGCACCTCCTCGTCGTGGTCGTCGCAAATGTCTATTTCCGGATCTGCGTCCGGGTCTCCTTCGTTGTCGTTGTCGTTCTCGTTCTCGTTGTCGTTGTCCACGGGCTCCACCTCCTCCTCCACCTCGCAGTCCTTGTCCAGCTCCATGTCCTCGATGTCGTCCTGCTCCTCCTCCGCCTCGGACTCGGCGATGGTCACGGCCGAGGATGCGGATGCCGATGCCGATGCAGATGCGGATGCGGAGGCCACTGCCACTGCGGCGGCGGCTGCTGCGTTCCGTGCATTTGCTGCTGCGGCAACGGCTGCTGCTGCTGCTGCGGCAGCCACTGCCGCCTCGTAGCCCGCTGCATTGTGGTGGTGCATGTGGTGCACCTGGTGGTGCTGGTGGTGGTGGTGGTGCTGCTGTTGCTGTCTGCTGCTGCTGCAGTTGCTGCAGGTGGTGCAGGTGTTGCTGCTGATTGTAGGGATGGTGGGCGGGTGGCCCGGCCGCTCCTGCCCCAGAGCCTGCTGCCGATCCCGATCCCGGACCGGAGCCCGGATGCTGCTGCAAGGAGGCGGCCTCTCCGTGCAAGTGGTGCTGCTGCTGGTGGTGCAGCAGCATGTGGGCGTGCGCCTGCGCCTGGGCGTGAACGTGGGCGTGGTGGTGCGCCTTGTGGTGGTGGTGGTGGTGCCCCTTGCCCCCTGCGGAACCCGCCGCCGGCGGTGGGGCATCGAAGAGCAGCCGGGAGATCGAGAAGCTGGAGATCGGTGAGTTGTGGGTGCTGCCCGCGGAGTAGCTGGTGTTCGTGTCGTCGGAGGTCGGCGTCTCCCGATCGCTCTCATCGCTCTTCAGCAGCTCGGCGGCCTCCAGGGACTTCTTGTGCATGCCCAGCAGCCAGGGGGCCACCGACTCGTCCTCCTTGGCCGACTTGATGATGGTCTCCGGCAGGGGCAGCGAGTGCCGCACCATCGCCCCGTAGAGTCCGTACTCCGCCATTTTGGTGCTGTGGCCCCAGCACTTCTCCGTTTTGCGCCACTTGGCCCGACGGTTCTGGTACCAGACCTGCAGGATCAAGAAAAAAGAAGGGTAACCCAAATTAGTGACTTGCTTTTGTGCCCGCTCGGATAACTTATCATTAATATTTTTGGCCCAGGGTCAGGTCTTTACTTAACCCACAAAATTGGCTCAAAGTTCATTTTACTGAATTTTATTCTAAAATTGGAATGCAATTTCAAGGTCCAAGATAATAACATTTACTCAACTTAACTTCTACTTAAGCTTGCGAACTTTAACATTAAGTTTTGACTTACATTTCAGATAAGACAGAAATGTGAAGGATAAATGATCCAAGAATAAATTCATTCGGTTTTTTTAAGAACGAGACAAAATATTTCTAATATTGTTACCTTTGTCTTATAAATTATCAATATATTATTACCAATGTTTTTAAAGAACCATTAAAAATGGTATGTGGATTTCCCATTTTAATGATTTAAAATGATAATATCAATTGGTAAATAAAGATACTCATGATTAACGACTTGCTAAATAACTCATTGCAGTTCAAGTTCAACTGCAATTTAATTAAGAAATTATTTGCGCCAGCGACAATATTTTTCAGGGATTATCATCGAATCCTGCGATTGTTCAGTGTCGCACAAAGGCGGCGGAAAATCAGGACAATAGCGACCGAAAAACTAATTAATTTACCGGGGGTCTGGTTTTCCCCCTTCTCGACTTTTTCGCCCCGCCCATTGACAACAACACTTGTCACGCATCCCCCGGCTGTTGAAGTACTTATTAGTAACAACATTAGTATTAACATTAAACATTAACAAAAAATGCTGCCAGCCGACAACATTAAACGGTCAATTTTCAATTTTCGCAGACAAGATTGCGGCCGTTTTCCCCCTTTTCCCCTTTTCCCCGGGGACAACTTAATCTTCTGTTGTGAAAAGTTCAAGTTTTCCCAGGGTTGCTGACGTAGCGACATGTGCCGCAATTCTCCAAGGACCGAATCGCTTTAAATTCCCCGCCACGCGGCTTCGTCCTGTTTTTATTTTTTATTTTGTATTTTTTTTGTTATTCCGTTTCAGTCGGTGTGATGTCAACATTTGCATTTACAGTTGTTTGCCTTGTTTATTGTTGCACTTGAGCGGCAGCACGAAAAAAGCAAAGCGAAAACATGGCAAATTAAATCTGCTTGAGTTGACAACACTTAACACCCCCTCCCTTCCGCCACCAGATATATATGTATCTGTATCTATAGTGCCCAATGTTCGGGGGTGCGACTCTTCTGGGCGGACAAACTCAATCAGTGTCGCTAATGCCATGATAAATGACTTTTTAAAGTGCGCCTAAAAAACAGCTCTGTTATTGCCCGTGAAAATCTGATACTCTCTAAGAATATTATTGCTTACTGCAAATAAATGTACTCCTTTTAATTTCAAATGATTGTCATGGAAAGACATAGCGAGGTGAAATTAATTAAGGCTTAATCATAATTAACAAACTAAAGTTACTCCGATAAAAAACTCTTTAAATTGTTTAATAAAATACCCTTTAAATGTGATAGTATGCGATGCTTGTTGAGATTACTAGAATTCTTATTGTCTCTAAAGCTAAAGGTTTTTAAAAAATGTAGATGCCATAATGAAATAGAAACATTTCTTTTTAAATTTTTGAAGTTTTGTAAGGGACGGTTGCCAAATGGTGAGAGAAAAAGTGAGTAAACAATTTGTTAAATGCTTTTGTTGCACAGCCATAACCTCTTTTGTTTAAATGTTAATTACATAATTATGCATAATCATTTTTAATTTCATTTTTCCCTGGGCTGTTTGTGTGTGTTAATATTAACAGCTCATTAAAAGCGCAGGCGAAAAGAAACGCTGAAGTGTATAATTAATGCAAGGAGCAACGAAATTATGCAAAAAAAATAAGTACAGATGTTGCAATTCGTAATTCGCAATTTGCAATTGTTAGTGAGCTTGCTGTTAAGTTTTATAGCAGTATCAAATATGCATTTTAATACGTATCACAAACTGCTTTGATTTTGTGTGTGCAATTATTTTTAATTTCAGCAGGATAACATACATACAAGATGCATTTGTTTCAAATTTCACAGCAAATGTACTTTGTCTTGAAAAACTTTGGTGTTAAAATTGTTGTAGCAGTATCGAATGCTGTAAAGTATTTTATTTAATTGTAAAAGTTATATTTTTTTTGATATCATGAACACTGACTTCGGACTTTTTAAATAAATGTTGACTTGTTCAATCTAGCCTAAGCCATATCTCTTACAAATTTATATAATGGTTATCCTTTGTTATAGATTTAAAATCTACCGTTTTCCTTTGTTTCTTGATTTTTTAAGCTTGAAAATCTTTATATTTTAGCTTGAAGCACACTTAAGGACTTGAAAAGAAGGAAACTCTTGCTCTTTATTGGTTTCTTTGAAGTGCAAGTGCCGTTTCTTTTGTCTTTCAAAAATTACAAGCTGAAAGTGCCAATTTCATGGAATTTTTTTGCGACGAATTGGAACAATTTGAACATGCGGTGAAGTGCAATTTGATTTTTTTTTCATTAAATGCACTTTGAATTTGCATTGTTTTAAATCGCGATTGCTTTTTTTTGGTTTCTCGAATGAACTGCTCTTTGTTTTTGCCTTTACCTTTCTCTGCTGATGTGTGTGTGCATACGTGTGTGTTGAAATTAGCGAAAAAAGTGAAGTAAACAGCAAAGGGGAACAGCAGAAGAAATTGCAAAATTGGCAGACAGTGCAACTCGTCCTTGTTGCACCCCAAAAGTTGACAAAAATTTCTAATTGGAAAAACTACCAATATAACATAATAAAGGGCATTATTTCTTATCCAGATGTTTGTGAAATCAATATTTAAATAGGTTTTGACCTAAACATCATCAATAACAACAACAGCAATATTTCTCCCTAAAATGTCTAGGTTAAATTATTAGTCTTAAGCAACAAAGAAGACCCAATGAAACCGATTATATTAAAGACTGATTAGATTAAGTTGCCAATTGAGTAGCAGTGCGCTAATCAAATAATAAATAAATAATAATAATAAAAAACAAGAAAGGAAAGCTAACTTCGGGCGGAGCCGAAGTTGAAATACCCTTGCAGAATATTCTGCAAATTATATTCTCCAAAATCATTCATAATGCATTCTTAATACTCATAAAAAATCCCAACTTCCTAACTTTAAAAACACCAAAGTTATGGCATTTCCAATCGTTCAGTTATATGGCAGATATAGAATATAGTCGGCCGATCCTTATGAAATTTGATATGTCGGATTGATTAGGCAAAAATAAAACCCATAGAAAATCCCAACTTCCTAACTTAACAAACACCAAAGTTATGGCATTTCCGATCAATCAGTTATATGGCAGCTATAAGATATAGTCGGCCGATCCTTATGAAATTTGGTACGTCTGATTGATTGGCCAAATATAAAACCCATAGAAAATCCCAACTTCCTAACTTTACAAACACCAAAGTTATGGCATTTCCGATCAATCAGTTATATGGCAGCTATAAGATATAGTCGGCCGATCCTTATGAAATTTGGTACGTCGGATTGATTGGCCAAATATAAAACCCATAGAAAATCCCAACTTCCTAACTTTACAAACACCAAAGTTATGGCATTTCCGATCAATCAGTTATATGGCAGCTATAAGATATAGTCGGCCGATCCTTATGAAATTTGGTACGTCGGATTGATTGGCCAAATATAAAACCCATAGAAAGTCCCAACTTCCTAACCTAACAAACAGCAGAGTTATGGCATTTCCGATCAATCAGTTATATGGCAGCTATAGGATATAGTCGGCCGATCCCGGCCGTTCCGACTTATATACTGCGTGCAAAGGAAAGAAGGGTGTGTGCAAAGTTTCAATTCGATATCTTTAAAACTGAGAGACTAGTTCGCGTAGAAACAGACAGACGGACAGACAGACGGACAGACGGACAGACGGACAGACGGACAGACGGACAGACGGACAGACGGACAGACGGACAGACGGACATGGCTATATCAACTCAGGAGGTGATCCTGATCAAGAATATATATACTTTATAGGGTCGGAGATGTCTCCTTCACTGCGTTGCACACTTTTGACCAAAATTATAATACCCTCTGCAAGGGTATAAAAATATTTAAATATATGTTTAATAAGTATATTCATAGCATACTTATAGACACCTTGTCTATAAGTATGCTATGAATATACTTAAAAACTGTGGTGTTCTAACAAAAAGTTAACCAACAAAACACGAATGTAAAACAAGTTAATAAGTGGACAAAAAAAATAAAGATTTATTTTGTCGAACAAGTCTATGAAAGGGCTTTATCTCGATTGTGACGCCTTTGTCGCCTGGTCGTTGACTTTTAGCAGTGGCAACGGTTTTGGCAACTTCCAACAGCCAAAAACCACTTCCAAAAAGCCAACAAGCATGAGCGAGAGAGCAAGCCCTTCCAAAGAGAGAGAGGGATAGATTGAAAACATGTTTGGCCATGTTTCTTTTTCTTCGTTTCGAGGGGAAATAATATGCAAAAAAAAGGGGGAAGAATTGCAGAAAAACACATACAATACGCGAATTGCACGCAAAATGGAATGCAATTAAAAACGGCAGGCAAAAAACACACAGAAAGAGAGAGAAAGAGAACCTTTAATGGTAGCTTCGATATATGCCGTTGTTTTTTGTGAATTTGCATGGCTGCCACTTCCCTTTTCCCACTTCCTCTTTCGCCCTCCGCTTCCACTTCCCATTCTTATAGTGCTGCTAATGATTGCCTCTCCTCCTCGCATCCTCCTCCCCTCTTTTATGCCACTCGCTTTTCTACAGCTGTGCGCCATATTTGCACTTAATTGAAGTGTATTTGCATGTGTGTGAGTATTTTGGTTTTATATTTACTGCAGCTCTTATTCTTCTTCATTCGGTCGGCGTTTTTTGTTGCTATTGTTGTTGTTGCTTCTTTATGCTTTTAGCCAATTGTGCTTGTTAATTTGATTTTCGCTCACAAATGCGAAAAACAGGATGCACTCACACACACACACGCCATCTTGCGGCTTTTCAAGTGGTTAATGGAATAGCGGGAGTTACGAGAAGTGGGGAACCCCGCAAAATGGTTGATTTATTAAGGGAAATTCCCCAAATGAAACGGTGTCATTAATGTTCTCAGTCGCGTAATCCATTTATCTATTTAAATGGATAACCTAATAAAACAAAATTCTGTTGATAAAGTTATTACCTTTAGTTTTAATTTCAAATAGAAAAATATTTAATTTGGAATTTATTAATCCAATCCCCAGCTCTAAATAATAATATAAATTAAATATGTATATATCCTATGGGTTTTTAAATGATTATTTAATATTTAACAATATTAATTATATCCTACACAACTAATATTCTGCTCTGAAATGTTAATAAAGCCTATGTCCCTATAAATAAAATAAAAATAAATAGTTAAAAAAATATTCTATGTAAACTGTTTATTTTTCCAAGAGTTGTGTACTTTTTAAGCTTTTTAATATCCTGACAATCTTTTCTGTTTCAGTTTCGACTTATTTACCCCTTGTTTTTGGCTTTCATTCGCATTGGTTTCAGTTACTATTGCCGATGCGCCCGTCTTTAAAAAGTGTAATTTTCAATTTTGAAGCTCGCACCTCACGAGCTCTTGTATCAAATTTTTGTGGATTTTTTGGAGTGTCGGCGAGTGCCGCCTGCCACGTTTTCTTACTTCATTCTGTTTCCGTTTTTGTTTCGCTACTTGGACGTTGCAATTGCAATTGTGTGCACTCGTAATTACGTAATCAGCGAGGCCTCATTACGTGTGGCAACACTTGCCAAGTGCCATTTGCACTCCCCATTTTCAAATTTCTTTTATGGGGACCGCGAAACACTCCCCTCGAATCGAAGCAGTCTTTGATTGCAATCTTTGCCCGGCATAAAAAACGCCATAAAAAATGGCCATAAAATGGCAGAAGAAAGTCCGCGCATCCTCAGTCACATTCTGCAGTGCTACGTGATAGCCCCCTATAAAAATTAAGCCCCAGGACAGCAGCCCAAAATGGAGAATCCTTGATTTGCTCAGTGTCAGTAAAAGAAGTACAAAAAGTTAAGAATGTTACGTTTTTCGTTTTTGAGATACCAAAGGATATGGAATTGCGATCAGTAATTTCAAACTTAAGGAGCTCAATTAATTATCAGAAATATCAAATATTGAAGCCTCTATTTTTTACTGTTCCAATTTTAAAGTGCTAAGATCTTCCGAAAAAGTTTCCCGATGACATAGAGGTTTCTCTCCGTTAAATCGCTTTTTGCAATAATCTATTGATAGAAGCTATTAGGAGTACCCATTTATAAGGACACCCATAGTTTTTCGTATACTTAATGTTACTTGTTTCTACAACTAGCTCTATAATCAATATGTATAATCTCTCATAGGAGAACTCCGTGTTAAATGTGCTCACCTGAATGCGATCCTCGGCCAGGCCAGTTTTCATGGACAGCAGCTCCCGGGCACTCACGTCCGGATAGTGGGCCTCCTTGAAGGCCTTCTCCAGCTCCTCCAGCTGGCTGCTGGTGAAGATCGTCCTGCCGTGCCGCCGCTTGTTCTTCTTCTTGCCCCCGGGACCCGTGCCGCCAGGACCCACCAGGACATCCCCACCGTGGGCGGCCAGCAGACTGTTGGGATTGCCGCCAGCTCCTCCGGCCGCACCCAGAAACGCCTCGGCGTGATGGGCGTGGGCGGCATGTGCGGCGTGGGCGGCATGGGCGTGGACATGGGCATGGCCGTGGGCATGGGCGTGCGCCTGGGCGTGGGCGTGGTGTGCATGATGGGCGGCGGCGGCGGCAGCGGCATGATGATGAGCGGCGGCCGCAGCAGCCGCTGCATGTTGGTGGGCGGCCAGAGCGGCCGAGTGATGCGAACCGGCGGGCGAGGAGCGGTTGCCGGAGTTTCCGGCCGAGTTGCCGGCGGAGGTGGAGGAGCTGCTCCCGGCAGTTCCAGAAGCTCCACCTGGTCCGGTTCCGCCACCAGATCCACCATTACTGGTCGTGGGCGAGCCCAGATGTCCCAGTCCGTTGGAGAGCTGGTTAGCCGCCGATCCCGATCCCGATCCGGATCCTCCGGAACCAGATCCCGACCCTCCTGATCCGTTGCCCGATGAACTGCTATTCTTACTGGGCGACTGCTCATCACCACTAACATTGGCCAAACTGCTGGCATACTCCTGACCACGTGCGGCAGCTTGTTCTGCGGAAAAAAATGGGAAAAAGGAAGAGATCCAGATTAGTTGCGGGCAGAAGCGTAGGCAATGTTTTTTTGCCAGGGGTTGGTCAATATATAAGATAAGGACATCACTACAACTAAGTATAAATACATTACTATGTCTCTTTATCATTTTGTATTTTAAATTTTAATAAATTTCATCATCGAATAATAATATCAAGAAACAAGTTAAGAAATCTCGCAGTCCTAAAGATATATATAGGTATAGAACCACTTTTCCAGGTTAGTGGTAAACATAATCATATTTGTGAGGAGGGTTTTGACCCCCTCCGCCTGAATTCCTGGCGCTTGCTAAACACATGTCGTAGGAAGTAGCCCCCGAACCCGGACAAAACCAAAACCCAATCCCTGTGGCAAATCCCATTTCCTTTAAATGGCAGACAATGGCGAGCAGATATTCGAGAAGTTGATTTTTCGCACACGATAAAGCGGCAGCTGGAAAATTGCTTCATGCCCATTCAACTCGATGTGTCGCGCAGATTTTGACAAGTTGCCTGGATTTTTATTCAAATGTCAGCGAAGGGTTAAATGTGCTTGTGTTTGCACCTTCCCAGAAAATGGAATCGAGAAAATAGCAACACACACCCTCAGATGGTAAATATTTTCTTTGGCTTGCACGGCTCCTTGAAGAGGAAATTCGAAGGAAGAGGACGAAAGGACGAAAGGACGAGGTCGTCGGTTTCGTGTGCCGACTTTGTTTTGACAATTAGGGTGTTAGGGTGTTAAGTGGTTTAGCCCTTTTTTCGGTCTCAAATTAAACGGGAATCGGCTTAGGCGTGTTGCACAGGGCGTTCTATTGTGATTACCAGAAAGAGCCGATCCGCAAGGATAATAATAATGACAAAAGTGATGATGATAATGATGATGATGATGAAGAGGTTGACAATCGCAAAAGGTATCGCCTTTCTTCCCTAGGTTTTCAGTCACTTTAATGGACCAATCTATTTAAATATTCCACTGAATATAATAATATTAATATAGAATATTAAGCCTAGAATAAATAAGAAACTATTCGCCTTGCAATTTAATTTAATTTTCCTGATAGCTACATTGTCCGTATATAGCTTCCTCAAATTAGTAATAATTTGTTAGGCACTTGTTAGAGTAGCACAAAAACTGCTCAACTTTCCAACAAATTAGGCACATGGTAACGAACTAATTTGGACCTGATTTTGCCACCCAACGTATCCTATTCAGTTCCCTATAAATATATATAAACACGTCTTGAGCGGTGCTTTTATTGCCTGGCTACTTTGGCGGCACAATTAGACACACATCAATTAACAATTAGCCGGACAGCGAACGACAGCTGACCAACCCTCCTCTGACCACTATATCCCCTATACATACGTCAGACCCTCGCAAAAATGCTTTAAAAGCACTCGCACACTTATAAATAGCCATAATAATGGTACATATAAAAATATATATATATATAGGCGAGGGGGCGATGAGTGGTCAGCCACTTTGGCCAGCTATCGATGTCGACTACACTGAGAAAAATAAATAAGGAAAGAGTTTATAAATTAAGAAGTTGTGAAATTGATTTCATTTCATATATGGTATTTATACCACATCTAAACGTTTTGCTTGCAATAGAAAATTAGCGACCCGTTTTTTTTGCCAGTGTGCCGCTTGGGCTGGTCCAGCTCACTTATTTTCCATTGAGTTCAGTTCTGTTCTGTTCGGTTCGTCAACTAATTTAATTTGCTGCTCGGGTAAGTCAATCGGGGCATGAGTTGCTTGATTTTCTGTTTTCTGTCATGCGATATTTTGTGCCCCCCACCCCACCGCTTTTCCGTTTGCCATTTTCCTTATCCACTTTCTTTCCCATTTCGCCGAGTTTTCCTGACTCGTTTTCCGCCTAAATTAATTTGATATGTACTCGTAGTTCTTTCCCTGGCTTTTGTGGTCTGAAGGATTGTGTGGGGAGCGGGGGTGAAATGTACACGGCCGTGTCCTTTGCGTCCTGGCCCTTGGCCGTGGATACTTTCAGGATCCTTTGTGCCTCGATTAATTGTTCAATTAAGCAATATTTTGATCAAATGGCTTTTGTTTTGTGTGGCATTCCATGAATTTCATTAACTGCCCAGCGAAGCGGTCACGATAATATGCCAATTTATTGGGGTGCTTTATTGGGATCGGGCCTTTGTTAAATTGCTACCTGTCAGTAGTTTATATTTGGATAGCTTATTCAATTTCTATATGATTCAAATGCATACCATTTAACTGGGAATTTGGTCAATCACCTTAACAAATCTATTTGAGAATTGGTTATACAAAAATTGGAAGTCATATTTTATTTATTTTCATAAAAAAAAGATTCTCAATTAGTGTTATCTCGGAAATTTGTAAGCATAAAAAATGTGATGTACATGTATTTCTAATATCCCAATATTACTATACTGTTAAATAATATTAACAATAAATATTAAGTATATTATGGTTACTAAAATTAGATATTTAAAGCTTTTATTTGTGCCTGTAAAGTTGTATTTTTTTTGCAGCTTTCGAGTAACCTATCGAGCGAGTGAAATTTATGGACTCCCCGGGAACTCCTCCTGATAAATGGCAGCCGTCCAAGTAGCAGATCCTGCAAAGGACCCCCCGCCATCGTCCACAGACGAAATGTAAAATTACCAATAAAGTCAAATTGAAATTGCCAGACATATTAATAAAAGCCCACCAACCACCGCCATTGAGAGCACCACCGTTTGGCATTGGCATCTATGCCTGTCTTGGGCCTCTTCCCAACGCGATTGCACAGAGAAAAAAGGAAGATAACTGGTACAATATTTCCTTATATTTAAATAGTAAACCTTCCAAATTCTATATTCTATACTTATATTTCATCTTTAGGATTTAAATATAAAACTTATAAACAAACGAACTTAAACCAATAGCAATAGAAGATTTATTGATAATATCATACTCTGCTAAAATACTCTAAAAACACCTGATAGTGTAGGTTCCTAAGCTTATTGCATATGTTTATTTTTTACGATTATAGCACTATTTTTTTGAGTGCATCATTGCGTAGTAGCTGAGCGATTTAGTGGATGGGCCACACGGGTGCCACCAGGCGATGTAAGAAGTAGACGAAGCCAAGGGAAACCGACGCCCCTTTACAAACGATTTATATTTCCCTCCTCTCATCTCTTTTTTTTTTTGCTTTTAATTTTATTTTCACTGTAGAGAGAAAATAAGAGAAAAATTTCTGTTGACAGGAAATACACTCGAAATTGGCAATTTTGCATTTACGTTAATAATACTCAAGCGTATTTACTACTTACACTTTTACAAGGAGGAGGTTGTCTAGGCGAAAAATGGGTGGCTTTTCCTTTGCCGCTTTTCCCACACTCTTTTTTTGGTCCCCAAAAAGAAAAACGCATTTATTTGCGTCAAGGCAACATTGCCCCATTGGGTGGTGCCGGCTGCTTTTCCGTGGGTTTTTCGGGGGGCGGGGGGTGGTAGGTGGTGCTTCTGGGGGTTGGCTTTCTCGTCTGGGCGAAATACGAGGGCTAAGTATAGCTGAGCCAATATGACGCGCAATTATTTGTAATGGAGACGTAAATAAGTTCAAGAAGCAAAGTGGCAAAAGAAAAATGGCAAGGCAAGTGGGCTGGTGGGGTGGTGGGCGGATGGGGCGTTGGGGTGGGTGTGTTTGCCTGCTTTTCACCCAACTTGTTAGTTGTTACACAACGAGAGACTTGCTTTTTGTTTTGGGGTTGCTTTTTCGGCTTGTCTCCCAGTTTTCTGGGTGGTTGTTTGACGCTGCGGGGGAAACACACAATTTTCGGGGGTTTTCGGGGGGGTTTTCACAGGCGTTTTAAGGTTTTAGAGGTTTTTAGAGGGGGTTCAAAGTGTGGGTGGCTGGACGTCCCGCAGTTAGCTCGTTAACTCGATTTGCGCTCGCATTTCGCTTTGTTGCTATTCCTATTGCCTTCGCTGTTGTAATAAATACGAAAAGGCGTTGTTTTTCCAAGATGGCGGACATTCGTGTGTGTGTGTGTGTGTGTGTGTGTGTGTGTGGAAGCGGGACAGACTGACACACATACAGAGAGAGAGTTTCCACTTTAAGTTTATATAATAGAATGGAAACAATTTGCATGGTGACAGAAAATGCAGCTGTGCGTTAGGCCGTTCAAAGGCACTAAGATTGCAAATAATTTACATTCTATTTATTTTAAATAGGTTGGATAAGTTTTCTTTACTAAATAACATGGACATGAATTACATTAGGCTTACACTTACAATTCCTATAGATCTTTTACCAATAAAAACTTTGAAAACAAGAACCAAAATTAGCTATTTTGCCAACAAAAACTTTTGGTTATGTTCAAATTGTTGTAAACTGGCTAAAAGCCACAGGAATCTATTTTTATCTTTCTAAACACATTAAAAACCAATCGAAAAACTATGTTTCTTCTAATATTAAGCAAATTATTTTTATTGCTAAAATTAATATCCATATTTCTAAAAGATTTGGCTTTTGGTCTTTCATGGCGGAATTTGAAATTATAATCCCGTGGTGATCGACTATAAGTAAATGAAAGTGGTCCAAACTCAATATTCAAAAATAAACGTAGCTTATCTGAACTATAATTAGTAAGATAGAATAAGGGATTATCTGTAAGACAATGAAATATAGATCGGCAAGAAACGCCAACATTATTTTCGTTCCTCATTTGCGAAATTCAAAGAGAAGGCGAACTTTAATCGAGGATACTCTGCATAAAAAGGTATGTATTCATTCATACAAATCAATTCAAACAATTAATTTCTTAAATTTTATTATTTAGGTCCTAATAAGGTGTATGTGAGTGCTTGGAGTAAGATTGCGGCCGATATTAAATGACAATGTCACCTATTGAGGCAGGTAGAAAATGTACAAACTAATTCATTTAATAATTAATTATTTAAATTCTCATTCTAGGAAGTGTGTGTTTGTGTTTGCTGCAGGA